CGGTTGTCGGTAGGGGCTGAGTGTATTGGTTACCTAAACGAGATAGAATCTGCCGATCGATAGAATTCTTTTGAGTCATTGTAGATGTGAGACTATCAAGTGGCATAAAAAGTGTGCCAGAAATGGGTGAGAGGGAATGTGAGGATGAAGATAGAATGATAAACTACAATCCAGACTCACCCTCCATTAGGAGCGAGACCAGTCAAGACGGCCTACTGTATCAGCATACGCTAAGCAACGTCCCTCGACCACCCGTCACTCACCTCTTCAAAAGACAACGTCTCTTTACCTCCCCTGGTTGAAAAGTATCTCATTTCTTCTGCCATGGTCGTGCTCTGTCGGCTTACCAAAAGGTCACAAATTCGAGTTGCAATGTCGAAAGAACGAGGGACTTTTCCCGAGCGAGTCAAATTCAGTCACGTGATGGGACTGGGGCATCGGAGATGTTGAGAATGTCCGTCCACTGAACGGAGACAGAGTCGCACTTGCTTTTTAGCTACTGTGCCCGTATCCGTACTGCGTCAATTCTCATGCATGCATCAAATCAACTACGGAATACCTATGCTTAAAACTATCCACCAGATCTCCATCCGTGACCTCTGCTTGTGTTCTCTTCTCCGTTTTCCTTGCCCTATTCCCTGCATCCTGTCCCATGTCCCCTCCCTCCATTCCCCCTCTTCGTAGGACTCACCCCACTCGACTTATTTCGCCGCTACGGCATTCAAACTCTTTTCAAAAACGTCATACGCTTTCGCCTGTAACAAATGTAATCTGTCCACATCGACCAAAGATACGTTCGATACCGCAGGTCTGTCCATCTTACCGTCAGCTCGTCCAAACATTTAGTCCTTTTCGACGTCTGCCACAATACCTCGGCGAAAGTGCAGAGATCGATGACGGAGAAATTGGTAGATGATATGACTCAAAACTCACATAACCAGCCATACTTAAGCCCCCGGCGATCTGATGAAGCTCAGATAACATGTCACTAATCACCGCCATCTGTTGTGTATCCTCTTTATCGGGAAACAAAGCCGGTAACAGTTGAATCACCCTAGGCACATTCTGAGATATTACAGATAGTCGGACCCTTTCTTGCGTCTTATGCGGATGACGAAGTACCTCTTCGAGTAATTTAGGTACTTGTTCGACTATATCGGCGTAGTCTATGAACAGCTTTTTCGTCAGCTTTCCCCACTCATCTTGCTCTGTAAACACCTTAGTCTTCGAGGGTTCAAGCACAGCAGAAGACATGTCAAGATATCTCAGTCTTCGGAGATTCAAGGTAATGATCAGACACACGTTGGGATATCCGAGTCATCGGAGGTTCAGGTGAAAGGATTAGAGTCAAGTCTATGAGTCCCAGTCTTCAGAATTTAAATGGGATGATCATAATAATGTTCGAAACTCACCTTCCCACCAAACTCCCATCCACTAGGTTGTCTCTCTTCCAACGGTTCACATAACCTACGCAACAATTGAAGATCACCCCTCAACACAGCTTCCCCAGCTAATTTACTAATCAAAATCCGCTGAGCTCGATCGAGAAGACCAGCTTTGATGAGAGCGTGATACTCTCCCCACGCATCGTCAGAACTAGCGAATGAAGCGGCAGAAGCTTCGTGGATCCATTCGACGGGGATTAATAGAGTTTCTGTGAGATGTTGAATTTCTGAAGGTGTAGCAAAGGGATGACGATGAAGAAGAGCACGCAAGGCAGCTTCGCGACTGTTCATCAGCTGCTTTCTTTTCTTTTAGTGATTACCCAAGAGAGGTATGGTAGGATGAAAGCGAAACAACTTGGCACTCTGACTCACCCCTCGATAGTCTCAAGATGTAATAAAACAAAAGCTGCCCATTTCCATTCCCCACTTTCCTCCAATTGCGCCGCATACCCTTTTGTCATCCCGTCCGCTTTTGCCGAATACCCTTCTTCTCTGTCTTCAAGATCCCTCTTCCTTAAAACCTGACTGAGAAGCATGTAAAGATGCCACGTCAACCGTACATCTACCGGCGACGAAGATGCGTCTCTCGATCTCAACACCGACTCCAATGATAGAGTCTGATCAGAGTATAGTCGAATAAGCCCAAAGAGAATGTCGGAAGGTTCTGTAGGCATATTCCATCGTTTTTCCTCGTCAGGTTTCTCCATATACATCGGGAGTGGTTTTGCCGGAGAATAACCTCGTGAGAATGAATCGAGGTATGAACTGAGGACAGAAGAGATTGAGTCGAAGCATGGAGAAGAAAACCAAAGTCGGATGCCAAACGCCCTTTTCCAATCCAACCCTTGTGAAATGAGAACATCTTTAGCCCCGTCAGACCCTCTAGAGGTATCTTGATGACCATGAGTGACATCCGTTATACCTCCCAATAGAGCGTATAGTTTTCTGTATCCGTTACCGATGAATGCGGTCGACTTGTACTTCCTCCAATCCTCCAGTTGCTTCAAGATCTCCTCTTTGAACGTCTCATCACCTCCAGCTTGAGAAATGAGTGTAGCGAGACGCATATCTTTGCCATCAAGGGCCGTCTGCACAGCCCGAGCCACCTGATTACCCGATAGGAGCGTAAATATTTTGCCGGGTGTATCAGTGGAAGAAACGAGGTCGGTATCTACCGACGGGGCCACGGCGGATTCTAGCCATTTCGACAAAGCGAGTTTGCGGCGAATTTCTAAGATACGCTCCGCCAACTCGGATGATGAGTCTGCAGGGAGCAACAAGTCAATCTCGTCGAACAAAGCCACTCCGAGTCGGAAGACAGTAGCTTCGTGGGAAGAATCAGAAGAGTCGAAGAGAGAAGCAAAGTCGCGAAATCGTATATCGGGGTGTATCGTAATGGCCGGAACCTCGGAATCATCCTCAGAATGGATTGATGATCGCTCAAGATGCAAGGACAGTAGACGGATGGCTTTACTAATTTCGACTTCCGATGGGAAAGCCAACAGATCGGGATGTTCGATTATAACGGTGGAACTTGATGAATTGGCACTACCGCTGTCAGCTGGGAGCCAATGAGGGATATCGACTGACAATTGAGCACGAGGAGAACAAATTTTGCCGAGATGTACTAGCTCTCCGTTCGGTCCCCAGGAACACCGAAACGATCTACCCAGAGCAAGTCCACCATCGGCTCGGATCCCTTCGGATCCACCAACAGTGCATTGCTCAAGAGGCACTCTGGCGTATTTCCGTGGTACCCTGAGTCTTGGCGGGCTTTGAGGTTCGCCGAAAGAGGTGCGCTGGGGTCAGCTTAGAATTCTCTTCCCGAGTAAAACGGGAGACCTTGAAAATTTCACAACCAAGATAGACAATCGTGAGGGGATAGAAAGACATGACACTCACCTTGACAGCCCGTTTATCAACCGCTTGATTCTCTTCGGCATCACCAAAACCCGACTCCTTCAAGATTCTCTTCACTCTCTCCGCTGCCACCTTCTCATTCCTCTCAATTGTGCTTCCTCTTTTGGCGATAAACTGTTTCTTCTCCTGTCCACCAAAGAAAGAATTCTGCATTTCACGTAATTTTCGCATGCCCTCGTGACCCAACTGCGACTTGATGGGATGCTCCCTTTCATCTTTGACATCCTCGTAATCCATGTCCTCCCGAAAAGTCTTATCCGCACTGTTAGATTCAGACCGAGAGGTAATGTCTGACCCTTCTTCCGATGACATGTCATATTCCTCATCATCTTCGTCAATACCAGAATCGTGTTCTGCCTTTTCATCATTGTTGTATCGCAAACTGGTCGTGGGTAGAAAATCATCATCGTCTTCGACACGTAATGGCTGTTTTTCCGGGATCCGGAGCTTGGGAGGAGGTTTTGTAGGTGCCTCGTCGGAGTCTTCGTCCGAATCGTCGAGAAGACCATAACGACTGAAATGTTCCACTCTGAAACTCCATACTCCATCGTCGGTGTAGCTCACGAATTCGGTGTCGGGTATGTTCTTTACTCTTTTAAGGAAACGGGCATGTCTTGGATCCTCAGGATCGATGATCGGCTGCTTTGTCGCTTTATCCTTGGGGAAACAATTTTCCAGACTGATCTGGGCGGGAACGTTCAGGCCTTTACCTCTGGGCGGCTTGTCGGCGTAGTTATCTGGGTACACTGCTAGTTCCATATCTCGGAACTTGATCACTGTACCGAGGAAGTCGTCCAATGGGAGACCGGTCAAATCGACAGGTTCGAGGAAAGTGACTTCGCCGTAGCCTCGACGTCCAGCAGAGAATTTCAAGATGGAAGAGAGATCTCGCTGTGACATCTGTTTCAATTTGGCCAATGTCGGCTTGCACCAATATTCTCCTTCTGACGGAGGACGTTCTGAGCCGGAGACTTGGCGGGGAACCTCGCGTTTCTCCAATGTAAGACGGGAGGTGGACGGGGATGGAATCGTTGTGGCGGGGGAAGAAGCAGGCGGAGCACGAGCAGGAGTACTATTGGATAAAGGGGTGCTCTTGATCATTGATTTGCCCAAGAGAGATTCCAATTTATCCTCTGAGTCGGCCACATTTTTAGGAGTAGGAGTGATAGTGAGCTTTTTGATACTGGGTCGAGGTACAAAAGCATTGGGAGTGATATCCGCCTCTGTCAAGCCTGCGTATCGGTTTGGCAAAGAAGGCGAGCTTCTGGCAGGTGAGTTGAGGGTGTTGAGTGGACTGCTTGATCGAAGCAACGCCGAGGCGGTCAAAGGTGATGCGAATCCACGCAGTTGGCTCTTTTTAGGTGTGAGACGGAAAGAAGAAGCTGTAAGAGGGGGAAGTGCTGGTTTTTTGGTCTGGGAACCATACTCGAGCTTCTGACCAGTGTACGCGAAAAGATCGTTCCTTCCGTATGGATTTTGATCGATCGACGCAGTGAGAACCTGCGATTGACTCAAATTCGTCGACTGACCCATACCACCGAACAACGACGCAGGTTGCTGTTGCGCAGGCTGTTGGAAAGTACTTCCAAGCATACCTGTAGACGCAGGTTGAGATTGGTTGAGGTTTGAGAACAGCGAGCCACCGCTTTGCTGTTGCTGCGATTGCTGCGTGGGTTGTCCGAATGTACTACCAGATCCAAAAAGCTGAAGAGTAGGTTTGGCAGCACCGCCCAGCTGATTCTGTTGTCCTAGAGTGTTGTTGCTGCCGAACGGGGCGGCCAGCGATGATCCAAATGGCGTTGTACCTGTCTGCGCGGGTTGTTGCGCAGTTTGAGTGCTTGCGAACGAGCCGAGGGTTGTCGTAGGCTTAGCGCCGAAAGAGAATGCACTGCCAGAAGTACCGAAGGCATTGCCGGCTTGAGCGGGCTGGGCTTGTTGTTGTTGTTGGGGTTGTCCGAATCCGGTAGTGCCGGTGTTGGTCTGACCAAGACCACCGAAGAGACTAGTGGTAGCAGGTTGTTGCTGTTGATTCTGCTGGGTCCCGAAATCTGAATCGTTAGCTTGCATTCTCAAGATAATGACGTTCGCTCACTAAAGGACGGAGTAGTGGTATTGCCGAACGTTCCTGCCGGTTTCGCAGCTGTACTCCCGAAAGCTGTTGTGGCAGGCTGAGCTGTCTGCTGCTGAGTATTTTGAGCTCCAAATGTGTTCGAGGGGTTATTTGCGCCTACATGAGGTCAGCCACCAAAGCCTTTGCCCTGACATGAACACTTACCAAATCCTGTAGTGTTACCGAACAAACTGGGCTGAGTTTGTGGCGGTTGCTGCGGTTGCGTCTGCCCAAACGTCCCAAATGGTTGAGTCGTATTTGCCGGTTGACCAAAAGTGGTCGTCGTTGTGGCGGCAGGTTGTGCACCAAAAGTCGTCGTCGTGGCCCCGAAAGCAGGCTTCGCTTGTCCAAAGCCACTAAAGACCGGGTTCTGATTCTGCTGAGTATTGGTCGAACCGAAGAGATTAGAAGTACCAAATCCTCCAGTAGTCTGTGGCTGAGTCTGTCCGAAACCAGTACCGGTAGTCGTACTCTGACCAAAAGTTGTCGGCTGAGTTGTCGACGTCGACCCAAAAGGCGCAGTGGTGTTATTGCCGAACCCGCCGGTAGTCGCGCCGAATCCGGTGTTGGTAGTGGCTCCAAAAGCTGGTTTGGGTGCTCCGAAGGTATTCGTCGTTGCCGCCAGTTGACCGAACGTGCTCGTAGAAGCAGCGGGCTGACCAAATCCGGCGGTCGAGGTACCAAACCCAGCTGCTGGAGGTTGAGCGCCGGCGTCTTTTCTACCTTGCTGATAGTCCACGGCCCTCAATTCCTCCCAGCTGGCACCTTTGAACGGCTCCATAGCAGTGATCGAGTGGAACAGGAACGGGGGACTGTCTTTAACACCTAAAGAAGAGATATCTTGGTGCCATGTGGGGTGATACTGCGGTTGTGCAGTTCCCGTTGCTGGCGGAGGTGGAAATGGACCGGCAGAGTATTGGTATACTTGATTGGCACTCGGGGTTGATGTCGCACCAAAAGTCGTGGTGGGCTTTGCTCCGAAGAGATTGGAAGTGGTTCCCGTACCAAATGTATTAGTGGCGGGCTTACCAAACAGACTGCTGTTGTTGGTAGTACCAAAAGTGTTGGAACTGGTGCCAGTGGCGCCGAAAGGGGTACTGTTGTTGTCTGTATTATCAGCAAGATAAATAGAGAGTTGACTCACTGTTGGTAGCCCCAAACGTCGTACCTGTTGCCCCAAACGCTGGACGAGCCCCGAAGGCATTGGTAGTCTGTTGAGCGTTGTTGGTCCCAAAACCGCCTGATGATGAGCTGTCAACGTCATAAAGCAGTCCTCGTGGATCACTGACCAAACGTATTACTTGTCGTACCGAATCCTGTATTCTGCTGTTGTGTCTGGGGCTGACCGAACGTGGTGGCAGTCTGCCCAAAGCCTGATACTGTCAGCTGATGGTAAAATACTGGAGGAAGTGAAACTTGTAAACTGACCTCCTGTGGTTTGGCCAAAAGTGTTATTGGTACCGAATCCACCAGCTTGATTCTGCTGGGCCTGCTGTTGATTATTCTGACCCCAAGCAGCGCCGAACATGATGGGTGGCGAGAGGAATTTTGATAGAAGATGAGAGGGAGAAAGGAAACACTAAGTTAGGTACTCGTGGTGATGGTAAGCGAGTAAAGGGAGGCGAGGTTGAAGGGCGGGCGGCGAATTTGATTCTATGGAACGCGGAAAGGGCCATTCGTTTTTTTTTTTTTTTTGACACACTTTTTTTTTTCTTGAGGGTGGAGAATGATCTTCTTCTCCCTCTATCTCAGTCAATATTGCAGATATCGAGGTGATCTCTTTTGGGATTTACTCAGCACACATGGATGTATCATTTGGTACTACTTAGATGCATGCAAACAGCCTACATCAGACGCTTGAAAAATTAAGCCCTCTGTAAGGACAAAAACAGCTTTTCTCCATCTTCTGTTTCACTGAAGGTAGCTGTATGCATCAAGTTGCTACTGTAGGTGGATTCATCATACCTAAAGCCGTCCCAGGTGTCTTCAAGCCTCAAAGAACACCATGGAAGAGGTGAATGATGATAAAATGAGGTTTTAATGATGTTGGGGGGTGCTGAGAAGAAAGTGCCACATTGGTTCGACATTTACCCCGGGGCCCCACACTCAAAAAGCGAAGTAGGTAGATCTTCACCCCAAGATGACTTGAGAGCTTCATACTGCATCAGATGGAGCATAAAGGTGTCAAGAGTGCACCCTCCAATTTTCAAGACTGTAGCTGCATGCATGGTGGACTTACAGGGAGAAGAAGTTCTGAATATACCATCTGAAAAAAAAATCCGGGTGAAAAAGAAAAAAAATCGAATGGCCCTTCGCGCGGCCCATATGATTCCGCTCTCAATCCCCTCACTTGTGGCGGTCAACGTCACGTCTATCACAACCACCCTCTCTATACCTCTATACTAACTTACTACTAACTCTGCAGCGTGACCTCAGTCTGCTACATACACATACCGCAAGTAAACATATCAAACTCGTCCCGGAACATTCCCCTTTGGTCCAACTTGTCACTGTAACTTCACGGTCACCATGTCCTCAAACCCTTATCCTCCTTCAACCTCCGCAGGGACCCTTCAGGCTGAAGAGTTCGAACTTCCTCCCATATCCGATTCATTCGACAGACCAGGTCCTTCTCGTCCCCGTAGAACATCTCGCGCAAAGGTTTATACCTTTCATCCGAACCACTCCACCTCTATCCTCTTTGCAGAACCCGAACAACCTGTCCCATCGCCCCGCATGCGTCACGGACATTCACGGTCCTCGTCTTACCCAGAATCACCTATCGCCATGACTCCTCGTAAGAATATCGACACCTTTCTTCGTGAAGAGCATGATTTCTTTCATGGTCCTGAAGAAGTGACGGTTCCTGACTTTGGTCATATGTTGGGTTTCCTTCCTGACGCAGGGGAAGATCCTTTTGTCGTCGCTCAAAGTATAAGGAGTCGGTGGAAGAGGAAACTATTCTTGCTCATGGAAGAACCGTCGAGCGGTAGAGAAGCCTTTTTCGTTCATGTCATGGTCACAGGTAGCATCATTTTTAGGTGAGTTTTGCTCTCCTGCTCTCGACCACCTTGTATGCTAGATGCGCGGTGCGGGGGACCTCACTGACAGCCAGTGCCATCCTCACCATGCTCTCCACTTTACCCGCCTTTCACACAGATCCCACTTCCACCCGAGCTCTCTTTGGTCTAGATACCACTATCGTCGTTCTTTTCACCATGGAGTACATCGCCCGTTCGTTAGCCCATTCAGATTCATGGACTCAATACTACAGATGGTCCACTTCTTTCTTCGCCTTACTCGACCTCATAGCTATTCTCCCGTATTATGTGGAAGTTGCGCGAAATGAAGACACATCCATACTCTTTCGCTTCTCCATCTTGCGAACATTCAGGCTCCTCCGTGTATTTCGGGCTTTTCGATACCAAAATCAAATGTTGCTCACTATCGAGGTCATGTACGTCGCCGTCCGCAAATCATCAGACGCCCTGGCGGCGTTATCATTCTTCATCCTCCTCGTATTGGTGTTTTTCTCGACTCTCATCTATTTTGCTGAACGAGGAACATGGGATGCCACCTTGGGAGCTTTCGTGAATGCCGATGGGGATCCAAGTTTATTCGACAGTATCCCACAGACGGCATGGTTTGCTTTGGTCACCATGTCCACGGTGGGATATGGCGATGTCGTCCCTCGAAGCTTTCTTGGGAAACTTTTGACCACGCCTTTGTTACTTTTCGGATTACTGCTCATTGCTCTTCCTTCTTTTGTGCTGGGAAAGAATTTTGCCATTGTCTTTGATGCCATGGCTGCACATCAAGCGAAACACGGAGTGAGTGGTTCATAAGTCGTCGTTCTTGAGGAGAAGAGCTGAGTTGTATAGCCAAGTATTACTTCCTCCGCCCGTAATTCTCTTGATCGACCATCATCCCCTCCTTTGAACATGATGGAAAACGCGAATGGAACACCTCTACTTCCATTGACCTCTGAACCTCTACCTCCGATGGCACCAAAGAACCCGAGTACTCCCGCCGCCGCTGGACCTCAGGCGCAGCATAGAACCCCAGGACCACCAATGAGGATGTGGGACGGTGATGCCGATCCGCGCAATAAGGACAGAGATCTGACCAATACAAAATTGGCTAAAAATCAATTGGTCCGTTGTTTTCAATCATTGGCATGTGAGCTGTCAGCTGATGAAGAAGGTCTTACTGGAGCAAATTGCAGTCCTCCAGCGTGCGTTAGACAGGCAGGGAGAAATGTTGGAGCGTTTGCTCAGCATCGAAGGTGTCAGAACGAGGATGAATGCGAACGGATCGCTAGGGACGGAAAGGAAACATCGACCGAGTGGTGGACAGCAATTCTCTTTGGGTGATAGTGATGAGGAAGGGGATAGATAGTCTTGATAATTTTGTTCTCAAATCATAAATACAAGTTGCTGATCCTTGCTTTGCATGGCGTTTTTCTTATTTCCATCCGTATACAAGTGAAAGTGGCATAGAAGGAACCTCTTGCTTAGTCAGCAATTTCCCCATTGCCACCCCTCTTTAACCCTCTTCGACCCATTCTCCCTCCCTCAACTCTTTCACTCTTTCACTCTTACACTTTGCTTGTTCACCTCAACATCAGCATAAAACTTGTCTATCATCTGCATATTGTATTCTGTCCGCTGTCCTAGCATAACCATCCAAATACAATGGCATTGATCAATCCACCTGCCATCGCGAGCAGTTCGACCGCTCCTCTCGGCCCTGCCCTCGATTTCGTTCGACCAGATTTTCATCAAGTCAATCTGGATGTTGAGGGTTATTTGAAGCAAGAAAGAGGTTTTAAACTTGATGCAGGTGTGTGATGTTTCTCTTTCATCCTCTCATCTGTAGTCTCTCTCTCTCTTCTATCTCCCCCCCCCCCCCTCCTCCTTCCCCCCCATCCTCCCTCACTCATCTTTAACATCAATCTTACTTGTCATGTATACGTACATGTACTCTTCAGTGACTCTTCGAGGAAATCTTTATTATCTAATTATGTACAAACACTAATCCCAGATCGAGAAATATGTCGACTTTCCCTCCTCCCACTCGGTTGTCCATTACCTCCTTCACTATGTCCATACAGACATACAACCCCTTCTCCATCCAATTACAAACCACCTCCACCACTTCCAACTCATCCAAGAGAAAGAGAAAAGAAAATGACAGTTTGTAAACATTATCTTCGTAATCTATGCAAAATGGGAGATAATTGTGAATACACACATGATTTCAACCTTCGTACAATGCCTGTATGTGTTTGGTTCGTAATGGCTGGGAAATGTGAATTAGGTGGTGAATGTCTTTATTATCATCCACGTGATAGAAGAGTTGAATGTCCGGATTATAATAGAGGTTTTTGTAGATTAGGACCTGAATGTCCTAGGAGACATATAAGAAGACAAATTTGTGGAGCTTATATGGCTGGGTTTTGTCCTGATGGACCGAATTGTAAATTGGCTCAGTGAGTTTTTCTTTTCTTTTTTCTTCCTACTTCCTAGTTCTCCACTCCATCTGTTCTTCTTCTTGAAATTGCGGGCCTATCTCACATTTCTTTTGATCCTTTGCCAAATATCGTTGGCCATGAGTCGTACCTCTCCTTTCCCATTCGTTTTCTACTCAAGGTAGAAGGAAAGTAAGAATCCTTAGCTATCTAGATGGAAGAAGTTTGATTGAATACTTGAGATAGGTGAAAGTTATACTAATCCCAGTCCATCACCCAAACTTCCCCAACCAGAATCATATATTAACCCCATCCCACCCGATCCGACCAAAGCGGGTCCACCGCCAAACCTTCCGGCGGGCTACGGACGTTGGCGTGAATACAAATATGATCCTAATGCCGTCGTTTATTCTTCGCCTGCTTGGCTAGAAGGTGGTTCTTTGTCAGGTTGGAGATCGGGAGGGATTCTGTCAGCCAATGCGAGGAGAGATACGAATTCGTTCGGATCGACCGGTGGGGGCGGTCAAGGTGGTGGTGGTGGTGGTGGAGGCGGAGGTGGAGGTGATAATTCCGGTCAGAGGAAAGCTGGATGGATCAAGGATTTAAGTACAGTTTTATGTTTTGTAAGTAATCTTCTATCTTTGCCCCTTTCATTCTTTTTAATTCCCGCTCTTGTATTTCATGTCCTTCGTCCTCATGGTATCGTCACATGGGACAACAACCAGATTGATTCATGACGCGTTGGTCGATGCGATCTCTAGTGCAGGAGAAATTGAGTCGTTCCGACTCATTTACCCGTTCTGCCGTTGCAACAAGACGACTTTCAAGGTTGTAGCTGACGAAATAGAGGTGTAATCAATATGGTCATTTTGCCAACACATGTCCCAACAGTGCCGTACCTGGTGATCGTGGAGGGTTAAGAAAACGAGAGGCATAAGAGACTTTCCACCCCTTCCTTTCCTTCTCCAGATTATATCACGTTGCTAGATCATATAACACAATGCATCTTATAGAATAACTCTCATAGATTGAAAAAAATGTATCAACGTCTTTTCCTATAATAAGCTTTCTTACCAACTCCCTCTCCCTCACTCTCACTTTCACTCTCATCCCCACTTTTCACACCTTTGCTCTTTACGCTCCCCACGCTAATGTTGACTTTTGGAGGGACGGCGAATCCGAAAGCTTTAGCTACCTTTGCTAGATCTAAAGCGTTTACGTCGAATATCTTTTTGAGGGAATAAGAAGCGTATGATTGTAGATAAGCTCGATAACCATCTCGAGCAGATTGGTTGAGGTAATGATTTTTAGAAATGAGAGATTCTAGCTGGTGGTTTGTTAGCTTTTTTGCTTTTTCCTCTGTTTGTGATGTGAATCAATTTGACATAAAGTTACTCAATGATTGAATTCCTCCATCCTACTGATCTCTATCTACCCTGTTGGAATCACCCCGAAGGGTTGTCATTAGACGGTTCAATCAGATCAAGGTCACCAAATGGTTCAATCAGATCAAAGTCACCAAAATGATTCAATGAGATCAAAGAAGATGCCTCTGAAGCAGGAAAGACTTGAAGTAATGGAGATTTAACGAAATGAGTGATGAAGATGTTCAAAGAGAAGAAAATACAAAACTCACTTGTTTTTGAACATCTGAAATCTTCTTTTGAGGAAATTGATATTCGTTCAAAGGTACTTTGGCGACTTTTAAAAACCTCAAAAAACCTAATTCACTAGGAAGCAAGAATAACAAACTTTTCCCAGATTTACCTGCCCGAGCAGTCCTACCCACTCTATGTATATAATCCCTAGGATCGTCAGGTGGATCAAATTGAATGATCCAATCTACTTTTGGTATGTCTAAACCTCTTGCGGCGACGTCTGTACATAATAAAATACCAGATGGAGCGTTACAGAATTCGAAGAATGTGTTTGTTCTTTTTTGTTGCTTTTGTTTTCCCTTTGAATTCAGCTCCTCGCTCACTGTCCCTCTTCCTCTCCCTCTTCCTCCCCGCCCCCTCTTCCTCCCACCCTCCATCTTCCTTCTCCCCCCCCCCCCTCTCTCTCATCTTCTCTGTCTCTTACCTTCTCTCTTCTCGCCCCAAGTTTTTGGCCCGCTCAGGATGTCACGAGATGGAGGCGTGGATGAAGGTGAATGTGTAGAGTGGGACGATCGACTCACGTGAAGATCTAAAACTGGAACATCTATATAGTTGAGAAGTTCAGCGTGATAATTGACGGAATTACAACTACTGAAAAATACGATAATCTTCTTTTTCAGATTACGTCGAAGGAATGTGAAAAGAAGCATGAATCGTTTATCTGATTCACAAACTACATAACCTTGTTCCAACATGTCCACGGTAGAGGCGGATTTAGATGAATCAACATTGATGTATAATGGACCAGGTCGGAGAGAGATGCGGGCTAAATCGGTGACTTTGGTAGTTTGAGTTGCTGAGAAGAGCATGGATTGACGATTTTCTGACGGTCAGCTAATATCGGGATGCCACGCCGGTAGGTACTATCAACAACGGCTTAAATTAAGACAACGACACTGTGTTGATATAGGGAGAGATTAGTTGCGCTGAGAAGAGAGGAGGATACGAGTGTATTGGTGTCAGTGGGGTGTGAAAGATAAATGACCCACCATTAGGAAGAATCTTGATGATCTGCTTCATCTCCTCCTCAAACCCTATCTCAAGGATACGATCAGCCTCATCAATGACCAAAGCTTTCAAGTTCTTAAAAATAAATCCTTTCGTATTCTCAAAGTCAGCTTGAATTTGAAAATATGTCACAAACTCACTTGGAGATGATCTAACAATCTTCCCGGCGTAGCGACAATCAGATTGACACCTTTCTGCAACTTATCCGCTTCCGTCTTCCTATTGGCTCCACCCATGAGCACCCCAAACGTCTGTGAATGATCTTGCATGAGTTCCTTGGCTACTCCAAATATCTGTAAAGCCAATTCTCGAGTAGGGGAGATGATGATGACCCCAGTTCCTACTAGTCAGCGTTGAAGGAGTACTGAACTCTTTACTCGCCATTAACAGGTTTGAATCGTAAAGTACTCAAAAGTTCCACGCTGGGGACTAAGAAAGCCATAGTTTTGCCGCTTCCCGTACGTGCCGCGCCGAGGACATCTTTGCCAGCTAAGAGAGGAGGAATGGTCCGGGCTTGAACTTCCGTCATGGTGGTAAAACCCATACGTTCGATGGCTGAAGTTGTGGCGGGTGTTAGACTGAGGGATGAGAATGGTGTAGTTTGATACTCTTCAGAAAGAGCGACGTCATCTGAAGACTCTACTAGAGGTTGTGGTTGTGGTGGTGGTTGTGATTTGGAAGGACTGGGCTCTTGAGAGGAGGGCTCAACGGGGGGTTTGGGTTGAGAAGATATGGATGATTGTGGAGGTGCAGGGTGTGATTTGGAGGGACGTTTGCGTTTCCTTCCAGATTTGTGTGATTCCGGAAGGGAAGTGGGTATATTGGTCATTGTTGCAGTTGACATGTTCGAGATTGAATTGGGGGGATAGATACACGAGTTGGATAGCGGGCAGGAGAATTGACAGCAACTTTGTCAACTTTCTGGGAGAAACTCGAAAGAAAAGTGGGGAAATAAATTCAGAAAACGGAAGCAAAATTCTCATCCTCGAACCAAATTTCTCTCATCCTTCCTTCTTCTTTCTACAACTACCTCTCAACTCTCTTACACAATGACAAGATTCATATAGTACCCTCAAGCATAGCAGACGTTTTCCTTCTCGGTCAGTCCTGTCCTTTTCTTCTCACCGATCCCCTGTCACAGTTCTTAGATGAGAAAGTCACCTCCCACCCCACTCTTTCGTTCCCTTCTCCCCTCAGCCCATCGCGATGATCTCGTGTTCAAATCAAACTAGAGTCTGTTAGGCCCAGTGCCAGAGACACATACACGCACAACTCTGAATGATCCCCCCCCCCCTTCTCACTCAGTTTCGTGTCTTGAGACCCTCTCGTAATCTTACTGAAACTGTCAGTCTTGCATTTACGCACGGTCCCGGTCTGTTCAAGTCAGCATTGTTCAACCCGCCTCAGACATTATGTGAGCGCTTTTTTTTTCCTCTCTGCTTTGCTGTCCATTACGTTCCACTCCTTTTACACTCCCTTTTCAGACCCATACCCCTTCCCTGAATGATGTCCCGCATAGGGAATTACCGCCTGAGCAGCTCCCTCCGTCCCGTCTTGATTGCCGGGACGAGGAGGAAGCACTGTTGATAGAACATGGCTGTTTTAACTTACTGACTCGCTACCCTCTTCTACTCGTCTCCCTAATATGACTGTGTCTGGCATTTAAGCTGACGAGTACAGCACACCTTTCGGCATAACCTTTCGCCCTAGTATCTGTCATCCTCATCGTGAGTGGTGCGCCACCTTCCTCCTCCCGTACCCTTCTCTGCTTTTATGTGATGATCACAACACGACGGTCTTCTTACCCATGCTGGTGAAACCGCCCGAAACCCAATTTACCCGGGCAACCAATCTGATCTTTTTTTTCTCTCCTCCAGTCAACCTCTCGTTATAGCCCTGCGCTGACGACATGACCTTAGATCACTCATCATGCCCTCCAAACAACCCGTGGCCGGGCCATCCCGCCCCAAACTTTCCACCGCCACCCAAGCACCTCCTCCACCTTCAGTCTCCGGTTTCAACTCCTCCCGGACACAATGTGCCATGGCTTTGCCAGTCCTTGGCTCGGCCGACAAAGTCACCGTTTGGGACATCACAAACAATCGTGTTGTGTCTGAATGGCAAGTCGAGGGTGCTGCCAAAGTCGCCACACTCTGTTGGGCATCAACGCCTAGTCCTACCAGACGGAGAAAGAGAAAGAACAAGGCCAATGAATCTCATGTAATCGACGAGGAAGTTCTCGTCATCGCCACGCAGAATGAAGCCGTCATCTTCTCACCCAGCCGGTCGGAAGTTGTACAGCGCTTATCTTTGTCAACACCAGTGACTGCTGCCTGGTCCGACGATCGCAGAGTCTTATTGTCCACGGTCTCGTCACTGCTCGTGCTGTCACCTGACTTGTCTTCCATCTCCTCAACTATCCCTTTTTCATCAGGTATCGCCTCTCCGACAGCAGTTGCCATTCTGCCCTCTTCCTCCCGTACTACCCTACATGTCCTCGTCGCCAACACTTCCATTTCTTGCATTCATGTAGACCTCGAATCTGCCCAAGTCACACACACCTCGTCACCTCTACCTGCGTCCACATCTACCGTCTCTTCCATTCTACCTCTCCCTTTTTCACCAGTCGGGTATTCATTCCTCGTCGTGTCAGAGGATGACCGAATTGTCTCCCAATATACTCTCAAGACGCCCACAGCGCCGCTGAAACTATCATACCGCTTTGCCTCCCCGATCCTTTCACCTGCTCACTCTGTAGCCCTCTCACCTACCTATCTATCGGTGCTGCACTCTTCGGGCGAGATTTCTGTCTTTCCTGTTCCTACTGAACTTGACCTCGTTCGACCAAAATCCGATTCCAACCCTTCTTCCGTCAAAGTGGTAGAAGGCAAGGATGAACGACAAGCTCGAGTCTGTCGTCTCACGTTTGCTCCCGACTCGGAGACCCCAAGTACGCTGCTTTGTGGACGGCTGACCGGTGGCGGCCGTGTCACTTGGCATCGTGCCGTCCTCGAACACCCGGAAGGGGGGTTGAAAAAATTGGTCACGGTCAAATGTGAAGCTCAAGACCTGGTCAATGTCAATGGGTCAGTCAATGTGAGTTTCCCTCTCTCACCATCACATGAGCCTGACATTCAGAATATCGCCCCTCATCGTTTCGCTGCTCCCACCGGTGTGGTTGAAGCTCCTCCCGATGACATCGAAGACGAAACCTCTGCTCGATTGCCGAATGATGTGCATGTAGCCGACTTGTCCCTCGGTGAACGTTTGTTAGCTCTTCCAGACGCTGCGGCTGCGCCCATCGTCAATGGGGATGCGGCTCCAACCAAGGCCATCTCTGCTCCTGTGGGCCCAGTCAACGCTTCTTCTTTAACTCGACTTTTAGTCCAAGCGCTGCACACTTCCGACCCTGCGCTACTGGCCATGTGTCTTGCTCATCGCAATCCGACGCTCGTTAGGAACACGATCCGCAAAATGCCTGCTCAATTGGCTCTTCCCTTGCTCAAAGCATGCGTCGAGCGGTTGGGGCAAGGAAAGGGTGCCAACAAACGCGGCGGTGGAAGGGGTGTCTCTCAGTCGGAGCAACAGGCTAGGGGTACCGTAGAGTGGGTCAAAGGTGTGCTAGTAGAACGGGGAGCATTGTTGATGACTGTGGGCTCTCTCTTCCGTCCACACGTTTCCGGACTGACTTCATTCAGATGCCATCTTTACCCATACACCTGGCTGCGCTCTCTCAGCTTCTGTCTGCTCGTCTGCAGCTGTACCAGCCTCTCCTCTCATTATCGGGTCGACTCGACCTCGCGTTGACTCAAATTACCATGCGACGTCTCGCCACTCAGCAAGGGCAGGGACACATCGGCGGTGATGCCAACGAGGCAGTACGGTACGTTGAAGGCGAGAGCGATGAGGACGAGATTCCGATTGAAGCAAGCCATGATGACGAGGTCGAAAACATTGGGATCCTTATGAATGGCACCGCAAACGCGTGAGTGTTGTGCCTTTGACTTGAGATGTATCGCTGATGAAGGTCAGGCAGGATGATCAAGAATCCGATGAGGAAGAAGAAGATGATAGCGACGACGATGTACTCACGTCAGATTCAGAGGACGGGCGAAGTGAAGTTGTCGAAGGTGTGGAGGAGAGCGATGAGGAAGGTCTATCCGAAGAGGATTAAAGTTTGGAGAGTGATCATATCTGCATTTCTTGCATAGCATCGATCCGGTTTTCGTGGATGATACCAATGTTCTAACTATACTGACCGCCAGGATTGAGTCCTTTGATCCGACCCATCCTTCTTGCGTATTTGTCGAGCTTCGAAACGGGAACAAAAGACAAGAGTGCCCAATTCAGCCGTTGAACCCCAAGATATCCTCATCCTTTGTCACGATACCACCGCTTCCCGACGGTAAAGTTGTGAGTGAGTGTCCTTTCATCTCCCCCTTACGAGTGAATCAAAACCTTGCGACCAGCCAGGACCCTCAAAGGAAAAGTGTCGTCCCATTCTCTCCAATCTCCTTGACGCCCTCTTCCTTCCTGTCCATAGACTTTGCCATGCAGCAGATAAGGAATGTTGATGATCCAGTTTGTTTGAATCCCATTGCTCGATTCTGCGAACCATGCTCCTCATCCTGATTGCCATCCTGGCCCTCGCTAGTACGAGTTGGGCCGCTCTCGCACCTGCAAGCGAGGCAGGGGCTTACATCTCTCTCTTATCTTCGCAAGATCTTTGTCTCGGCAGAGCTTCGAACTCGAGTGGAGAATCCAGCAGTGCCGTAAATCTCGGAACAGGAAACAGGACCTGGACGGGCTTGAGGGTTGGATTAGTGGACTGCGCTTCTGCGGAAAAGTGGCTTGTTGGTGGCCTCCCTGGCGACAGCGAACCCCTCCGCTTTGATAATGGGACTCTCACTGCTGTCCCGGTGGGTACGAACGGCATAGATTTCGCGGACGCGACGGAGATTGGTGTGAGTTTTCGGCACGGTATCATGCAACCCGACAATCAAGTACTACGAATACTCGTACCCTACTCCTATTGTCTATATTTATGACTTGTTGAACCACATAATCAAAACATGGTCTCCGCTCACTGGCAGTTTACCGTATACGACTACCATCCTTCCTTGCAGCCAGGATATCTGTAAGTCAAATCCTCCCCCTTGGCAGCGCATGAAGTGTGCGATCATCGGTGTCAAGGGCTGAGAGACAGGTGGTATTGGACGACGGATAGTCAACTCCAATTCCTGGCTGCCGGCAACATCTGTATAGAGGGCGATAAGGACACCAAGTTGGTGACTCCTCGACCATGTGCTGATGTCTCTGCGCAGTGTGAGTATCTCGCTCCCACGTACCATCATCAGACGTGTTGAGGGAGGCGAAGGAATCACTGTGGAGTGGAATGGTCCTGACGCTTAGCATGGACCTCTCGGAGGGTTACAGGTTCAGTGAATACCAGCGGCATAGCCACCAGTCCCACTTATGCGGATCCTGTAGGTGGCTCAAGGATTCACGGTAAGTTTTGTTCAAACTTTGTAAGACTCTTCTTCGGGAGGACGCTGACGTGAGAGCACTAAGCAGGGACGATCTGTGTGTGACCATACAACCTGCTTCGAATCCCGACACTCCGGATGATTACTCCGGCTCTATCGCAAACTCAAATGGGATTGCCATGTACGTCTACTTTCTAGCCGCTTGATATCTTCCTCAAGTCTCTCTGTACATTCCGCTTATGACGCTTGTTGATGTCAGTGCAACATGCGTGCCAAACGATAACTCGCTTTCGGGCTTTCAGCTCTTTGCCTTAGCGCTGCCTGGCAACTTCTCCACAGCAAATTACACTGGCCCATTGCAGATCATCAACTCTACCGCTGTTGGAGATCAGAGCAGGAAATACTGTTTGACAGGGAGTGCCAAACCGCGAAATGGCTCAGCTATCCTGGTCCAAGAGTGTAATTCGTCTCCTGGTCAACAATGGATCGCGAACAATCGGACAATTTCTCTTCAAAATACTGGTCAGTGCCATGCCTTCTTTCAGTCCTTTCTACGTGCGGCTGCTACCACTTTCACATGATTCGGTGCTAAGACTTGGAAGTCGTGGTCGATGCTAAAGCGTACAGACTTCTGCCTCGATGTAATTCGGGAATCGGGTTATCCATTGGGAAACGAAGTCGTTGGTTACGAACCTTTCTTCAATCTGCAAACGTGGGCCTGCAATCCACATGACCCTCAACAAGTCAGTATCCTTCCACACTGCATGGCTCTCTCCTCGTATTATATATGGCGCTGTCACTAGCAGTAGGAAGCAGGTGTTCGATACGGCTGCTAACAGGAGACAGGTCTTCGGATTCTACTTCGCTCCGACGTAATCTCTATCCCGGCCGACTCCCCTCCGGTCAAGTCTATCAGAGGATTAAGGTCCCAAGAGTAATCCCATCTGCTTTCCTTGCATTGCATCGGCATTGTCTTCGTCTACGCACCTACCAAGTCATACTCGAAGCCGTCTCATTTCAACCGTCCGACCTCGAGTCATTCCCCAATCCTTTGTCGCGAAGATTTCCTACCGGTGATAGCATTACGAGTATCCTTTCATCGTCCCCCTACAAATGAATCGAAACATTGCACCCAACTCAAACCGTCAAAGAAATGTTGACTCCCTCACTCCGTTCCCCTTGTCAATCCGTCGAACCTCCCGTTTGAAGCGAGAAGATTGAAAGTTTATTCACACGCATTACATGGCGTTTCTCGAATACATTAACCGTGTCTGGGCGCGACACAAATCCCCTCGCCATTTTGTCGCCCAGTTTTCTTGACCTTTGTCGATTTGTCGTCCACGGCCTACATCCCGGTTTTCTCCTCTCTGATATGCTTCTCATCGTCGCATTTCTTACACTAGCAGGTCTAGTTGGCGTGAGGGCAGGCACATTCGATGGGCTATACATATCTCTTCTCTCCGCTGAGAATCTGTGTCTTTCAAGCATTCCAGATTCGGGCGGGACTAATCAAGGTGTTACCAACCTGGGAACAGGGAATCGAACCTGGACCGGCACACGAGTGGGATTGACCGATTGCAGTTCTGCGGATAAGTGGAGCAACGCCAGGCAGGGTAGCTCTGGCCCTCTGGCCATATGGACCAAGTCCCTCGCTGCTGTTCCGATTGGTCAGGACGGCTTTGATCTTCAGAACTCGACCGGGCTTGGTGTGAGTTTCTGATCGATCGTAATCCTCCCACCACAAAGAGTTCGCTCACGAAGTACCGCACCTCTCCTATCCGCAAGATCGAAGTTGGTTCGTTGCTCATCACAGATTGTCAAATACAATGGCAGTGAATTTGATCAGGACCCTTACTTGTATGTCTCTCTCTCTCTCTTGAGGACACACATGGACCCTTGTCTGTCTCTCCTGGGACTGACGGGTAGGTGGTACTGGGGGGAAGATAGTCACCTGCACATCTTTAGCAACACTGACATCTGCATCGAAGCAGACACGAAGACAAAGGCGGTGACCACTCAGCCTTGTTCGGACAAAGCTTCTCAGTGTGAGTAGCTGCACGTCGACACCACAATCGAAGGTCTGATGGACCAACAGGTCAACACCCTGCACTTTGGTGACTATAGATGGAAGTTGCTGACATCAGCTTTTGCATTCCGCAGCACTGTAACCCTGTTGAATTCGAGCAGCATCCCAATCGGTACAACTTACCCGGATCCTCAAGGAGGTTCGAGAATTCGCGGTGAGCATCCTTCGCGCTGCCCTACGTGATCATCTTCACAAGTCTAACGGGCTAGCGCTCGGCCGGAATGACCTTTGTGTGAGCGTGGCACCATCTTCCGACCCCACAGGGTCTTTAGCACCAGGGGACCCAATCTATGTGTACGTTCACGTCTCCTCGTTCCTGTGTCTCCCACTTTCATCCTGCCAGAGCCGGCGGATGTGTCGGGTCTAAGCGTTGTTGACAACAGCGCGAGGTGTCTGGACAACTCGAATCTCAACGTAGGGTTTCAACTCTTCGCCCTGGCCTTACCTGGCGACTTCTCTACGGCAAACTACACTGGCGCTCTTCAGGTGATGAACTCCACGGCTATCCATGACCGGACCCAGAATCTCTGCTTGGGCGTAGGTGATAATCCGACCAATGGCTCGAATCTCGCTGTTCAGGAGTGTAATGCAAGTCCGGGCCAACACTGGCTAGCTGACAACTCTACCATATCTGTTCAAGATACAAGTCAGTTCCGTTCGAATTGTCCCCTTTTATCGTCCTCACCTCCCCTTGCCCCCATTGATGTGCGGGTGATATTTTCGAGGTGGAGGAGCCACGCTGATTTGGACAGATATGTGTCTTGATGTTGTCCGCGGGTCGGGTACACCGCCAGGGGCAGAGGGCAGTTTTTTGCCTTATTTTACTTTGCAGATGTGGACCTGCAACCCTGGTGATCCTCAGCAGGTGAGTCATCCTCCTTACTTGATGCTACTCGCCCGTATCTGACCCTATCACCACCAGTCGGATTCAGCTAATGAGAGACATGATTGCTAACAAGAGCCAGAATTTCGGGTTCTACTTCGCTCCGACGTGATCTCTATCCCAGCCGGCTCAAGCAAAGCTTGTCCTCTCCGATAATCTCTTTCGAATATCGCCATGTTATCCATGTTATCGTTTTTCTTGTCCAGAGTCATGTAAAATGTTTTACTGTCAACCTCACCGATGCCTCAGTTCGTTTCCTCGTCGGTTCCAGAATCACACATTTCCACGTTCTCAGCAGTGTGACACGGAACATGCCCATGCCTCCTTTCACAATTACAACTCGGTTTCTCAGCTCACGATTCGAGCGGGGAATATACAAAGGAGATGTGTATATTGCTACTAGGCCCCTGATTTGGCCTCTCGTCTCTCACCCCGTTCGCGCCGGATACCCTTGTCTAACCCCTCGTTCGGTTATGACTTTTTAGAGGAAACTGTTCAGGTCGGCGAGTACATAAGGTCGTTGGCTCTGAAGAAAGAACATCTTCCCTGTTCATCTTATTCATTGTTTGTTTGGCACCCAATGATACCACTTCTACTGATACTACCCGCGTTTACCGGGCTGCGCCTGACCATCGCCGCGAACTCGGGGCTTTATATCTCGTTGCAGGACGAAAACAACCTCTGCCTGTCGGTGGAAGGTGCGGTGGGACTTGTTGACTGTTCCAAGGCTACACAGTGGAATTACATTCCGGTCATTGGGTCTTCGGGGCCGCTCCTTCAGTACAATCAAAACTTGACCGTCATACCTGTCAATCAGACTGGCTACGATATCACCGACCCAGTGGGCGTCAACGTGAGTGCACCCTTTCGAATTATAATTTTCTACCCTGATCATACTTTCCCAAACATCGCTCTCTTCCGCCCACTGGTCATCGGGCATCCCATCGTCGTTATCTCACCGATATCCAGTCGTATCTTCATCGCTGACCGATCACAGGTCACGACACTCTCCCAGGACCCGAGTAATCAGTATGAGTATCAGTACGGCATATTTCACTCTCGAGGATGCAATTGACTCGTAGATGGAGTTGGACTGCCAACAATGATATTCAACATTACGTCAATAAGGACTTGTGTCTTCAAGGTGACCCGGCTAGTGGACATGTCATACCTGCCAAGTGTTCCGGACAGTCCAATCAAGGTAAGTCAACCATTAAGTTTGGGTCGACTTCGCTGACACGCAGCATGGTCATACAGATTCACGGTTAGTGTACCAACGGACGGAGTTGTACCTATTGGTGTTGTGTATTCCGATCCACAAGGGACTCATAGAATTCGAGGTCAGCTTTCACTTTGTTCGAAATCCTCCTATATCGGCTCTGTTGACAGAATCTCATCAACCGCCAGACTTTATCAACCTGAGCTGATCATACTACAGGTCTAGGAAGGAACGATCTTTGCGTAAGCTCGGAGGCATATCCCGGTTCTGACAACTACACTGGCACTTTGTTTGCCGGTCTGACTGCAACTCTGTGAGCAGTTCTTCACTTATTATACATGATCACAAACTAATTACCAGTGCTCAGTGCGTCCCAAATGACTCCCCTATCACGTCATTCCAACTTTTTGAACCCTTTTCGAACGGCTCTGGTCCGATCAGATTCGAAAATTCCTCCGCCGCATTCAAAGGGTCGTCTTATTGCCTTGACGCTGGAGATTCTCCGGTAAACGGCTCTACTGTCCTTGTCCAAATCTGCAAGAATGGGGCGGTGGGTCAACAATGGACAAGTACCAACACATCAATTGCCTTATCTGGTCAAAGTGAGTTTCATCAATTGGCGGGAGGGAGATCGCTCACAACAAGATCTGTGCTTGCAGACCGGTAATGAGATGTATGGCGGCGGGTCCAACGAAGGGGACTACACACCAGTATTTGTGTTGCAAGTCTTCACTTGTAACAATGCACTCAAGCAGCAGGTATGTGATCTTGTCACGATCAAAAGAGCAAAGCTGATTCGAGTAGACTTTCACGACTTACACTGGCGAGAATGTGCCGCCCCCTATATCCACCAGCCGTGCTTGAGTTCGAAAAGATATGGGAATGGTGTCTTACTACCCATCTTGAGCAATGTTACTGTGAAACCTGTATTTGTATGTATCATCTATGTATTCCGTATCTCAATCCCTGAAGTTTATCCAAATGGTGATATGGGTGAAAGACGAAATATGTCACTGAACGCTCTTTTTCCCGCACTCACATTGAGATACAACCATTCCGCGCGCTGAATATGACGGATATGCTGCTCTACATTCCTCACTGACTTGCTCTAACTCGTATCTCACATCTCAGACCGTGAGGAGATGGGCTACTAGCATTCGGGCCGAAACCACCCCGATATTTCCTCAGTTGACTCCCTTGATATGTACCATCCCCCGTAAAAAACGGGTCAACACTCCTTCCCCATTCCCACGGGAACATGGCTGAAACGTTGAGTTTTCTCTGTGTGGTCAAGCCTGTGTGATCGTCTCCTCATAGCTGATCAATGGAGCCCTTCCAACATTCCCACAAACGCTAAACTTCGATATCAATACCCCAAAGGAAGCAAAAGGAGCAATGTCAGTATTCCAGAGTTACCCAAGTCACAAACATGTTTGACTACATTCACCAAATCCGTTCACATCTCCTGACTCCTTACTCCTTGACCCTATTACATTCTCATTTGGGAAACATTCAGATTACTATAGGTAAGGAGGAAAAGATAAAAGCGGCATGGGGTTTAAAAGACATTCCGTCTCCCGTTTCTTGGTTACCCTTTTTTGTGATCGTACCGTAACTGAGACACACCCTTGGTGCAGGTCACCATGTTCTCTATCATCATATCCATCGTCTTCTTTCTCAACCTACCATTGAACAAGGTCAAAGCGAATGACGGTGGGATCTACATTTCCTTATTGGACACGGAATCCCTTTGCTTATCTCTGGTGACCAATGATGTTGAACGTACCCAAGCTGTATGGAGAGGTGCCGTAGGTTTAACCAATTGTACCAACGCAACAACTTGGAGTTCCACTTTACACATAGGTTCTTTGGGACCGTTGAGAATGTGGAACGAGAATTTCGCGGCTTTACCCGTCGATGCAGTTGGCTTTAACGATGTTTCTCCTACAGGTTTGAATGTAAGTTTCTTTCATTTCAGTGAACTTTCTTCTCGAGGATGAACAGTGATTGATGAGGAACGGAATTGACAACAGGCGACAAGTTACAACAATACCGGAACTTACGCGGATTACACTTGGCTGTGAGTATTCATTCTTCTGTCTTGATCTTGAACATCAATACTTTTCCACAAGAAGCTTACAATTTAGATGGGAATATACCACGGAGAGCACGATTCAGTATCGAAACAATTCCAACCTTTGTATACAAGGTGATACAAAGACGATGCAAGTAACACCAGCCAATTGTTCTGGTCAACGTGATCAACGTATGTGTTTCCCTTACCAATCTGTTACTTGATCAGTGTGACTAATCAATTTACGCGTTGACATTCAGAATGGACCTATCGTCAGTCCCCCCAGTTAGTTTCTGCGAGCACTGTGAATGTCAGTGATGTTTATGCCGATCCTGAAGGATTGGTCAGATTACATCGTGCGTAAACACTTCATCTTAACTTCTCTTAATTCTCTAACATCCCTCTATTCAGATTATGGAAAGCTCATACATAGCACTCGGAAGGAACGATTTATGTGTTAGCTCCTTGGCATACCCATCTGCAAATGATAACTATAATTCAACTCTCTTCAAAGATCTCCAAGCTGTCACGTTAGTCGATATTCACTTTCCTTCCTCTTTGCCGCTAACGGTCAGTGCTCGATGTGTCAACAATACTTCACCTGTTTCCGACTTTCAATTATTTCAAGGACCCATAAACACATCTTATGTTGGACCACTGACCTTTGCCAACACATCCGCCGGTTTCAATTACACAAGCAGTTCTTACTGTCTTGATGCGGGACAGAATCCCAACGATGGGACGGCAATAATGGTCCAATATTGCAATTCGACCAATACGGGTCAACAATGGGTAGTAGATATTCATAATCATACTATCTCTTTGAATGATACTAGTAAGTTCTACACCTTGTTTTAAAGAAGAGGATTGACCTGGTAGATCTTTGTATGGACGCCACGAGAGGCTCGAGCGATTTGCCAGGTGCCCAGGGTTTGTTCCAGCCGGAATACCTGCTACAAGTTTGGAATTGTACCAAGGCTGATTCACGACAGGTAAGCTGCCATATCAATGGGAAATGATGGAGCTCATAGGTTGCAGAACTTCACCCTTTATACAGGACCGGATGTACCGGCGTCTTCGTGATATGGACTTGGGAAGTTGTGATCCGTGCGCGTTTGGTCAACTTGCCACTTGCGATATGTATGAAGGACTGTCAATGCATGTGTATATAACCCCGTGAGGGTGTTACTTTAAAACGTCCGTACTGTCTACGGCATTTCAGAAACCACTGAAACTTCATTTCAATTACTCCTTTGGGTCCCCTCTTGACGTGAAACTGACGCCACACTCGGCCCGGTCCCCCATCGTACCCCGGATCATGATGAAAGGATCTCAAAGTTTTCCATTTTCATTTCCCACTGTTACAAGTAAGAACCTTGTGAAAAATTACTGTCACCCTGGTCTTGGCGAGAATGTGCGAACGCCGAATGAGGATATATAAGAAGGTGGATCCGTCTTCCAAGCAAAACGCCTATCTGACTGTGAGATTAGCGTTGGTCGCTTCGGTTGAATCACCGATATAGTCCGGGATACGAACCATAAGATAATGTCCTATTTGGTCATATACATCCTTTTGGTCGCTGGAAACTCACTATTCGTCCACGCCCACCCTACGAAACATGACTCGACCGCGATGAAAGTCAGGGATCAGACCGGATCTGGAGGGACCCAGATCTACTTGGCTACAGGAGCGAACCAGAACAAATGTCTGACCTCAACGACTCCAGCTGACGGAAGCTCGGCGTCGTTATCAATTGTGAATTGTACTTCTGCCCATTGGTGGGACTATCTCCCCCAAACGACAGCCAGTGGTCCGTTGATAGGGGATTCCAAAGGTTGTGCTTTGACGACATCCGGTAATGGCTCCCTCAAAGTGAAGTTTCCCCTTCTCTACTTTAAATCGTTACTGATGGCGTAGTGGGATTGTTCCACTAATTTCAATAACCCCAACATCCAGTAAGTCGCCAAGTTATCCAGCAATAATAATCCTACAGACGAACTGAACTGACGTGTAGGTGGAACTGGATACGCCAAAGTTTCCTGCAAAGTGTAGCCGATGAAAGCAAATGTCTCACGGTGGATTCATCCGGAAATGTGGTTCTGAGTGATTGTTCCTCTGCTAAACGCGAGCCTTCATTTACCAAATTCTCTCAGTATTGGCTGATCAATTAGCATGGGTGTACAGAACATCTGCTACGTTTGAGCCAATCACCTCTCAAGTCACTATTAACAATATCTACCAGGACGACATACATCAGACTCTAATCAGGGGTGAGTAGGCACTCTTGATTTCACAGTCATCCTTCAGAGACACTGATTTTAAGCAATGGGGCGACCTGACTTGTGTGTCGGAGCCGTCCATAGGGCTTTGCAACAGGCAAACGGTAGCAACATTGCCGATGGTTACTATATCAGTACGGGCTTGGGGTTGAGCGTGTGAGTCTCCCACCTTGTTCCATTCCATAATGAAATGATAAAAACACCTAGCTGAGTATCAGGAACCCATCTGCCGATTCTCCTTCTTCATGGTTGTTCTTTCAATACTTCGAAATGCCTTACCCTATGGACTACAGCAAAGGCAACTACACGGGACCCCTAGCTTTCAACACCCACCTCGCCTTGGGAGGAGGAGGATATTGTGTAGACGCGGGTGATGCTCCCTCGGAATACTCTCAGTTGTATACTTATTCTTGTCAAGGGTCAAAGTCTCAGACATTTGTATCGGACAATAAGACATTGTCGATGGAAGGTACCAGTGAGTTTACCATATCCTGCCGCTTCTATACTCGGAATAGTGAAGGGAAAAGTGAGAGCTGAGCGGAAGATATGTGCGTCACGGCAACATCTTCTGGCGTTCCTCCTGGACAATTGGGAGAAAAGCAGCCTGATTATGCTCTCGTTATGAGGACGTGTGATGGGAGTCTTGAGCAGGTAAGACGATGATTCAAGTGTAAAATTATCCCCCGCTGAACTTCTAGAACTTCTTCTTTTACACAGGCCCCATCGTCATCAATCATCATGTTGACCAATAAAGTCATGAGACAAGAAAAACATTGTAGTGACAGAAGCGATGTGTTGTATAGATGGTAGTTGAGCAGTTGATCGATGATACTGTATGATCCGAGACAAGTGACTTACGTCCAGTTCATACGGTACATATTTTCCTGACTCTCTATAGACATTTTCACCATATTCGTACACCTATTGTCCATCTTCACCAATAATCTCAAACTTTCACCCTATCATACCCTTGTTATCTTCACAGTCGTTCAGCGTGTATAGACATTCTAGAAATCAGTCCAGTTCAAACATGTTCAATCAGAACTCACGTGTGGAAGTAGACCGGAGGCAGTTGGTCCACTTTGACCGTACGGTGCATTCGTATCGGCATCCATACAAAAGGTTCGTCGCAGTGGTTTGATATCGAACTTCATTAGCTGTGGAGAAACCCCACCTATGCATTCATCAGCTCTACTTCCACTTGAAGAGTATCCCCAACTCCACTCACATATACTGCTGGACATCGTCGCCTTCCAGAACGCTAGGATACATTGCCAGCTAAGTCCATTAGCATCTATCCTCACATGAATGAAAGACCTACGATAGGATCACCACCTTGAGTCCCATTAGAAGCCACCACACAAAGATCGCTACCTTCGTACTGCGCCCCAACCACGATCATCGCCGTTGCGTAGGTATCCGTGATTATATGGGTATTGAATTGGTAATCAACATAACCGTTGGTACATGGTACTAAAGAAAGGGTATCGTTGACGGTGGGACTCAAAGTGTTTGGAGCGAGACAGAGGGTATTATCTGCTATAGGAGAGAGGGTTACTTCTCCAAGGTTAGCATAAACCCCAAGGGTCACTAGGCAAGTAATAATAAAGAGCGAAAACATTTGTCGAGAAAATACAGATTGAAATGAAGAAGAAAGAAGAAGCGCTTTTCGAAGTATGAAAGCTAGATTGACCATCAAAACCCTTTCGAACTAGTATGTTTGAGAAACCCTTTGGGTCCTTTGAAAGATGCATACGTCAATTGAATGGAATAAGTAAATGACGGGGGGTAAAAGACACCAAGGAGTTTCACTTGGCATGTCAGAACCGTGAGAAATCGTCACAGATCAAACTCCGATTTTGACCACTGGCGTTTCTCTCGAGTCAGGATCTAAAATCCACAGTGTATCCGATCCAAACATCGAGTGTTAAACGTCAGTATCTAATCAGAAAAAATAGGGCGATCCCTGAATCGTTGTGATGCGATGAAATCGTGATGGGTGCATCAGTCAAAAGTTATTAAGCGAAACTCCTTACGAAACAGGATCCCAACTCGTTTTCATCTCACATCAATCTCATGATAAAGCGAACAACCTTATGCGCCCATTTTCGCCAGCGATGTGTCTCTCGTGTGTCTGAAACATAGTCCGACGGTGTCAGAAACCATTCTGAAAGTGTCATTTGAGCAGTTTCAAAGTGAACAAAATGGTGCTTGTACTCACTCGAATCGGATCCTGTACATTCTCCTATCCGTACGACTCGGCTATCCGCTATCAAACATCCTCTTGGTTCGTCATCGTCCTCATGATACACAAGTCTACCTTCGTCCCATGTCCAAGAACTACCAATCAGCATGATCCATTTTTCTAATGGTGGAAAAAGACGACTTGCGGTAAATGTGTGATGCTTTTCGAGACCAGATCGGATGGGGTGATCTAAACAATCAGCACTCATGACGATCCCCTATCAAAGATACTCACCAGAATCTCAGCTCCATAGCTTGAATTATACGGTATTGCGGTGAAGCCTGACCATCGTTCTGACAACGTTATCGTTTCGTCCAGTCCTCTTCTCTTCATTCGCCATACTTGACAATGATCACTTTCGACGAGTAACAATCGGGGGATCTGTTCTCCTATCTGTATATCTCCCGGTTCCTTAACATCTACACCTAAGCAATATGTGGGACTATTTGCCGGTGAGATTCGTACGGCGTGTATCTTTTCCAAGGCTAGAGCGAGAACAGAGGTTGACAGCATGAGAAGAAACATTCGACGAAGCATGGTCGTGAGACAGGGATGAGGGTGGTAGAAAGTGTGAAAGTGACAGCATCATGAGTTCTAGAATACGCTTGTTTCAGATCCCGGTCAGTGTGAAGAAAATCAGGAAGGATAAAGAGGAAGGAGGAAGGAAGAAAGCAAGAACAAAGGGGGAAGTGAAAGGGAGTGTTTCCAACTCATGAAACCATAAAGTCAAGCTCAAGGGGTTCACTCTATCCACTCCGATCTACTTCGGCGTCATGGAGAAGGGAGGTCAAGTGTGAGTGGTGATAAATGCATTTTCGTACACACGACGATTGTTTCCAACTAACGTAGGCGAGTAGGTGCCGCAGTGGGTGAGCTCGCAGCCGTCATAGTACTCGTCAATGTCAACAACTGCATTTTCAGTTCTATCCTTTCACAGTCTCCCAATAGTATAGAGTACGATTAAGGAGCAGACCAACTTACCTGTTGCGGGTCGGGATCGCGGCAGGTATCCATGACTGCCAATAATTGGGCCGATGTATCATTTCCTGTGACAGGCAGGTTTCCGGTCCCAGTGAGCGTGAGGCAATAAGCTGAGCATCAATTAGCATCTCATCGAATCTTCAAAGAAGATATCTCACGGGAGTCCAACAAAAACAGGAATGTACCTTCCAACGAAAACTGCTGAGCCTTTCCACCCGTGCAGGGATAAGTGAGGACGAGAGATCCAATTGATGGGTTGTCGCCAGCGTCAAGGCAGATGTCAGTCGATTCTCCAGTATCGAATTTCACCGGTCCGGGTCGATTCGAGTTGAGCTGCATGTCGAATCGTTGGGTAATCGCCTTGTTGGAGGCAGTGGAGTTCTTGCAATAGGCCCTGTATGTAAGTCAACTTGTTTGATGATCGTGGGTTTCAAGATTTCTAGAGCAATCAAAGCTTTCTACCAAGCAAGCTCATCGGAGTGGACGTTCTGTCAGTCACGAGATCTTGGCACAAAATGTCAACACGCTCATGTTGGGATGAGGCCAGGGTGATATCGCATGGTAGTGGGAGCGGAAAACAAAAGCAATGACTCACACTCCAACGGGCATACCTGGCACGATTTGATCGGCATCTGCTGGCAAGGCCGAGAGACAGAGGTCAGATCTTCCGACGGCTATCACCCTTCAGCTTCTATCGAGTATTTGTAGGACGGCCAGCAACGCTCACCATAGATATGCGCATCCCCATCCTCATCCTTGATGGGAGGTGGGTTAGCCGATGTGGGTGTTGTATCATTCTGCTGTGTAGTCCGGAAAGTCCACGCTATATATTCAACTTCCCAATCCTCACCAAAGATGGATACCAGTTGACTCACGTCCACTCTGTGAGCATATTCCCGTTTGAACATTTTGACCAACAACTGTCAAGCAAGAAGAGCTGTTTGCCGCGCTCTGAATGTAACCTTCCCTCGTCCACAACCACCTACTTGTCAGCGCAAACCTTCTAGATGAATGGAAAAATTCATACGCACTCAAATGCGGGATCGCTCCCATCTGGTTTGTCACAGTCCACCTGATAGTCAGCTCACACACCATGATTTGATTAGAAAATGCAGCACTCACAGAGACCTGTTGGTCAGTGTATTGTACAGCACACCCAGTATCAGACGCCACCATGGGGGTTGCTTTTAGTAGGAGGGGCTGGTACAACCAGGTGGTCGCGGCAGCACAATCAGTCAGAGTCAATGACTTCTTATCAGTACCGATGCCAATGCATTTTGTCGTTTCGTCGTATGGCGAAAGGTAAATGGGCGGCTGTCCATCTCTCTTGACTTGTGGAAAGTGTAACGTGGTAGCAGATACGAGGTGGAGTCCGACGAGGAGGCCGCACACGTGTTTGAAGTTCATGTTGACGATTAGCTTAAGCGTCCAGCGCTGATAGAAGTTCAGCTAGAAAATAGATTCGACTAAAGTCAACGATTGTCGGGGCGTACGTAGAAGTCAGTGACCTATTTATCCGATCCGGAACGTTTCTTGGCGCGTCAAATCGGACAGGAGGCCGGTCAAACTTCCCACCACAGTGACCGGTCAGAACCGTGAGATCTCAGAACCAGGGGGGGATAGTCATGAGCACCTTTCATAACGAATCGGGGTCAGAAGGGAGCGTTGTCAATTAACAAAAACTCAATCTGACTAGACTGGCGAGGGGCAAAAAGGGGAGAACGTAAGACTTACATCTTTGTGTGTGATCCTTTGTGTGGACGATCCTCATTCTCACGGCGTCAAACAGATCAAAGGTCCGAAGAGATTAGAGCTCGGGCATTGACAGTGTCCATGGAAGACCGAAAGAACTGACTGGAAGAATCAAGCGATACAACATAGGTTTGATAGTTCAATTGTCGGCGCTTTTACATAAGATTGAAGGAAGGAGTTGTGATAAAGGGAGAAGGATGTGAGAGAATGGATTTCCCTTCAGGTTCCACCTTCTGTCCGACGATGAACCTTCAAAGCGTTTCGCGTCACATCGAAGTATTCCACATCTTCCGTGGCTGAGATGAGGACGTAGTGTTGTTTTCGAGCAATGGTTTGGGTCGCTGATCGGGTTCGAGGGGACGATCGAATCGTACGCGGCAGATCCAGGAGAGTTTGAGTGTGGGAAGACGGGGCTCCTACAATGGTCTGTAGGCTGATTGTACTTCGACTCGCCTTGATAGGACTGCCAGATCGCCGGGAGGAGTCCCCGATACCTCTGGACATGGAGGGAGCGTTCGATTCCGATTCATCTGATGAAGAACAGAGGTCGATCACACCAAGAGGTTCTACTCTGTGACTGATCGGTTTTGTGGCCTTCATCGGTTTCTTGGGAGACGATACAGCGTAGGAGGAAGGAGCTGGCTGAGTGAGTAAGTGACGCGTCCGTCTGAAAGTGGATGGCGAGACAGATACCGCCTTGATACCTGCCAAGGCGATATGAGGAGGGCTTGAGGAGCGTGTGTTCAAATTGGGAAGAGATGGGGATTTCTCTCTCAAGACGGGGTGTCTTGGAGGTGAGCTCGATTGCAGTAAGCTGCTCGATGGTGATTGGCTGTCTTCGGGGTGCCTTTCAGCTTGTTCGAGTTCTCCTTGTGAAGGTTGAGATGAGGAAGTGAAGAAATTAACGAATTTTCGAGAGTCTTCCGTCGTTGACTGTAATTTGGCCTTGCCTTTACCGCTGGATGTCTTCATCTTCGACGCAGTCTTGACTTTGATGGGTTTTGTGGCCTTGCCAAGTTTTGCCGCTCTTTCGTTCTCATACGCCTGCACCAACTGGGGCCAAGCCTCCTGTATCAAGTAGTCTCCTATCCACACTCTACTTTCTGTCTTAGAAGTGACTTGAGAAGAGGGCGGCAGTGCATCGGCGTCGTCGCCTCGATCGATCAAACCCAACAATCGACGTTCTTCTGGATCAAGGGAAATGGGATCCACTCGTGCTCCTACCATGGCTGCTCGACACCGGTCTGCAAGGACTGAATGGGAGAAGGAAATCCGATATTCCTTCAGATCGGGGTTGAGTGGATCGGGTCGGATGGAACAAATCCTGCCCACGTAATCGGGCATTTTGGGTCTTTCTTGAAACGCAGGAGTGTGATCTGGAGCGGAGGAAGATGTTGGCAGAATGACGGGAGCGGTCTTGTCGGAGGAAGATGGAGATGATGTGACAATAGGGAAGTAACTAGTAAGTCGAGAATTCGAGGAACTGACGACTTGAGGTGTTCTACTCAATGTATCCCTGGCCGTATTCATCACCTCAGCCCCGAATAAACTCACACTCTCCCCTGCGAACTTCTTACACACAAGATCCTTAGTACCCCATTCGAAAAACTTCTCGCATGCCCTTGCCATACCCTCCAAGTCTCCCCTCCCATTGGACCTTGCTTTACCGCGAGTTACGGACGGCTGACCTTGGCCAAAACCTGGCCAGCCCTGAGTGAGATCGAGAAGAGGGGAAGTAACTGGACGTAGATAGGCGTTCAGGGTGAAGGTCGGGAAGAGAGTTGCAAGGTCGTGTTTTTCCAACTCGGTAGCACGAGCGGGATAGCGTCGTCCCATGAATCTGGAAGAGTTTGTACGAAGTTCTGCTACCATTTGTTGATGCACAGATGACAGCTGGGAGGTGAATGATGCCGGAGTTGAGGTGTATTGTTTTAAGAAGTGGCAGAGACCAGCGTTAGCCAAGCCGAACGAAATGGTAGCTCCTACAATGTCAGCTAGTACAACCAGAAGGGCAGCTGTATTGACTCACCGAAGCCGGATAAGCCTTCTGGGGCGTAGTCACCCCCACCTAACAAAGCAATCAAAACCATAGCCATCCGACAGTCTTCCTCCGTCTTGAGAGCAGTCCCTTCTTTGTCCGTCCACAGTTGCTTGATAGCCTCTGAACGATAAACCTCATAAGGTCGAAGATCTCCCTTGAGGGGATTGTTTTTGGTGATTGTAGATGCTTGAGCACCGGAAAGTGTGGGCGAGTTACTATAGGTGAGATCAATCTCCAAACTATCACCGAGACTTACTTTCTCAACAAGCACGTCGCTCCGAATAGGAGAGCGTCGACATCGTCTGATAGAACAGCATCAATCTTGCCTTGACGGTTCATTACTGCCAACTCGGCTTCCGCTTCCCCGGGTGCCTGTCATAAGCTCATTGCTGCCCACGGACAGACATCTACTACAAAGAAGCCCAAGAAAGACGTCATGATCTTTGTAGATGTTTAGACTCACGTTCCACCACTCCAGACCACATTCATCTAACAGAGCTTTGAACTGCTTACTCCTATGATCTGCCGTCCCGAATTGTCCAGTGATATTCTGATTCCTCTTCTGCGAGGGTTTATTAGGACCATCTAATATATGAGCTTTGATGCGAATTCTCAAGGAAGCTCACCAAAGACGAAGACCGGTAAGACTGGTTGTTGAAGTAATTGTGTGATTTTGTAAAAGATCGTTCGCAAGAAAGGGTTTTCCCCATGTTGAGGTACCTGAGCATGAAACATCCATATTCTTCCTCAAGTCAGAACGTCTTTCACATAGTCATGTATTGAGCTCACGATGCGTCTATGCCTATCGTAAGGGCACGATGACCGTTGTGGTTTGACAAGACGGCTTGTCGAGCTAAGGTAGACAAGGAAGTACGAGTAGCAGCCGGTCGCAAGAGCTGTTGGTGAGTTTCTCTCGAGTGCATACACAGGAAAAGCTCACGTCCCACAATCCTGGCACACCCATGATTTCAAGAATGCAGTAGTCTATAGCATGATATACACCAAGATGACAAGATTGAACACCCAAGGTTACTAAGGAGATGTTGAGATGTTGTTTTGACCAAAAGTGAGTGAGTAACTGTAGTGGAGGTGTCACGTGACTCCAAATTTCGCCCCTCGAAACCTCAACTGTGCTCACCTTTGCAAGCTATTCTTCTCTTCTCTACCACTTGCCAACAACGAGGTCATCATACAACCATGGCGTCCTCTTCTCAAATACCTGTAGAGATAGGTGCGAGTCAAAAGAAGAAACGTAAATCAACCTTCAATGATGAATCCGACGTTCAAGTCATCGTTTCACCTCCTTCCAACACAGTCGGTCCTGTCTTCGGTAAGTTTTCTCCTCACATTTGACACATTAGCTGACGAGATGTAGTCAACTTCCCCTCTATACGTCCTTCCAAAACTATCCCTTTCACACTTTATTCTCGTACCCCCGAATCTACTCTCCCTCTGAACAAACAACCCACCCTTTTAGCTGGTGAAACTGAAGATGTGGAATTTTTCTCAGTCAATGGAGAAGGTCATGGAGAGGGACACGACTGTTCATATCTTCCTGCGATATATGATCCTTCCACTCAACAATTACACATTCATCCTAACGCTCCATTATACCTTTTGGCACATCAGGTGAAACGGTTGAAACAAAGTCAAATGAGTTCTCCTAGTAAAGATCCCGCAGAATATAGGGCGAGAAGGAATGATCTAGGAGAAACTTTCGGAACGAGGAAAGCAAAGAATCAGATCAAAGCTCAAGAAAGGAATAAAGTCGATGTGAGAGCTATGGAAGGTGTAAAAGGACATTTGATGGAGAGTATAGGTGAAAAGGTCATGGATGAGGAGGGTGAGTTTTCAGAATCAATCAATGTCACTAGATACATGATTGTCAAAAGGATATCCAACATATGGACCTTTGTTCTGCTACGTCGTACTTCCCTCTTCTTCTATCTCCAACACATATCACACACTTCAAATCAATCCTCTCTCACCCTTCATGATCAGACCGTCACTCAATCTTCACTTTCAGCTTCACAAAGGGATTTCTGTGTAAGAGCTGACTTTCAGGTCCTGTCCCTCCATCAGAACTTATCCCCATCCCAAACCTCGAAACCTCAGATTCATCTCTAGTCTACCCCCGAGAAGTTCTAATACCAAATAACGAATGGGATAGTATCTCCCTATCTTCCTTTCGTTCCTCTACATCCGATATTCAACGTCTTCAAACCCTTCCACATCGTCGTTCAACATTTATCAAAAACAAGATCGTTTCTATAATGAACGAAACTTCTTCTTCTAAAAAGAATACCATGACAAAATACATCATTTATCTTTCTTCTTTATTCGCTTTCCTCGATCTCTCATCTCAACTACATAAGTTATCAGGAACAGAATTACAAGATAAATTACCAGGTGTCAGTCCACAAATTATCAGTGGATTATGTATCAGATTTGGGGAACAAACGAATGGAGGTAAAAGATGGAAAGTTACAGAAATGACAAAAATGAAATTATTAGCTTGGATCTGTACTATTTGTTTGGCAGTGGATGGTTGGACTACGGATGTTTTAAGGATTGCTAGTGATTTAAAGATGACACCGAATAAGTGAGTTTGATCCTTGATGACTCCTGTCAATCTTTCGTTATATATACTCAAACCTCCTACTTTGATCTCGTACACTTTCTTCACACTTGAGTCAACTCCATTCTTCAGTCTACTCCAGTCTGTGAATACATCTCACGATGCTCTCACATACAAGTAGTTTGTCAAGACTGGTTTCATCTGGTCTTCACCTAATCGAATAAAATTTATCCGTTTTCGCAAAGTCTACTTGTCTATCACACAATCAGGGACTCACTCAGCTCCATCACCCGAGTGTCAGAAAGGGACGAGAGAGACCTTTGTCAATGCGCGTTAGCTGATATCTAGGGTGGTGGACATCTTCAAATCGTTAGGATGTAAAGTCGAACCCGCTCCTCCTCCAGGTACCAACTCTCGCAAAGCGACATTGAAAGCACCTGTCATCTTTCCGAAACCCAAACGTCGCGGACCTGTCCAGCGATGAGCAGATCTCCTTCCTATTCGTACACGCATCTCATTCGACATATCACGTCAAGTCACATCTTCCTCGTTTCTCATCCTTATTGTGTACATTTCATACCATAGCTGGTTCATGCATCTCATCCATACTGTTCGAACCTACCAAACAAAACCTCCACGGCAGAACGAGACAGAAACGCATGACCAAGTCGGAATTATGGAGGTGCATAGGTATGAGCTTCATCTCCACAAGTGAAGAATAATCTATAACGGTCATCAAGATCGTGCATATTTCGTTACACCAAATTTCCCTATCCATTTCCCCTCATTCGCAGGTACATATTTACAAAGGCTGAATGTGTACTTTCTACTGTCTTCCAGGTGCTAAATACACTTTCCAACTTTTAGCTCCATCGGCACTACGCATACTTACCGCTCCACCTTTTCTCAAAAGTTCAGCTACTTTAGAATCAAGTAATAACAACCTTTCTTTTCCTTCCTTTTGTCTGATGAATTTTCCTTCTTCTTCTTCCCTGGCTAACGCATCATCCCTCTGATGAGTCCTTCCTTCCTCCCCCGACGTCCCGTTGGTCCACACGGATGTCACGCCGGTTGAGCTGGCTACATTGCCAGACGTTCGGCCTTGATAAGACAAGGGTCGGGGAGAGAAAGTTAATCTGCGTGGGGTGATCAGGGGGTGAGTACGGATAGGAGGTAAACGACGAGAAGAGGGCGAGAGATGAGAGTGTATTGATGATGGGGGAGAAGATGAACGAGGGAATAAAGCGTAAGCTTGGTGGATCGTAGAAAGGGAATATGCCCGGCGATGAGTGTTGTGAGATTTGGGTTTACTGATTATCAGACTTCCATCCTCAACCGTTGTAACCAAGGAATGATCATGTTCATGGGGACCAGTGATGACTCTTTGAAACTTTTAGGGTTCATTCTGTGATTGGAAGTGATTTGAGAGATAGTGTGTGTGACAAGGGACCTAGGGGGGTAGCGACGATGGTGAAAGTCGATCTTGAAGGAAAGAAAAGGAAAGGACGGGGGGTTAAAGTCAAAGATAAATGACAGGAGAGACAGTTTCAAGTTAGAGACAAAAATGTACTCACGCAGTCAAGGGAGGAGAAAATTTGGTTCGTCTCATTGGTGGTAACATCGGTCTAGCTGTTTTTGGTGGACTTACAGACTGGTAATCAGTTATCTCTACTTCACTCATCTACTTTATCCTCCCGGGTTGAGGAGTTCAAAGCACCTGGTATGCTTCCCCTGAAAGACTTGTTCGAGGGAGAGAGGGAGAGAGGGAGAGAGGGAATAACACGCAAAGGACATGTAAGATATATTCAAGAAAGAAGGAAATAACTCACCCCCGACCCCAATCTCATTCTCTCCAACCTAGCAAAAGTCCTTTCTCTCCCAACACTCCCCGTACTACCAGACAACGGTGATCCAGAGTGTTCACTATCGCTCCATCCCATATATGCTGGAACTGGTGAAAGAGAACTCCGAGTACTTTGTGATAATACTGAACTGTTCGACCTTGGTGAATCCGTGATCCATCTTGGTCTTTCATTTTCCATCATGTTGATATTCGTATTTGTCGTAGTCATCGTAGTTATGATCAAGGCAACCTGGACGGATTTTGAGCTACTGAGTTACTGTGAGAGATTGGTGACTTTCCCTGTATCGAACACGAAAGAAAAAGTGGGGAAACTGTAAAGAGACCATGTTCTATAAGTAAGTTATTCGACATGAGACCTTACAATACCCTACTGTGCAGTTATGAACGAAAGACAATTGCTTCTGGTCTCATCATATTCCCCTCTCGAGGTGTTCTATACGTTTGTTTGAAATGTAAGAAAAGAGATCAGCTTGGAAAGAGAGAGAAGATTATCGTTATTGACCGGGAACAATGACATGTTCTGTCCCGACGCTCGGATCTCTCGGGGATAATAGACCTCGAGCGTAGGGGGGGAAAGAGGGGTAAAGGGGATGAAAAGTGAACAGTAGAGAGGAGAGATGGTCGCTTTGTTTGTTGTTTTAGTTCCTGGGATCCATACGTATGGTCTTATACTGAAGTTGGAGGAACAATAACACGGGTGGGGTCATTAGTGCGATTTCAAAGTCAGTGGAGAGTGGAGCAAAGAGGAAGTTTTAAGTCTCTTTCTTCTGTGATCACTCTGATTCTTACCCTTTCAGTATCAAATCAACAGCATACCTATATCTTGCCTGTTGTTCTCGCTTGATAAGCCGAGTTAGGTAGCAGTATACAGCAACCAAATGAACCAAACAAGAGAACGGGTTGGGAGGTAAAGGACGGAAGGAGGCGGTGGTCAAAGACAATAAGCTGCAATTCCGACGGAAGTATTCAAAAGGTGGGATCGAATAAGTTTCGACCCATTTCTAACTTTTTCAACCACTCCCACGATGGTGAATGGTGAGGAAAGACAAAAAACGTCAACTACGACGAAGACGAAATGGCAGAAACATCTCAAGTCAATATAACATCAGGTTTAGATAGAGCGGGAACATTACAACAATCAGTATCAGCAGGTGTGATACATGACAAGATTACCATTGTGCGTTGTCTTTTCTTACTTTCTCCTCTTTGTTCGTCTTTTGAGACGTTGACCACCTATTTCTCCATACTATTACCAGTGTTGTTCTGAGCACAAGAAGATGATCAATACTTGTTTCAACTAGCGGACTGTTGTTTTGAGCTGATGTATAGCTACCAGGTCATGAACCAGATTATTCAGCTTGCACTTTTTGTTTATGGAATGAAGATCATACGTTGGGAAACGCTTTACGGTGGATGTTGATGAAAGAGTGAGATCTCTTTTCTTCCTTGTTCCTTTCAGTACTTGACTACTTGAACGAACCTCACTTGACATCTTACATGCTACATAACTCTTCGTTCCCATTTCGATCAAATGTGTTTTCACTGACGGCTCTTCAATGCGAAGGAATCAGCATCTCTCTCGCCAGCTACCACTCTCTTGTGGAAGGATAACAGTCTTCATGACTCACCCGATGTACGAATGACTTGATCAGTCTAGAAATGCCGAGCTGCCGTAACGATGTGAGGAAGAACAACTCACGTCTAGTCCCGATGTAGAATTTTGCGGTTATAGCGCTCCTCATCCTTCCGATCCGAAGATTCATCTTAGAGTACAGATGTACGGTAAGTCGACGCCTTCCGTCTCTTTCCCCGACCTTGCTTTCCCCCCGCTATACTCAAGCCATTCCTGCCTACCCCGGTCTCGCGTCAGTCACCGCTTTTCTCCCTTTCCCCAAAAACATCTATCGATGCGCAAATCTCAGTATCTCATCTGATCAATCATCTGAAAGGATCATAGAGGTTGATTTGGCGCATGCTGAATTCCAGACAATCTATCCGCCGTGGAATGTCTGAGAAAAGCTTTGAAGAATCTGAGAGAATTATTTCAATCGATCGATTCGGCTTATTCCAAATCTCTCCAGTGAGCCTTTCAATCGCTACAGACACCTTACACATCTCCCTCTGCAGCTTATATCCTCATTCACTGCTATACCGGACCTTCATTGAATTATGTCACTAGTCATTGCGAAAAGGGCTGGAAGCAGACCTACCATGACAAAACCCATGGCTGTTACAAGAGGTTTGTACATCAAACGCTGATTCCACAGACAGGGGAAATATATACAAGAAGATGATGTTGATGTTCGGGCTGTGGTAGCTGAGACATTGGAAGAGCGCGCACGAGCTATGGACATATCATAGTTTCTTTATCACATCTCGAGAGTAATCTGGTATTGGTAATGTCATCATCGTATGTATCTGTAAATCGCAATGTAACATTTATATCATGTCAAAGCACCTTTGATCCACTGACTAGAAAGTGGTTCAACTCGCGGCTCATTTGTTCAAAACGATACCAGCCCGGATGAAAGTGGTGAAATATACTGCGTTACCAACTCACCACGCGATGGTGCGAGCGTACGACCAAGCGTCAGTATCGATGGTGATGTAGAGGTACACTGGGTGTTTTTTCTATACTAACTTCTTCATAACCGAACATGTCACTACACTAGTGGAGAGCCCAATCACAAGGAATGAACCAAATGGCTTTGACATGGTGTTGATTTCTTCCAACATACGTGGTAGAAAGGATGAAGAGTGAGAGTGAGTAGAATTGTACTCTCTATGTACAGTCCACTTCGGCGGTCATTGTCCGAGAAACCCGGATGCCGGATGTCGGTCGGTCAATGCCCGATCGGATGGCCCGACTACGAGCAACCCGCACCGATAGCACGATCGCACAACACCACATCACAACAGGATACCAAGGTCCAACACCGTCCATCTCTGTGTATATACACTTACGTCCCTAGTGCCCAAAAGATCTGAAAATGTCCACCGTGGACGTGGGGAAGAAAAATTCAGCACCGAGAGTATTACCCCACTATGGAAATCTTCTCTTTCACATTTCTTCCGTTGGGGTCATGTTGAAAGGGTTCATGGCTTTACAAGATATGTCAATCTCTAAAGCTGTCGAACCGCAAGTGAGTAAACAATCACCTTAGACATCCATTTTTCTTGTATGACCTACTTATCCTCTTGATACTCTTACTGGTTATATCTGTCCATCATCACTCTCATCCACCCGATATCTGTTTATCCCGATTTTCAGTCTCGTGCTCATGACAATCGAGACTTGAGCTTGGATTCCTTACTACACAATGGTGATTCTTCGATAGTTGGTATAGATAAGGAGTGTCTGGTAGATCTGGTTGATAAGAGAGCTTTCCAGCGATCGAGTATGAAGCTAAAGTAGTAATCGCTAACGTACAGTTTGGAGGTACTTATCCTCCTCTCTTAAAAAGACAATGACTGATCTCAAGGGTTTCTTCTTTACCTCACTATTATAGGGTGAGCAGACAAGAGTATCGAATCTTTTGGAAGAATCGTTGACGGAATAGATTATTTGGATCTGGGATGGTCATGATTTTTTCTTCAATCTCGGATTTACTCCCTTCCGTCTCATGTGAGTGATATGTATCATTTTTATCTTTACTCTTCTTCCCCCTTGACTCTTCCTTCTTGATAAATGTCAGTTCGCTTTCGTACACATCGTACGCGAACATTTTTCGGATTGCTGCCCTTTGGCAAGTGGCTCGTTAGGATGTCGATGAATAATTGTTACGTTGATGTACCGTCCTTCTTGGAGATGACGATTCTGATGACAGTTGTTAGAAGATTAAAACGATCCATTCTGTTATTCGCCATGCCGGTGGAAATTGTTATCTCGTCCATTTATGTGAGTCACCTGTCTTCTTATCCATCCTCATACGGCATTTCCTACCATTCTCCAGGGCGGACAGCTTCTCTTTCGATCTACATCGTTCATGGATCTGCCTATCTTGTCTTCCACTAAATATGGAAGAAGAGCGCGTGTCTGAGATGACTACAAAGGAAAGCCAGGGACATCAGAGTGTAGTAGGGGGAAAACGAAAGTGTGAACAATATTGACTCACACATAGTGGCCGTTGGTACTTTTCAGACCAGAACTCATGTTCCCTCCTAATCCTGTCATCTCCATTACTCCAGAACCATCCTCCAGCCCCAACACAGACTTGCTTTTCAGGATTCCACTCTGGATGGATCTCAGTATGCATGCGGTACCTGGTATCGTACTCCTTTTAGGTAAGTTCCTCTTCCGACCCACCTCTACCGTCTATCATCCTGTAATCTCTCCCCTCTGACACATCCACCTTACTTGTACACTTGGTCAAACCACGCCTACAACTACCCGTCACTATTTCCCAGTCAAGATGCCAAAAGTAACTGTTCGACTTTGCAGTAACCGGAACAGAGGAGTTACACCACAAGAAGAACCTCAGAATTGACGTCAGACTTCTTCCTGCTCGAACCCAAATACCGACAACCTGCTTCTACTCGCGGAGCCGCCTTGCTCGCCATTATCTTCGGAACGACTTACTCGCTTTGGATAGAATACGCATCTAACATCAATGGGAGATTCCCTTATCCATTCTTGACAGTCATGACTCTTTCTCAGAGGGTTATGATGTATGTTATCAGTACGGGTTTGGCATTGGGAGCTTTTAGGTTTTTGAATTGGTTACATCGATAATTCATGTGGCATATGGCATGTTTCTTTATGCATGGTTTCTTCCGTGGGATTCCCCTCGCCCCACACGCTACCTATTCTACTCATATGAGCTCTTTACAACAAGACCAGCTACATGCTGCATGCTGTATGCTGTACGTCCCAGTGCCTATAGGTCATAGGGAAGTTGGGTATAGCTGGCTACCAAAACATGCCAAAATCTGTCACTCGGTGATATGAAACGATTTCCATCAAAACAATCATCAGTTTCACCTTTTGTCTTTTCTTCCCATCATTTAATCTCTTCTTCTTCGCCCTCGTTCTCCCTTACATACGTCCATTGTCCCCGGCCATTACCCGCTTGACTTTGACTTGTAATCCTCTGCTCATGCGCCTACACAAATACCACACAAACCAATTTCAGGGTCTGAAATCCTTCACCTACCAATCGTCATTCAAATCCCTTCACCTGTCAATCACTCTTCACCTGTCACCTGTCAATCGTCAATCCACTTCTACCATCCAATCATACTGATCATTGACAAGCGATTGACATGTGAACTGAACAAGTGATTGACGTTTGAAGTCTTGTTGATGTATATATAAAGAAGGCACATACTGACGAGTTTATCAACACCATTACTTACAACTTCATCAATCTCAAACAGATCTTCCATCGTCCTTCTATCAAATACACAGTTAAAAGTTCAAAGTTCCAAATCATAAAACTATCCTACCAATCACACACACAAGTTCACAAAAAAAATGTACCAATCACCTCGTATCGCACCTCTTCCACCTTCACCATCTACTATCCGGACTACTTCTTCTACCATATCATCTACCGGATCAATAAGAAATTTACCACCTTCTCATCCTTTCGCAACTCATTATATCCCTTGTATAAACCAATCTCGTCATATTTCTTCTCAAAACCAATCTCAATACAACCCTTCTTTATATAATCAAACCAACGATTCTTCATCTTCTTTCGAATCTGAATCAACACATTTTCACAACAACGTATCACCCACATCTTCGTTATCTAAACCATTATCTCCTCGATCTTTTTCTACTTCTAATCATTTCTATCATCCTATTCCTGTTCATTCAGCATTACCTAATCGTATTCACAATTCTCCATACTCTGATCGATCTATGAACTCTCGTATATCTTCCGAATCAAATTACTCAACTCAACAAAGAACTCAAAATCATCGTTTTGTCGAAGATGAAGGACGAGTCGGAGTAAGGAAAGAATATCAACATCAGAGTTACCCCTCTTATCATAAACCTTCTCTTCACAGTTCAAAATCTATGATCCTATCAAAATTCGATTTACCAGCTTCTATCCCCGAACTTGGTTTTTTAGATGGGAGACAACAAGGAAGGATGATGATGGATGTTGAATATATTTCAGGAAAGAAGATGAATTTGAAATTCCCGTTTATCAAGAGATGGTTTGGTGAGGGAGAAAAGAAAGAGAAGAAAGAGGTTAAAGGGAGGAGGTTGAGGAAGGAAAAAGTCATGTCTTTCGAAGAAGAGTTTTTGAGGGAGGGGATGATCTAGAGGGATTACGAGTGGATTTGAGCTTTTGGATTATGAGGGGAATCTTTGGGATTTGTTTTGGAAATGTCTTGTCACCAGTAGTAGTTGTGGAATTGTGGATCTTATGTTATTTTTTGGTTGATTTTGATAGTCGTGATGAATGTCCTTGACCGAACCAATGAGAGTGTTATTTCAAAAATCGTTGTCTTGCATGCGCGACAACGCGATAGGACAGTCAGTTACTAACACTTTTGCGTGATTCTCCGGTCAGCAACAGCAGCCATCAGCTAGACGTGTCCGATTTGACTAGCTGCCCGCTGCGCCGCTGCTTAGCTGGACGCGACCAGTACTGACAACATATGGATGTGTAGGAGTAAAGTGGGTGAGAGGAAAAAGAAGGACGTTGATTGGTCCGATGTCATCCGCCACCCACGGCGTTTACACATTTCCCCATGTCCTCACCATACCACTAACTCTCCATCCTATTACCCTCACTTCACTATACAACCTATATCCTCAAACGCCGTCTCTCACCTCATTCACGTGGTCAGTGGACGGCTATCACCATGTTTGCCAGATCGAGGTTCGTAGCTAGACGGGCCATCAAATTTGGGTCTGGTGAGTTTCTTCTCTCTTCTTCCTCCAACAATGATCATACATCTTCTTACCCATGGACTTGTTTTGATCCTTGATGTGGAAGGCTTTGGGATATGAGTCCGATGATAGATCGTGGACACTCATCGCAGGCTCGAGAACGTTGTCTACCACTTTACCCCGAAGAGCCGATATCACCTTGACTGTTGATGGTAAAGAAGTTACTGTGCCTCAAGGTGAGTACATCCGTCTCTGAACTGGTCCTATTCTTTTCCATCTCGTCTTTCCATCAACGCAGTTGCTAGTCATCTGTAATGGAGACCCTTTCCCCCATGTAGTAGAGTCTGTAACAGCCATACTGCCCCTAGACTGCCACCAGTCACCAGTCACCTCCCGCAACCCGCTCATCTCAGGTACCGCCCTCATCCAAGCCTGCGAAGCAGCAGGAGCCACCGTCCCTCGATTTTGTTATCATGACCGACTCGCCATTGCCGGCAATTGTCGAATGTGTCTCGTCGAAGTCGAACGATCCCCCAAACCAGTAGCATCATGCGCTATGCCCGCCATGCCCGGTTCGAAAGTTTTCACCAACACACCTCTCGTTCATAAAGCTCGTGAAGGCGTAATGGAATTCTTACTCGCCAATCATCCTCTAGATTGTGCAATTTGCGATCAAGGAGGTGAATGTGATCTACAAGATCAATCCATGCGATACGGTTCTGATCGTACTCGATTCCACGAAATAACCGGTAAACGTGCTGTCGAAAATAAAGATTTAGGACCTATAGTCAAAACATCCATGAATCGATGTATCCAATGTACACGTTGTGTACGATTCGCAAATGACGTAGCTGGAGTAGAAGATCTCGGTACAACAGGAAGAGGAAATGATTTACAGATCGGAATGTATGTCGAAAAAGTTATGGATAGTGAAATGTCTGGGAACATCATCGATCTTTGTCCAGTGGGAGCTCTTACGAGTAAACCGTATGCTTTTCAAGCTAGACCTTGGGAGTTGAAGAAAACGGAAAGTATAGATGTTTTAGATGCTGTGGGAAGTAACATTCGAATCGATTCAAGAGGCGTTCAAGTCATGCGTATCCAACCGAAAATAAACGATGAAGTCAACGAAGAATGGATCAATGATAAAACTCGATATGCCTACGATGGTCTGAAGTATCAACGTCTCACAACTCCTTTGGTTAGAGAAGGAGATCGTTTCGTACCTGCTACATGGGAACACGCCCTCGAAACTATTCGTCATGGTCTGATCAATTCCGGTGCAAAAGGAGACGAGATCAAAGCGGTCGCAGGTCATTTGGCAGATACAGAATCCCTCACCACACTGAAAGATCTTTTCAACAAATTAGGTTCGGAAAATCTTACACTTGATCAACCTTTCGGAGATTCACCCCCTGCGACAGGTGTAGATCTTCGTTCAAATTATCTATTCAATACGGGCATAGAAAATATTGAAGAAGCGGATGCTGTATTGCTCATTGGTACCAATCCGCGACATGAAGCAGCAATCATCAACACTCGATTCAGGAAATCTTTCCTTCGACGTGGTGCAAACTTTGGTCTGATCGGTGAGACTTTCCCCTCGACGTTCGAATTGGAACATTTGGGTCAGAGTGCAAAAGATGCGGAAACGTTTTTCAGTAAACCTGGTAATGGGACATTCGCAAAGATTTGGAAAGAGGCAAAGAAACCTTTGATCATTGTTGGAAGTGCGGTCATGGAGACTAAAGATGGAGCGGCCGTTTTGAAAGCTGTTAGTAAACATGTTTTGGCGAATCAGGCAAGGTTCTTGAATCAGGAATGGAATGGTTTCTCTATATTGCAGAGGGTGAGTACTTGTATTTTTCTCCCCTTTCGCTACTCACAACTCTCTCCGTCTCACGTGTTTTCTGGTTCGCTCTCCTCCAGGCCCTGTCATCCAGAGCTCCAATTTGTGGCCTTGTCACTCAATCCAGCACTCTCATCTTCATATCATGTTGAGACCCCTGTGACCTTACTACATGAATCCATATACTGACTCCCAGGCCGCCTCCCGCGCAGCAGCTTACGATCTCGGTTTCACCCCTTCCACCACTTCATCCTCTGTCAAACCCAAATTCATTTATCTTCTCAATGCCGACGAATTCGATCCCACCACCATCCCATCTTCCTCTTTCGTCGTCTATCAAGGTCATCACGGTGATCTAGGTGCACAATACGCAGACGTCTGTTTACCCGGTTCAGCTTACACTGAAAAATCAACAACTTGGATAAACACTGAAGGTCGAGCACAATTAGGTAGAACAGCCGTTCCACCACCAGGAGCAAGTAGAGAAGATTGGAAAATCCTTCGTGCATTGAGCGAAGTTTTAAACCAACCTTTACCCTATGACGATGTCTTAGCTTTGAGAGATAGAATGTGGGATATCTCTCCTACGTTGGTACGATACGATTCGAGGGAAATACCTTCTGTCGAATTGACAAAATTGGGATTACAAGTTTTATCAGAGAACAAGACGAGTCAAGCATCAGGAGAAAAGTTTAAGAAACCTATTGAAGATTTCTATAGGACAGATCCGATAAGTAGAGCTTCGGTCACTATGGCCGCGTGTAGTAAGGCTTTCACAAAAGGGGATTATGTACCGGCCGATGTGGATGAAGGAGCGACGGCACAGGCTTCTTATGCTTGATGGAAATGGTATGTACCGTTGTTTTCTACATGACTCCGTGTCGGACCAAAGACTGCATGGTTGCGAGGTTGAGTGGAGTGTTGGGGATGGAGAACTTGCAACTGGGAGAGTGAGTGGGAGAGTGACTGGCGACTGACTGGGCGAGTGAGTGGGCGAGTGAGTGGGAGAGTGAGTGGGAGAGTGAGTGGGAGAGTGAGTGGGAAAGTGAGCGGGAGAGTGGGCTGCTGCAAGCTGTCAGGGATGGTGAATGGGCGGATACGTCATTGAGCGGAGGAGACGTGGCGGCCATATACCTGTAGATGGGATGTAATCTACTCGAGTACTCGTACTCGTACTCGTACTCATCATTGACTTGATCCAAGACGATCAACAAGATTAGTTGGAAAAGTCGTCTAAATGAGATAGATGCATAGCATGAGCAATTTCTTCAACAATTAGATTCTTATCTATTTGATACAACACCACACAACACTCATAAAAGATCATCAAAGTCAACTTGAACTTTATATTACATTTTGTTACTTTCCTTTCCCTCCATTCCGTACTATAACAGATATTTGTCCATCTTCCAACCCACTCAATTGAGTCAAAGAAGTATCTTCTAAACCATATTCGAATGTTTCAAACTCACTACCTAAATTCGTACTTGATAAACTTGAATTTGTCTCATGTTTAAACCCAAAACCATAATTACCTAATCTTCTTATCGTTTCCCCTTCCCCATCCCCATCCCCATCTCCATCTCCATTAGTCGAAGTAGATGTCGTATCTGATAATTGATGTGTATGACCTTGTCTCGACTTCCTCTCATCTCTCATGAATCCTTCTTTGTTATATCTCTCTTCATTTGAGGATAATTTATCATTGGTGGGATATCCGTTCGTCATCGTTATTGGGATCGGCGGTCTTGAAGGTAATGAATGAAATTCTGATAATGGTGAATTTATAGAATGTGTTGAATGTTTCCTACCTCTACCCAATGTCATTTTCATTTTTTTCATATCTACTCCGACATTTTCTGAACTCGTCATAAATGTAGATTTCTCAATTCGTGGACTTGCAGTACTACCAGATCCTCCCGATCGGATAGAATTAGCTGTAAGAGGTATGGAATCTAATCCATCGTCGAAGAATTGGTTCAAACTACTGAGAGCTCCTACTAAATCACCGATACTAGCATTATCATCATTCAATGGACTCGGTACGTCTAACGAAATTTGACTAGGATTAAGTATATTTCCTAATCGTAAATCGGTAAATTGAACCACTGAGAAATGTGCTGATGCAGCACGAGTTTCGATCGCACAAGTGTTGAATACCGCCGTTACGTTTTCTCTTGTTAATTGAGAGAATTCTTTAGATCGTGGGATACTCCAACCTGATTCGGTGAAAGATCCAAATATCATTCCGTTTTCTCCTGATACACCTTGACCAAGTTGAGTTGTTTCGGTAGGATGAGAAGTTGGAGCGGTAGGCATATCTAATACGTCTAAAGCTTGAGCCGAATGTTTGGTAGATACTAATCGTAGTAATGGTTGAAGCAGTTCGTCTCCATGGGTAGATAATATACCACGAGCGTCGGGATATTGTAATATGAGTTTGAGAACTTGCATACTTTTCTCTCTCATCCAATCATTGGCATTTAAAACGAAACCAAGAAGAAGTGTTAAAATGTCGAGAGCGTGTGTTGGGAGAAAATCTCTTAATAATGAACATGCTTGTCGTATGAAATCATCTTTTGATCTGAAACGTACTCGAGCGAAAGATGTTAGGAGACGAGAGAAAGATGGATGACCTTGAACATCGGCGATAGAGGCGAGATCTAATGCCATACCCGCCAATTCCTCATTGGGCTCACCGACATCCGCAGAATGTAGCATCCATGGAAGCGCAGAGACAAAACCGTGTAAAAGTCTATCCGTGGGTGAATCTATGAGTTCGTCTGTCGAGGCGGAAGTAAGACGTCGGATGAGATCGAATGTCATGAACGCCGTTTTGGAACTACGCAATCCGACCAATAGCAAAGATTGCAGATGAGGCTCTGGACCAACCCAATCTGACGGTCGAAAGGACAGCAGATGTTGGACGACAGAAGGATCCGATAAATTCGTCTTATCCAGTACGTGTGAGAGGAGCTCGATAACCTCCATAAATTCGTCTTCGAAAGGAGTGGTGAGACATGCCGTTGCACACCAAAAGATTTGTGGGTAATTCGACATCTCGTTGCTACTAAGGGATTGTGTGAGAGATGCAAATGTTCTCAACACCTCACGGTTGAAACTCTGGATTTCTTTCGAGGCACTAGCTATCGTACTTGACAATCGGGCCAAAGTGTCGGATAACATTCTCGCGGATAGTTTAGGAGTGAGGACGCGAAAGATTTGAAAAGACCTGCAAGCGAGATGACGAATCGGACAACTTGTCGCCCACATCAATGCCATCTCGCCCCATTGTTGTCGAACACGAGGGTGTAGAGGAAGGAGGACACCAAGAATCTTGAGTATTGTACCGGTCATCTTTGGTGGCGCCATGAATGCTTGTTCTTGTGTACCGACATCGTCTGCTTTCCAAAACACTGTGGAATTGGAGCGAGCTATGGAAGTTACCTTCCCTTCTGCCGTGGACCAGATCGCAAGAGCATCTTCAGAGGGAACATTGGAAGTGTCGCCAACCCAAGTGCGTAAGACCTGGAACAAAACCGCTTGACAAGATTCTCGTACAGTCGAAGATACGTTGTCACAATGTATCAATGCCACATGCAGCAACGTACACAGCTGACGACCTAGACGTGGTTCAGATTGTCGATAAGGAAGTAATTCACCAGCGAAGAGCAAGGCGAGTTGACCGGTGGAGAAGGGATGAGGACGTGAAGATGGAGTAGGGATGAATGAATCGAGGTTTGCTAAACTTGCCAGAGGACTGGGAGGTACGTCTGCCTCCGCCAACGATGCCATAGCTGACGGTTCGACAAAACTACAAATCTCGTCGAAAATCTCATCACTCGCGGCACTCTGCGCCAGACATGCAATGACTTTCTGCGAACAAGCCACAAACTCCGGAGAGCGTCGTTTCCCGCCTTGCTCGAATAGATATTTGACAAGAGCAGTCGTGTTATGCGATTGACCCGAGCCGGCAAAGGAAACGAAAATCTCACGCATCTCTTCAAGATGATCATCGGCGAAACGTACGGCAAGATACATCAGGTTACTGAGCGCTTGATGCTCGTTGGTCGCATGTTCGGGGGAGAGATCTTTCGTGTCGCGTGAAAGCTCGATCACTTCCATCCAAGACGCTAGGATACATAAAGTCGCATGCCTTCTTGGCGCTTCGAGCTGACTAAGACGGGTGGTACATTCCGCGAGGAAGCCAAGAGCATTATTTGCGTAAAAAGTCGACAGTGTAGCCGAAATCTCCTTTTGTGCACCACGATAGACGTTGGCGGCGGCCGAACCCATGGCAGGGAGAAGTCGAGCTATCGTGAGGCGAGAGGGCGGGTCGGAACAAAGAGAGAAGCAGAGCTGAAAGGCCCTTTGACGGATATCCGCGTTCGGATGACCCAGTTTAGACAGAGCCAAGCAAGCGATCTGATGAACCGGCAGCTGTACCAACCCATCCATGAGGATGTCCCCGAGTACACCAAAGAAGGACGAAGCGAGAGAGAATTGTTCACCTTCGCCAAAAGATTGGTGCAAGACTTCGTCGAGTAATCGGTCGCAAGACCAATTCCATTTGAGAAGCGCGAAGAGAGCCTTTCTTCCCGTTTCATGATGTGCCGTGGATACACTCGTAAACATGCCCCTGATCCATCGTAATACGGTCAAAGGTTCGACAACGTCACTGCTTTGTTGTTCGGGACTCGACTCCTTGTCGCCGATGAGTTTTCCCTGACAGAGCCCAGCCATAGCTTCAGCTGCAGCAGCACTGAGTAGCTTAGTCTTCGCTTGCAGATCATCCAAATACTGCGCCCTGTCTCGTTCACCTCTGTACCCCTCTGCGGCAGCCTGAAGTGTTTGAGACTCTCGAGCTTTGGCTACATCCGGTCGGCGGCCCACATGACACCAGTCGTAACACAGTTTGAAGACTGCCCCACGCATGTCAATTCCAAGAAATCGCTCTGAACCTTCGAGTTTGCCTAGCGCATTTGCGAGGTTCTCCACTACTACGCAAAAGGACCGTCGCAGGGATTGAAGCTCGTAGTCCTCTTTGACCACTCGATCGGACAAGAGGGTATGAGTGATCTTGACGAAGCCGATCATACACGATAAGTTGGCATGGTGCGAGGGAGATTTCGAATCATGAATGAGTGGCGAGATGAGTCGAAAGACATGTGCCACCGAGGTCCATACCGGTCCATTTATTATACGTCTGCTCGTATCTCTCCCGTTTGAAGCGCCTTTTGTTCCATCTCCCAATCGGCGTACGACCCCCAGGAGAATCTCGGACAAGGGACGGAGCAAGGTCTGCCCGATGGAGCCGAGTGCATACACTGCTGCATCTCTAAAACGTGGATCTTCCCATCCCAACAACGACGTGAGGTAGTGAAACAATGCCGGAGAGCCTATCGTGTCGGGCGTGAGAATGATTGCTTCTTTTGTACGTTGCACAGGTGGACTGGACGGAACGGAATGAGGAGTCGGCATCGTGATGCACAAGACACTGAGGTAGCATCTCCACATTTCGGCCAGAGCGGAGGTATCTCCTGACGACCGACCGGGGGTGACACCTTGGTTGGAATTTTGACTTCTTAGACCAACAGTCGCGCGTCCAGCTGAAAGACTACCGAGAGACGCGACGTGTCCTTGAAGGCGCAAGCTGATTGAAACGACCAAATGTCGCAGTTCTTTGATTGGACCTGGGACTGCGCCGGCGAGTCTAGAGACGATGTAAGGCAGAAGAGCAAGCCACAAGGAAGCGTCTTTTTGATTGTCACTCTCAGCCACCCTGAGAACCAATTTCGATCTATCGGAAGCCATGAGGTCCAGTCGATGGCGATCGTTGGATGTACACCATGGTAAGCTGCGCATGGCTTGCAGTTCCGATTCACCACATTCGAATTCGAAGATTTGCACCACCCGGTTGACTGAAGATCGTTCAGGCATGATTCGGCTGTATCGGAAAGCGGCTGACGGTCGGCGATGTGTGCTCTCCAGATCTCTGGCGGAGTTGAGGACCTGTATGGCGAGTTTACGAAGAGGTATACTTGTTGAGCACAAGAGGAAGAGAGCAGAGCCTTCGATCTTATCGATCAAGGCGGGAACGACTGGTGGCTCTTGTCTCCCATCCTCGGATTCTTGAGCAGACGCCACTCGTTGGTGATGAACGAGCGATTGCAGCAAATCGATGTATACCTTGACCACTCGTTCAAATTGGGATTCCAGCAGCCGAGATCCCATAAAGGTGTCTCGGAAAACGTGTCGTGTCTCAAAGACAAATTCTCGATAGGTGTTGGCGAGAAAAAGACATCGAGCGGGATCCTTGCCTATACGTCGGATGGCGTTGGCAGCGGCGATACAAACGTCGGGATCGGCCGAGTACATACCACGACACAACACATTGGCAACCGGACCGAAGTCAGTCTCTGGGAGACAACGAGGAAGACTATCGAACAAGGCGGCAAGTAATCGGAGTACAGGTTCTGATCGTAAAGAATAGGTCACGTAAACGTCTCCGTGTTTGCGAGTGATCGTAGTACTTGTCGTTTCGGTGATACTACTCGAGGCGTGGGCGGACAAGGTGACAGTATCATTGGACAAGAGTAAATGGGCGGTTTGTCGATCAGTCTGTAAAAGTAGATCACCGAAGACTGGTCCGCATTTCGTCATAAACGATTCCACCTCGGAGTCCTTCAATAAGTCGTCTGTGAGAGCTTCACCCGACGTCTCCGAGCCATCGACGCTAAAAGTGGTGAAGTCGCTACTCTGGGGCCAAATCGCTGGTTTCTCGAGCTCCATAGTACGAAGTGTGAGTAAAGAAGCGCGTACGAGAGCAGTGGCGCGGTCAACTTGAGATGAGTCAGCCGAATCGCTTGCTCTTTGTCGAAGCGCATCTCGTAGAAACTCGCCAGTGAATTCTTCGCCGTAGTCAAGGGCACGCGTCATGATGTAGTGCAAAATGCAGATGAAGGGTTCCATTGGGAGGTCGGCGGGATATAAGCAACCGTTGGTCGAGAAGAAGACTCGAAGATGATGGTCGAGGCGTTTCCGTCTAGAAGTTGCGGATTCCGAACAGCGATTTAGGTAGATCCACAGAAGGCGAAGGAAGCAGTTCATGGCGACAGCCCTGGAAGCTTTGTCCTACTCATCAGCTAAGATCCCTCTCATGGACATCTGTTTCGTATCATTACGCATCGTATCACCATCGTAACAGTGATGGTGAGAGGAGAATGGGGAGTGGTGTGCTCATGACTCACCCGGAGCTTAGCCGTTATCGCATCCATGCAGGTCTGCCAACTCTGCATCACCGCTTCTCGTGGGCTGAGCCCAAGAGCTACAATGACTAGTGGGAAAGCAGAATTCCAATATCGTGGCTTGGCGGCCATCCCTTGCGCTCTTTGCAGTATGACGGAAATGGCCTTGCTCCACATTGGATGATTCACTTCAGCCGTAGCTGTTTCGACAACAGGATGAAGCAAGCTGAGGAACGTGTCAACGTATGTCGTCTTCAGATTTTGTCCATGTGCGTTGGCAAAGAAGCCGGCGAGAGACTGCAACAACTCGGCCGACATCTCCAACTCTTCCTCGGGATACGTCCGTATTTTTAGATGTCGCATGCCACGCAAGAGGTGCTCTAAGCGTGCGTCGGAGTCTTTGCTTGGCTGCTGTGTGATATGTCTGGAGATCTCCGTCACAAAACGGTGTGATACGGTGAGAAACCTAAGTGGTCAGTCATTTCACGACGGTGAGAGAGCGCCTACCTGTTCTGAGACAGCTGTCCCAAGAGCTCCACCTGAAGCTGAGAGACGGCTTTTCGATGCGGAGAGGCAGATTCATCGAGCCTTTCCGAGCGATAGGCATTGAAAGCGTTCAACTCCAGGTTATTCCCTAACTCTTCCCCTAACGCCTCACGAGGACAGACCCGGACGAGCTCAATCAAACACCGATTGAGAATGAATCTGGCGGCAGCAGACTTTCGACTTCCCAAGATGGCAGCGGCATCTTCAACTCTCATCTGCAAACCCAAAGACCGGTCCAGATGGGCTCGCACTTCAGATGCTCCGATGCCCTCACAGTGGGCTTTGCACCACGTGCCAAGTGAGTCTACTACCCGTCGAGCAGTGCGACGACCGCATTGAGCAAGAGCTGAAATGAGAGCATCGAAAGACGTGTCCGCTCCAGAATCGAGATAGGCGGATAGCGATGGGTTTGTGGTCTGACCATGTCAGCATATGTATTTGTTTGAGACACCCATAATAACGCACCAATGGTCTGGAACATATTCGTGAGATTTTAGCGTTGGCCGACTCCTTGAAGTCTCGCAAAACCGCTCTCATAGCCTGGTCGGCGGGCGTCTTGGGACCCGTCTCGAGCTCTTCCCCAATACTCCCATGTCGCCTACCAAAACCGAAAAGACTACCGCTTTCACTTCCATGCCTTCCCGCACGACTGGGCGCGCCTCTCAAAGGAATTGGTGGCAGAGCAGGCATGAGAAAGTCGTCATTTCTAAAAGTGTTTGATCCTTGCGAAGTGACAGACCTTCCTCCATGAGAAGTGACAGAAGAGTGCGTCGCAGTGGTGGCCGTAGATTGTTTCCGATCCCATATCTGACCGGGACTGGACGCCGATGGGGTCTTGCCTCTACCTGTACTCGGTCGACCAAAACCGTTGGCGGGAGATTGAGGAGTGTCGTATTTGGAAAAGGGGTTGCGTAAGGCAGGATAGCCTGGGGCACCGAACGCCTTGACATCTAGGGAAGGGACTGGAGGGACATTGGCGGAAGAATTAGACGAACCCACTTTGAAAGCATTTCGAAGACTTGCGAGGGAGCCCTTACGAGGAGCGAGTACACCAGCGGTGGAGCTGATGCTTGTGCCAGAGGTGATGAGGGAAGAGGTAGAACCATTACTAAACTTGCCCAATTTGGCACGGTCCGAGAGGTCTGGTACGGGAGCTGCGCCACCGCTATAGCTTCCGGAGAGCTTTGGCAAGGTGGGTCTGGCGGGTGTACCAGCAACGGAAGGAGATTTGCCGCCAAAGTAGGGTGTCTCTATGGAAGGTCGAGAATGATGGGAATGGAGATCTACATCCGAGTTGGCTGGCGATGAGGATTGACCAAACCCAGTACGAGTGAAGGGCGGAAGGGGATAATCACCGCCAAAATGGTCAAAATCGTCAAGATCGTCTAGCTCTGGAGAGGTGAGCTGTATCCGATTGCTACCGGGATTGTAGCTTACCGGGTATCACAATCTCCTCCATGTTGAATATACTACTACGACGAGAGCATCCGAGACCTGGCTTAATGTATTGAGAGGACGGAAGAATGGAAATGGGTAAGTTTAGTAGTAGTAGTAGTACTTAGTGGACGTGTTTCTGTCTCCCGTTGTCCTTCGCCGCTGGCGGTAAATGCCGCTCCCAGAACAGTGCCACATTCCGTAGACCCGTCCAAACGCCGCATGACGCACCGACCAAACCTCCCCCCCCCTCTTCCCCACCAACTTTGGTTGTTCTTTCCCCTTCCTATACATTCTTTCTCTTCACCTCCTCAACCCTTTCATAACCTTTGAAAACAATCTAGCAAGGGTGAGTCTCTTCACATTGATGGGTGTGGCTTACTGACACAGCTCTCCGTATCCCTTTCACTCCGATCATCGCACCTGTGTCTCCATTGCTTTGACTCATCAATCGTTAATGTCCTTTGCCCGTCGATTCGTCTCTACAGCAAGCACCATGTCGTGAGCACAAATCGCGACCGTTGTTGCTCACACAGCTCATTGACAGTAACGTCTACTTCGATATTACCATAAATAAACGTGAATTGGTCATCTTCATATCCATTTCCTGACACTGATCCCTTCAGAGCCTGCTGGCCGAATCACATTCAAGCTCTTCGACGATGTCGTGCCCGAGACCGCCGAAAACTTCCGTGCTCTCTGCACCGGTGAGAAAGGCTTCGGCTACGCTGGATCTTGGTTTCACCGTGTGATCCCCCAGTTCATGCTTCAAGGTGGTGATGTACGTATCTGATATGTTTCGTTGGCATTCCACTGGCTGACATACATAGTTTACGAGTAGGTCAAAGTCTTTCTTCCGTGGGATGATCGGCTGACCATTGTCTCAGAGGGCAACGGGACTGGCGGCAAGGTAACTCCTCACGTTTAACGCACCCGGTCTCGAGTCGTGGCATGTACACTTGCGTAGGATACACTAGAATGTGGCTGATACCCAGTCCATCTATGGCGAGAAGTTCGCGGACGAGAACTTCAAGCTCAGGCATGACCGACCTTTCCTTCTGTCGATGGCCAACGCCGGCCCCAACACCAACGGATCCCAGTTCTTCATCACCACTGTGAAGACCCCCTGGCTCGATGGCAAGCACGTTGTCTTCGGTGAAGTCATCAAGGGTGAGGACCTCGTGAAGAAGGTCGAAGCTCTCGGCTCGTCCTCCGGTAGTGAGTAGCATTTCATGACTCTCTCACGTCACCTACCCGGCCTTTGGTACACTCTCGCTGATTGATTCAGAAGTCAACGTCAAGGTTGAGATCGCCGCCAGCGGTACCGTCTAAGCCACGTGAAGGCGTCGCGCGAGAAGAAGAGTTGAGAAAGGCAAACGACGTCATGAAAGAAATAACAAGTAGCGAGCTATGATGATGCATGTGATGGGATGACTCGCAGGATAAGCTGTACTTGCTTGTGCAAGTCGTGATCCCATTTGACGACTTGCCATGTGGGGCCAAGTGCAATACTGGCAACTAACAAAAAAACCGGAACGCTTTCCCAGCCCAAATTGGTTCCGCGCCGTTCCGGTCTTTATGTTAGGTGCAAGTAGATGGAAGGGCTCATAGCAGTGTAACGACGTACCACCGTCGGCCGTCGGACCCACTCACATTGTGACTATGAGTTCGGTGATCGGTGAGCATACTCCTGGAACATTCTCGGCGGATTCCCACATGTGTCACCCCATTTCACCACGCAGACCAAACCAGTGAATGTGACAGTCGTAGAGGCAAAATTCACCCGGATGTGCGTTTGTATCTTGTCTACGTCGTTGGCAAGTGAGTTACGCCCGTGGCCGCAGGGCCGCAGAGCTCCTTACCTGCATCGCTTTGTCACTACGGTAAGTAAGGTGAAACCGCACATTGTGGATGGATAATTCTTCTACATCCCTCCGGTGGTCCCGTCCCCCACCCATCCAGGCTAGCCAGGCTGTCTGATGACCTCAATCTGAGTTGTCTCGGGATTAGGTGGGTCAAGGATTCGAACGTCGTGGCGGATCCGCGGAGCTTTTTCAAATCGCTCGCGCGGTCAGTTTTGAGTGGGTGTCAGTCCTTTATGGGCGTTCCAACAATACACCTGCTCTCCAATCCATCATTTTGGTACACAGGCATACCGAAGAAAATTGATCTCTGCACATGCCTGATGTTATGATGCAAGAACAGAAAGAAATTTTTCACGGGGCCGTGTCAAAAAATAGGTCGGTCAGGGACTCGAACCCTGGTTGCCAGAACATTACGTAATCGTCAAAATTTGGATTCATGGAAGCTACGTATTTCTACTTAGCAGGCTACCTGGGGTCAGCGAACTTACCCAGCCCGGTGTCTTTGGAGATCCGGGGCGGCGCTTTCGCGCGGTCTGGTGGAGGACGCCCCGAACGGGCCGCCTCCTGATCATGTGGACGATTTAGTCGTATGGCCGCGAAGCGGATTCTGCCGAGTGGTATATAGTCCAAAAGAGCTGTGGTATGACGTCAGTGATCGCTCGTGTAGTGTAGTGGCGATCACGCATGATTTTGAGGCACCCGTTTCTTCATGATGTCCCTGGTTCAAACCCAGGCACGAGCTGATGCCATCAATTTTGTACCTCGGTCTCCCCTTCCGTTTTTTTTTTTTTTTTTTTTCTAGCGTTTAGCCGGATCTGATCACGGGCGTACTCTCGTCTTCCGCCTTTTGTTGGCAGTTTCCTCAGGTGGAGTGCGTACGTTTCCCTGGCTTGGCCCTGAGGCTGGTTCAATCATAAGGTCTTCGTCACTGTCTTCATCGTTGTCGTCGTTGTTCTCTTCTTCGCTGTCATCTGTGTTTTCTTCATTACGGCCGTTGGATATATTCCACAGTCTTCTATTATCAACGTGTTTGTTCCACACGTGTCCGCTTGCGGCGATGAGGTTCGTTATCATTTTGGAGTATAGACGTGAGTATCGCGTTTCGTATGGAAAGTTGGCCGGCAATTCTGCCCACCACCATCTGCATTCACCCTGGTCCCACTCACTTGTATGTTTATATATGATTCTGGCTAATGCCAGATGTGCCTTCTTATCTGTGTGCCGATCGTCCAGGGCGTTGTCTTCAAAGAACCGCCTCACCGTTACTATCATCTCATTCTCCAGTTTGGCCATCGTGGATGTTGCGATTGGGCAGGACATAAACATGTGGGTATCGTCCGCTTCTTGTGCCTTCGTCCCACAGCTCCAGCATTCCCAGTCTCTCGTGTCGTTCATTCTTCTCTGAATTTTTGTCATCTCCTTATTGTTAGATACCGCCATATTCCTCTCCCACATTCGTGCCGGGGTTTCCAGTTGCCTTGATCGTGCTAGAAATAGTGTTCTAAGGCCCAAGTCTCGTGCATACGAGGTAAAGACTCCCGGGTCTGCGAATCTAAAGACATTGTTTCTTCGGTGGATCCACTTTGGGGTGTGCGTGGCGTCCCAAAGGGCAGTGAGCTGACGTGTAGGATGCCCCATGAGGAAGTCTCCCTCCCTTCCGAATTTCCCCGTACCATCTCGGTATAGGGAGAAGTCATCGGCGTGCCTCGGCCCAACGCCTATCACCAGGTCGTTTTGTCGAGCGTCTTTTGCTAGCTGGTCCGCCTTCGCGTTCATCACTTGGGGTGTTGTTTTCCCGTCAGTATGTGCTTTCACCCATCTAATGGATACGTTCGGGTGGGTACGGAATTGTTTGAGGAGAAAGCGTTTAGAATGACGCGAAGCCGCCTGAGGCGGTATTATGGTGAGGTCGGTGACGTCCTGAAGCCATGCTACGGTATTGGCGTGGTCGGTATGTATTATCGTTAGTGTTGTGTCTGGTATCGTCCATATCTTTCGATATTTTCTGTCTATTTGTAATGCTATGGCCAGGGCCATTGTCTCCGCATCGAGGATCGTCGCCAGTGGGTCTCGGAGTTTTGCAGCGTATTGAACAGGACCGACAATGGCTAACGCGCAGCGTCTACGTTCGACAGTTCCAGCTTCGTCTGTGCTGCCGTCGGTAGCCCAAAGTATATCCGCTTTTGGGTCAACTGGTCGGAGATATTGTGAGTTTTCTATCAATGCTCCCCATTTGTCAAAGGATTCTTCGAACTTCCTGAGGTGGTGCTTCTGTTTTGTTGCGTGTTCGTCGTGGAGATGTTTCAGATGGCGTGGGTGAGGCAGTACGGTAATCCCCATTTCGATAGCGGATCTTCGAGCAATTTGCCAAGTAGGCAAGTATTGTGTCTTCGGTGCGTGAGCGAATTCTTTTGTGGACATTGGATCAGGTGCTTCAAGACCCGCTGAGAGGGCTTGTTTACGTTTCCTGCTCTTTGCCGGGTCCCCCCATCGCCATTCCTGTTTTTCAAAAGGTTGAGGAAAATCTGGCGTCCTGACCTCTGGACGAACCAACCGACGGGATTAAAGTCACGTGCCAACAATTTACGTAATTATCACGCTGCCTTACGTAACCGACTGTACTTGACATACAACCGCTGGACGATCCTTCCCTGTCTTTCCGCTTGGAGGAAAGCCGTTAAACAATGTTTACGTGTTGCAGTCTACACAGCCATTCCACTCGGTGACTACTGAGCGTGAATTGCCTCCCATCTCCTATTCTCAGCAAGATAATCTTCCTGCCTTCCCTCCTCTGCGGACTGCCTGGTCGAACTCATCATGACGCTGGGACCGGGCTTCTGAACTACTCTCGAACACACCACGTTTAGTGTAGTCGTCCACCGCCATCAGGCCGTCTCTGTTCCTCACCCCTTTATCACTTCCTGATACAGTCAATTCCAGCCACGATGGACGTACTCAAAGCTGTCCAGACGTACATATCCAAGATGGTGTCCGAAGCCTCCGGGATGAAAGTCTTACTACTCGATGCTCACACCGTGCGTCTTGCCCCCACTCCTGACATTATCCTGTACGCTCATAACAGACACCAATCGTTTCTTTGGTCACTACCCAGTCCGAGCTTTTAGCACACGAGGTGTATTTGACGGATAGGATCGATAAGTATGTCTTGATAATTCTCATACATTCCACCCTATTCACTGTCGTCTTAACAAATCGAGTAGGAAGATGTAGTGATGCTAACTGATAGTACCGCAAGAGAACCTTTGAACCATCTCTCTTGCATTGCTTTTCTATCCCCTACAGATGATACGATCCAAGCTGTCAAGGCTGAGTTGGCCAAACCGAGATATGGAGGTTATTGGCTTTGTGAGCGTCGATTCCTGAGCTGATGATACTACTTGATCCTGTGAGATGTTCTCGGAAGGTTGCAATGCTTACTGTCAGACTTCTCCAACGCACTGTCAAAGAGCCAGATCGAGGAGATGGCCATGGTCGATGAGTTCGAGGTGGTGAAAGAAGTTCAAGTGAGTCTCTCCGGGTTATGTACGCCTTGTTCAATCTACACAAGTGTGGAATCTACTTTCTTCTTGACCATGTGTATGCAGAAAGCTTGAAGAGGATCAATAACGTAATTAACGACTTAGGAATACTTTGCGGACTACCTTGCTCAATATCCCTCTCATTTCACCCTCACGCCCGCCGCATTGGCAGACGGAGGTGATGGACCACCCAATGTTAGCATCTCTCTTCTTGACAATGCAATGACTGATTCTCTACAGCCACCTCTTTATCTCCCTTCTCCACTACATCTCCCCCCTCCTGTCTTATCCAATCATCTACGAGCCATCCTTGCCGTTTTTCTTAGTCTGAAGAAACGTCCTGTGATCAGGTGGGAAAGAATGTCTCAAGCAGGTCGTAAATTAGCTGTGGAATTACAGGTGAGTTTGTCCATCCTACAAAAAAAATAGAGCTGACGTGCAGGCGACGATGCAGCAATCACCATATAGAGAATTGTTCGATTTCCGACCCACTGCGGGTCCTGCCCCTTTATTGTTGGTATTAGGTGAGCGTAGTCTTATCTCAATGTCTTTAAAGCGCTGGGGAAAGACACTGAGAGACAGATAGAAGAAATGACCCTGTTACGCCTTTATTGAGTCAATGGACATATCAAGCTATGGTTCATGAACTCATAGGGATCACCAACGGTCGGGTACGGATAGAACAAGAAGAGCAATTGGAGCTTCGGGCAAGTCCCAAATCATGTGAAGATCTTCGTTGTGTTAGCTGATGGAATAGGATCTCGTCTTATCTACATCTTCTGACCCATTCTTCTCTCAAAACCTTTTCGCTAATTTTGGTGATCTCGGAGCTGCCATCGCCTCTTACGTTTCAGATTATCAAACTCGGAATTCATCCATTGCTCCTGGTTCATCTCGTATCGAGACTATTGCGGACATGAAAAGATTCGTTGAGGATTATCCTGAGTTTCGTCGATTAGGGGGAAATGTCACCAAACATGTGACTTTGGTAGGCGAACTTAGTCGGTTGGTCGAGAGGGATGATTTGTTGGTTGTTTCTGAGGTGGAACAGAGTTTAGCTAGTCAGGAGAGTCATCAGGCAGATTTGAAAGTGAGTGGACTTTTGTCTTCGCTCCTCCCTCCCAGACGTTTTCCATGACTCTGAGATCATAAGTATATTTTATTGTACTCGATCAAGAGCGCAATTCTGACAGACAGAGCGTCATAACACTCATATCATCAACAAAAGTCCCTCCTGCCAACAAAGTCCGTCTCGCCATTCTGTACGCATTGCGGTATCAAAAACTCGTAGGGAACCAAATCACCCAGGTCGTCGATGCTTTGATCCGTTGCGGGGTCTCAGCCGATAGAGCAAGATTGGTCTATGTCATGCTGAACTTCGCTGGCGCCGATGTGAGACAGGATGATTTATTCATGAATGAGAATTTCTTCTCGAGAGGGAAGTCTGCGTTCAAGGGATTGAAGGTGGGTTAAATGGAGTCTTCGTCCCAAGTCACCATGATCTACCCACATATATTCCAACACCCGTCTCCAAGGGAGTTCGGTGTGTTCTAGGACCCCGAGCATGGTAAAGTAGGAGTAGTGAACAAAGCGGACGAATGTGCTAATCATCAGGGAGTTGAGAATGTCTATACACAACACACCCCTCACTTGAGTCAAACTTTGGACTTGTTACTAAAAGGTCGACTAAAAGAGACATCATATCCGTTTTTGGAAGGTGACGAAGGTGCACGAACTCAACGGTCAGTCATGCCCTTAGACTTGAGTGTACGAGCTTATGTGCAGTCCGCAAGATATCATCGTGTTCATGCTGGGAGGGACGACCTATGAAGAAGGTAGGGCTGTGGCTTTGCTCAATCAACGTTTGGCTGGTGAAGCTGGTGGACCGGGAGGAACGAGGATTTTGTTAGGAGGCAGTACGGTTCATAATTCCACTTCGTTAGTATCTTCATCGTCTTCTGTCCTCCTCTTCAGATCTTAGATTTTACCTTTTCCGGCTTTTCCTCCCTCTCCGCTTAAACTCAGCTACTCCTGTGACTCAAGTCGATATCCCGTCCCTGCGTATTCATATACTTTGTGCTGTGCGTCAACTGACACTCAGCTTCCTGAACATGGTAGAAACAGCAGCTGAGAATTACCCTCCATCAATATACAACCCCCCTCTTTCCTCCGGTACACAAGCATCATCCTCTAATCTCTCCCTCATCAACCCTGGTTCCGCCTCTCCTACCCCTTCCGGGCCTCAAACGGCCGCTCCGGCGTTTAACCTTCGTGCGGGGGGCTACGAGTTCAACGTCGGGGGAGTAGGAGGATCAGGATTGTATCGCAGCACTCAGAATGACCTAGGGGCTAGTTTCCAAATTGGTCAAATACCTCAAGTGGCGGAGGGTATCAAAGATGGTGCTGGGAGATTATGGGGGACAGTGAGACAAAAAGTTGAGGAGAGGGTGAGCAGAAGTGCAACACCACAATCTGGTAGATGATAACACAAGTGATATTTGTATGACAATGATATATGATTTGATGAGGGACGTTATTCATCTACCATACATGATAATTAGCATGACCATCGGTATTTGTCCGCGGTCCGGGTGGTCCGGAATGATGATGATGACCTCTGACCACCTTTGAAAATGAGATTCCATTCAATCATCTAATCATCTTCCTTTTCTCTCTCCTTTGTGCATGTTTGGTCGATTGATACGTTCAAACTTCCTATCTTCTCGTACTCTCTTCGCTTCTCCCAACGTCTTTCATAGTGCTACTTTAGCAAGACAAGTCCGCAACATGTCTAACGTTTTCAACACTTCTCGGTAGGTCCATCTCTCCCCTTGACCCCCTATTTTTTCATCGTTTTCATTCCTCCATGTCACTTCACTCCACTCCTTGAGCGATCCTCATCCATTCCAACTACACAGAAACCAATATGATTCTCCTTCTCGCCTTCATTCCGACATCATCACTTGAAACGCGAACGTCCAAACAGGGAATCGCATACTGCCCGGGGAACACCGTGGGCGATCAAGCAAAATAGTATGCTACCCGGTGAAGATCCGATTGTGACAATATGGATGCAAGGACACATGCAACGAGGGAATCAGAAAAAAACACTGACTTCCAGCTTACTGGGTAAAACAGTCCTCATCACTGGCGCTTCAGCGGGAATTGGAGCTTCAGCCGCTAAACTCTTTTCCAAAGCAGGATGTAACGTAGTCCTCCTTGCTCGTCGAGCGGAGAAACTCAAAGATGTCAAAGCGGAATGTGAAACTTCCCACAAAGAAGGTGGAGCGAAAGAAGGTGGGAAAGTGGTTTGTATAGAGGCGGATATGCAAGATAGGAAAGCTTTGAATGAGGTAGTAGGGAAATTGGAAGGTTTGAAAGTTGATATGTGAGTTTATACCTTTTCACCTTTTCACCTGTCCTACTATCCATCCATATATACCGGTTTGCTCAACGGTTTGATCTTATCAAGACGTCGGTACTATATGATCACTCACTGGTCGATGGAGTTTTGGCAACTGGGAATGAGAAGATATGATATGGGAGGATAGAAGAAATGGAAGTAAGGATAGAAGAAATGGAAGGAAGGCTGATAAATAGTTTGGTCAATAACGCCGGTATGGTTCATGGTAGGGAACACATAGGAGGTCAGTGATCAACTTTCAATGGTCAGGTGAACTGATTTATCAGTTATCTCTGATGAAGATATCGACGTAATGTTCCAGACCAATGGTGAGTACTTCACATATTTTTAACTGAGTGTGATGGTTATAATTACGACATTTGCTGAGTCATAGTCATTGGTCTTATTCATATCACTCAGATCTTTGTACGAGAGTTTAAGAAACAGAACTCTGGTGTATGTGTCTCCTTGAATTTCTCACTCCTTCACCCATGTCCCTTATACCTGCTTTCTTCCCTTGCTCTAACTCCTTGAGTGAACTTTCAGAGTCCTCTCCTTAAATCTTTGTCGCGATCGCTCGAACGGTCCCCGTGACTAAAATCCACTAACACGACAGATGATCATCAACATCGGCTCCGTCGCTGGTCGTGAGCCTTACGCCGGTGGTAAGTTTTTCACCATGCTTCGGTCATTTAAGAGCTCACGGGAAGGTGGTATCTACTGCGCGACCAAACATGCCGTGGCCAGTTTCACCGGATCTCTTCTACGCGAACTTGTCAATACTCCTATCAGGGTTTGCGAAGTTCAGCCTGGTGAGTTCTGGGTGCAAGAGGGAATACTGAGTTGATTTGTAGGTATGGTAGAGACCGAATTCTCAGTTGTAAGGTATCGTGGGGATGCTGCTAGGGCGCAGAGTGAATATAAAGGTTTTGACCCGCGTGAGTTCTCTCATAACATCTCCTCTTCATTCTCTTGACACCTCATTTGTCTTTCCTTCTCCTTTTGCCTTTTCCTATCCATTCCGACGTAGCTGTGTTATGCGCGATTGGGACTATTTTAGCTTGACATGCTCTCGTATCTTTCAATTCCACTTATGATGTGTGATATTAGCGACAGAAGCTCATTCCAGTCACCGGCGACGACATTGCAGAAGAGATTGTCTGGTGCGCATCTCGACCCGCACATGTCAACATCGCCCAGCTCTGTGAGTTCTGTGGATTCACAGTGCACTTGACCTGACGTACAGTTGTGCTCCCTATCCAGCAAGCCAGTCCCACCGTCAACTGGCGTCGTCCTGAATGATCTCGGCATGCACTGAGAAAGAGGATAAGGAGTTCCATAGAGGAGAAATAAGTAAAGAATCATATAGGAGACGGATGCAGCCAATATTTTGCCCTGCAGTGGACCGAGCCTGGAGCCCCGCCGCCTGCCCTCAAGAGTCGCGAGCCTAGACTCCACCCTCCTCCGTCGCATGCCTATATGTATAGCATTCGATCCGCCAGATGTCCAGTTTCACTTTCTTTCCCTCCTCATCTTCATCTTGAATGTGAAGCTATTGTGTGACCGTTTCGTCAATGGACCCCGCCCTTCCCGCTCTTGTCAAGGGTGAGACCCACAGCTCCACGTCATATAAAGTCCGTATCATAGCCGATCACATCTCTCACCAAGTCAACTTACACCGATCTAGCGGCAAGACATCTCCTCTCTTCGTCGGTTTACAAGGACCACAAGGATGTGGCAAAACCACATTGTGCGATCAGATGATATCTCATCTGTCATCTCTAGGATGGAAAACTGCCGTCTTGTCATTGGACGATCTCTACAAGACCAACGCCGAGTTGAAAGCTTTATCTAGAAAACATCCTGATATTGCCCTTTTAGCTGGTCGAGGACCTCCAGGAACGCATGACATCGAACTGGCCGAAACAGTCCTACATGCAGTTGCAAGTATCAACGCCAAGAAAGAAACGGTTCATCTGCCTATTTTCGACAAGAGTCTCTGTGCTGGCGAAGGTGATCGGAGCGAGAAAACGGTCCCTATCGTCGGCCCATTAGATGTGTTTGTGTTGGAAGGATGGTCGATGGGTTTCACCCCTCTCTCTTCATATAAACTCGAAGAAATCTACTCCTCCCCACCTCCACCTCTTCCGGGAACAGCGTATCATAAGAATCATCCACTAGCCGATTTGATGACTCTTAATTCATATCTCCAAGAATTTTCGACAGAGGTGTATCCGCTTTTCTCCACCATGATTGCCATCCAGCCCACAGACTACAGAAATGTATTCAAGTGGAGGCTGGAGCAGGAGCGGAATATGAAAGTAAGAAACGGCGGGAAGGGAATGACTGATGAACAAGTGGAGAAATTCGTAGAGCGGTATATGCCTGGTTATGAGTTATGGAGGGATGGAGTAGAAGGAAGTGAGATGCCATGGGAGGGCAGAGTGTTGAAGTTGGTTTATGGTCCTGAGAGGGAGGTGATACGTGTTGAAAAGCTCTCCGCCAGCGCCACAGGAAATGTTAGTAAAGCATTGAGGTCGACGGGGAAGAGTATGGAGGAAGTTTCGTTTACTGTTCCTAGGAATAAGGTGAGTTTTTGGTCTTTCACTATTGAAGCTTTACCCGTTTGTTCCATGTTGCAATCGAGTGATGGAGGACATTGTATAGACTAAGTTTGCTTCTCAATGCCTAGTAAAGCTCCGCATAAGTGTACAACTAATCATTAAGGATAATCGAATCTCGAGGGAAACGCTGGGAAGGAAGAAGACCGGAGGAGGGGGAGGAATGAAATTCTCGATCGTCACATATCACCCAGTCGCAACTTGGAAATGGGATACCTCGACCGAAGAACACAAGTTGTATCATTACGCTCATCCTGGTGCCGAAGAAGAAGAGGAAGATGAAGATGAGGATGATGACGTTTGTGGAATATGCAGATTGGTTTTCGAGAGTTGTTGTCCGGAATGTAAAGTTCCAGGGGATGACTGTCCGTTGAGTGAGTTATCATTTTTGATATTTGCACTCTCTTCAACCTGTCTCTCTGCGTACCTCGTACACAAAACTGCACGAACAACATTTTTGTCAGTCTGACCCACGATGTTGCACTCGACGGCGATTGTTGATGGGTGACACGAAAATCAAATGGCTTGAACGGAACATTTACGATCAGCCGAGGAGAGCAAAGACATGACGAGCTTCACTGACTCGCAGTATGGGGCGAATGTACTCATATATTCCACCTTCACTGTCTCTTGAAATGGATCGAGACAGAATCCTCAAAAGGACAATGTCCGATGGATCGGAGACCGTGGGGTGAGTCCTTGTTCCCTGTCCTTGACCTCTGAACTTCTATTAACTCACCGAATCCTTCTTCTGCAACTACTTCTTCTTGGTGCGTACATGATAAAAGTGGTCCGAACTGAATCGAGAATAAAGAGTGGATTGTATACTAAGCCACAGTCACCGCGGATCGTAAACCGGACAGACTGTCCACGACTGTCGACCGTGCACCCGTAGCTGTCGTGGCCCCTGGTCCCATATCTCGAGCTGAAGTAGCTATAGACGAATCTGGGGATGAGGAGCTGGATGGTGAAGAAGGAGAAGATCAAGGAGAGGAAGATGAAGAGGAAGGTGAGGAATCCGGTGTTTTGACCGAAGGGTTAAGTATGGAGGTAGAACAAGCTGTACGTTGAGTTTCATGCTCTCGATTGTTGTATATCTGCATCATTGTGACTTTGGGTCACCTGTACCATCTCATGACTCACAGAATTGACAACCACGAATTCCGTCATTTCTGACCCTGACATCCAACTTGACGACAGAGAATCGATCTTGTGCGATCATTATGGAGTTGTCGGCCTCGTGAGTTAAATTTCTCTCGCTCGACACGCTATACGTTGTTGTCATGGACAGACAGGCAGTGAAACACACGAGCTCACATCTACGACACAACGCCTTTTTGTCGAGGCACACATCGATGACGAGGAGGGTGCTCTTATCCACCTTGAAGTGATAAGAAAAGCTCCACCGATGTCTTCCGAACACGCGATGCCTTCGAAACACGCATCACTCGTTCGACATCCAATAGGCGAACAGTCTGGTGCGACGAGGAACAGATCGATGGGTACGTGTCTCCAATTCCTTCCTCGTTGACAGGTTGTGGTCTTACCTGACGTTCAGCGTCATGAGCTGTACAAAACTTCTGACGTCCGACAAGAATGATCTTACCCTTGCCTTCTTCTCTTCGTCCGCAACTCCAACCCTCATGGGTTCAGCCCCCAGTCACAAGTCCAAGTCAAACCCTCATTCAGGGGTCAAAGTGGTATCCAGGAAACGAGTGCTCATCACAGTGTGGAAAACCCCGTCAAAGCAGAGATACAGATTTCTCTTTCAGAATGGTAAGTCGCTCCAATCTCCTTAATGGTAGTTCAAACCTCCCACCTGAGTCTTGAACGCAGGTACAGTGCACAGCTGATATTGCAGATCGGGAAAACGCCACCAAATGGGTTTCCTCTTGTCATGAGGACCAGCTGAACGCAGCAGTCGCTGCTGCTCTGGAAAACATTCTGCCGTGGATGAGTCTCTGTATGTCTTTCTCACTCGAAGTGTCCCCTGTACAGAATATCGGTCACACTAATCTTCCGCGATCAACGCAATGGGAGAAGTGTGGCTAACTTGCAGTCATAGACGTCTATCTCGAGCTCAAGATACATCCGTATAAGGAGGAATCAACTTTCGTCTTAAAAGGTTACGGCTCTAAGGTCAAGGATAAAACTATCAGTCGGGAGAATATCAAAGATCTGAAGGAAGCCATCCTAGCCGCCGAGCACCGACTGACGGAACATCTTCCCTCCGTACGTCTCGATCCCTCCCGGCAGCAACAGAACAAAACTCGAGCGAGAATTCGATTCGTCCCTCAAATCTGATTGAACCCCTTCCAAACGCTTATAGCGAAATTGAACTCTGAAAGTGGTTAGGTCGAGTAAGGGAAAGGATAGAGGATTTGGGGGTTATATAAAGGAGGGATTTGTGTGTGAAGAAACTGATTTGGGGCGATGACGATATCGGTCTAGTTCTGCCCCAATTGGGATCTTGCCAATGAGGGTTCTAGGGGTTTTAGGGGAATCTAGGGGTTTAGGGGTCTGAAGCTACTCCTAAAATCGTCATCGGATCTGCTCCACGACGACTACCAGGTAGTTGCTTAATCCATCGATCACCACCTTCCCAACCGCATTCATCCAGTCATCGTTCAAGTATGGGCTTATTCAATAAGAGTAAAAACAACGTTCCCGAGCCGTCATGGGACGGGAGTGAGAGGGCGGTTCTTACCCTGCTGAGGGACAAATCAATGGGTGTCATTCACGCTTATGAAAGAGGTGAGCCAGATTACCTTATTTCTCATCCCTCTCTTCCGACTTGACACGGGCCTTGACAGGCGATTGTGAATATGATGTTGGGAGATTGCTGACAACCTAGACAAAGAGCATAACCAAGCTGAAATCCTTCACGTCACTACTGGCTGGGATTCTTATCAACCCCAAGAAGAAGCTGTACGAGTACATAATGCACTTCACAACCTCATATTGGATAAATGTAAACGTACGTCAGATTCTTTGATCCTCTCCATTCCTTTCACCAAGAAGAAAAAAAGGCTTCACAACACTCTCACACAAGTGTTAGGAAATGCGCTGATTATCAGTTTTGAGAGTCACTGTCATCGTGATGGTAGATAAACATTCGGACCAATCAGCGCTCAAATTGAACGGTTACCACCATATCACACCCGATCGTAACATCGTCGAGGATAATATCAGACGTTTGCTCCAGGCCGTCCATGCCACCGAGGTCGGACTTTCCGTTCGTCTACCCCCCGGAACCATGGACACACCTCAAGCGGTCCAATCCGGATCCGGCGTCGAATTCCAAGGCTTGCCACCGTATGTTCACTCTCGCCCTTGAGTGAAACAGACCGTAAGATAAGTAAGGAATGATACATTGTACAAGTAGGTTTTCCTACAAGAATGCATGATTCACTAGTGCACTGATTTGTGCTACAATTCACGCAGACTTTTCCGTGATTGATAGCTTCGTCGAATGACAGTCAATCCGTTTCAGCCCTCAGATCTGACATACTGTATGATTTGATTACACAGGCTCAATCGGTCACAATGGGAACCGATGTCTCCGGGTATATTGAAAGAAGGACTCTATTGAAGATGGACGTGGTCACTCCCTGTTCGGGCTGAAACGTGGGCATGAAAATATGACCTTTTTTCCGACGGTAGGTACGTACGTCCACATAGCCATCTGTATCCCACTCCATAAGACACAGATCAGCATACCCCTAGTACATTTCGTCCGCTAACACGCTGACGAGTCATGATGAGAGATTAGGGAACATGCGACACGCCAGCGTCAAGACGCCAATCTTTCCCGCTTTCGAATTTGCTGGAATCTTACGACAGCCTCGTGTAGGGAGCTTGTCAAAAGGAGCCTTTCCGTCCCATAGACGTCGTCCTTTGCCTTCCACCACCACTACTCACATTCGAGACTCCGCCATGGGCTCGGGTGTCAGCTGCATGTCTGAACCGCCTTGGGATGGAAGCGGGAGGGTCGTCTTTACCATAGTCCATAACGGCAAGAGTCATGACATACATTGGGAGCAAGGTAAGTCAGATGGCAGTCTCCTTCCACCCATGGGCAAATGCCTACATGTACTGCTCATTAGTATATATGTACATGCAGGGTGCTGATAATCTAGCCAGAGAACAAAACCAACCGAATATCTGTCACATCACCATTGGATGGGAATTGGAAAAGCCTCAAGAAGCAGATGCTGTTCGAATATTCGATATGTTCCATTCTGATCAACTGCTTGGCAGTTGTCAAGGTATGACATTTCTTTGCCTTCCTGCTCCTCCTCACTGACATATGACACGGCGCGGGCTGATCAACAGTGTTGAAAGTCACTCTGCGTGTAATAGTCGATGGATATTCGGATCAATCATTACTTCAGCTACCCGGATATAGAAACCTCCATGCCGCCCGCCTCGCCGACATGATGCAGGTTAACCTCAGGCTCATAACCGGAGCTCTTCATGCCGCCCACGTCCGACTCTTCGACCGCCTTGGACCTGGCAACATTACTAGACCTCGATTATCTCAACCCGCTGCAGCATACGTCCAACTCCGACCCCTTGACCACTTTCCAAAATTGCCATTCCTGTCAAGATACGGGCTCTAGATTCTCGGGAGACAAGGCCTTGCAACCGACGAGTACGTGATCAATCAAGTTGTGTACGACAGAGGAAGATACATTCTTCAAAGAAATACCAGCTATCATTGAGAATGTACAGTATACGTTGACCGTGCTCAGGGTGCCTGTACGTCTCCAAATACCTGTATTGTTATCCTCATCTGGATGTAGGGCAGGCTACCAAGGTAATAACTAACTTGTGCTCTGACTCGTGTGCCTACTGATAGATACTCTGTCTTGGCTGTTAACTCTGCGCAATCACAGTTTAATACTAAGTCTTATGATCGGTTCAATATTGTCTCACGGCTCCAATATAGCAAGCCGTTCTTCCCTTCGCAGGCATATGATCTACCTCTCAAGTATGTCGGCGGAAGTTATCGGTGAGTCTCATATCTCGCAACTTGTCCTCTATCTGCTCTCTCTCGAGAGGTATATCATGCGCTGGATCCCCAGGACCTGATTACCCGGCCATGCTGTCTCTCCAATCATGATACCTGCACGTGTGAAAATGTGTAGGCCGATGGTGACATACGTGGAGTAGGAATCTTTCGAAGATCCGTCTCCCCTTTCCTGCTTCACTACGGATGACCGTTGTCCGCGTTTCGCACCGCACTTCTTCGGTTCTAAATCTAGTTGTGCGAGTGACGTGGCCTTGAGTAGTGAGTGTGATGTTGCCTGTTTCCTCATGTTGTCAAGGCTGAATGTGAAGCGCGCTTACCAGCAGGAAGCATGTCTTCAGTACTCTATATACACTATCTCCCTCGAACAGCCATCATCCTAGGGATCTCACCTCTCATTTCTTTCGACTCACACGACCTGTGGTACCGTCATCCGCCACCCCCTTGTTCATCATGGTCGCCAAGGCCCGAATCAACGTTGCCTGTTGGAAAGACACCACCTTGACTGGTCGATGGGCTATGAGCACCCAGGAGCACGAGAATGGTACGTAGAGTCAATCCTTAGTGGTCCGGACCGTCACTCAGTCCAACAACTCATTAGCTGATCTGCCAGGACCAAGAACATGTGACTTGTTCTACAATGACGAAATACCCATAAATTGGGTAGAATTTGCCGACTTTCTTGCTTCTGCTTATCCAAAGTCTGAAGGTGAGTTTTCCCCAAGAGGACAATTCATCATCCTTGATGTCACTTACTCCCCTATGAGTGATTCTTGATCGACGATAGACGATCTGTATCGCAGTGTAAATCTCATGAACAGAAATTATCATGTGGTTCGTTTACTATTGGACGGACAAGGCATTTACCAATGTAACACTCAAACTGGCGGGTACTGCACATACCAGCTCTTCGGAAGAGAAACAAGCGATCATCACTTCCAATGCCGAAAAGATGGCCAGTGTCAAACCTCCTCCCGCATACAAAGTACAAGAAATCAGTGTAGCAACAAAGCAGAGAGGATTGTCCTCGTTGGTCGGATGTTGGAAAAAGCGGACTGATCGGACACGGGCCAGAACGCAAGGAAAGAAATAAGATGGCCTAATACTGTAAAGTAGATGCCGTATTGTACATTCTCATAGGTGTGCAGTGTGGTAGAGGTGTGTTCATATCATTCTTTGAAGTGTTTGCCATTGACCATAGACTACTACCAGAGATGTACATAGCTGTACAATCTTTGGAGGACACGAATGCAACATGTCGAGTACCTCACAAAAATGCACGTCACCGTCCTCGTTGCCGACAAACTAGATCCGCTCGGGTCCGAACAATTATCGGGTCGAAACAATTATCGGGTCGAAACAATTATCGGGTCGATGCCGAAACTTTCCATCCATATTGAATTGATGTCCTGCTAAGCAAGGTGGAGAGTTGGATATAATGCGGGGTTACTATCGAATATAGCAACGTGTGCGGTTCCGGGGTGTGAGTCGAGAAATGATGCGGGAGGCAACATCAGGTTCTTTCACTCAACTCTCTGGCTTGAGGTAAATCCAATGACCCTCTTGATGATGAGTATATTGTACATCTTTTCAGTAGGAATCACTTCCGTTCCAGTGATGTCGGTAGAAACGATCCAACACAATGTGAGTCTGTTTCGTCAGATCGACCGGAAGCTTGGATGTGCAGCTGAGATGCAGCTCAAGTGCTACATCATGACAAAACCCATTGAACACATGGTACTGTGGGACTGTCTGGCGGAGAAGTGTGAGTGCTCTGTTTTAACTCTACATCTTCGGTCTCTAGGTCTGCGCAGATCAACCAAGTCCGTTTGGGAATGCACGACATGTGTATGTTCCTGAGGATGGCGGAGCTTCAGTGAAAGAAGTGACATACAGCTGATAGGTAGTTGGGTCGCCTCCAAAAGAAACCAAAAGTAACTTCTACCAGACCAATGGCATTGCATCCTACGTCATCCTGACTGTTGAACGCAACGTCAGCTGGACCAACGAACAATGGTCCGAGTTGACGGCCCAACTCCTTCATGAACTATTTCCCGAGGTGACGTGTGAGTACTGGTACTCTTGATCTTCGGATCCCCAATTCCCTTCCTGCAAGGATGCATCATACTATCTGTCTGGTAGTTGGAGCTGATTTACAGTTACGGAGCTTTGAAGACGTAATATTGTGTTGCCACGGATACACGTGTAAGAATTAACGAAGTATGACGCCAAATCAGCAATAAGACACGAAATGTATGATTGTGGCAGGATGCAAATGTATGTTCCGTCCTTGTTTTTTCCAATGTGACCATCAACTCAAGCTTCTTTTCTCTGTTCTATCCGTTCGAGGCTGTCGACCAACCAACGTAGACCTGGACGAGCCCTTTCGATCATCATGTACTGACACACGCAATCGTCGGGGGGAGAAGCTTCAATAACCCCATAACCCATCTCTTCTTCCGTCTCGCTCGGTAGATGAAGATTGGAATCTTTTGATATTGACTACAGTTTCAATCTTACTTCTCAGTCTAAAAGACCAAAGATAAGACAATGACTTCAACGCAACCCTCATCATCACACTATGTGAGTCAACACCTTCTTCTTGAGCGTCCATTCACCATACTCTATTTCTCTCACTGACTTGGAGGTAAAATGCTTTACCGCAAGCGAACCAGTGGATCATGGTGCTTTATGGCTTGGGATAAGTGATAAATGTGGGTACAAAAGACTTTCGTCTTCTCTTCCTTCTGGCATTATATTATTCTTCCTCCTGGTGGACACTTTAAAACGCCCTTGATATGGGCAGTTGAAATTTGGGGAGTAATGGCATAGAAGGAGGCGATCATATGGAAGGAGTTTATGCTGATTGTGAGTTGGAACTCCTGCCACGATGATATGTATAAGTCTCATGGAAACCACGACGAATGATATGGGCGTAGTGATCACGATCGGTCGGGGTCGAGAGTGGACGGAAGACCAATGGTCAACACTTACAGTTGAAATGTTGAAGGAGATATTACCAGGTGTGACATGTGAGTCATCCCTACCTCCATACAGAACCTCGTTTTCATCGTCAATTCCTCGCTTCCACCTTGTGAATCTGTCGGGCAGGACAATGTTCTGACAATCAGTCTATGTACCACCAGCACGAGTCGTTGAGCTCAATAGATGAGAATCTCCATACCATCAACCACCTCAAGATGAACTCCGTAGGTAAATCTAAGACGAGGATCCTTATGCATTGCTAAGATTTCGTGTCCTCAGACCAGAAGAAGACAAACTTCCTGCGGATCAACCATTTCACTACCTCGCGCCCGCCGACAAGGAATCCCTTTGATCATCATTAGGTCCAGGCAAGCAACCAGCTTCTTACGCTTGACCATCAAACTACCCACGAGGTTCATCCTTTGAGATTGTTCTCGCCTCATATTATTGAGCTTCAATCTCCATTTTCAACCTCTCAATTTGACGTCTTCCCTCCAAGTTGACATTCCCACTTCAACAACTCCCCTTTCAATCGAACATGGCTCAACCTCAATCAACCGTTCCAGCATTCAATCCCGCCATCGTAAGTCCTTCTAATTCCCTGTGGAGAACATCACTAAATATCTAGCATAAAGTATTCTTCTGTCCTGAAGCCAAAAACGTTCAGGTTCTGCATCAAATCCTACAAACAAGATGTACGTCCTTTTACCTGGGTATTGTACAATGGGAACTGACCGATAGATGGTCCATGTCCTCCGGTTATGACTCATGTCAGTCCAGGTCACCAACACATGATCCTCGTTTTACGTGGTGCCATCTGGACGGAGGAACAATGGGCTTCTATCACTGTTTCACTTCTTGAAGCAATGTATCCTGGTACACGTTGTGAGTATCTCCAACATCTTGCCTTATCATATGTCCATCTCCTACTGAACTTATGGAGGAGATTGAGTTTAAAAGTAAACTTATTGCCAGTCATAGATGGAACACCAGAGTTCACTTCTATTCTCACGCTCTCTCAACCATCAAAACCCCGAAATTGAAGATGAATCCAATGATGTTGTAAACACATACTGTATTGAATCTATATTTTGTAGTCATAATTCCGGAGCCATGCGGAAATGACGCAAACTCTCTCGCCTATGTACATACTCCTTCAACGTTCACCGGAAGATCAAACTCGTGGCTCGTTTCCGTGCGCACCCCAAAATGGGTAAACGAGGTAGTCTCCCGATTGATGACCCATGTGTTTATGCAGTAACTACGCACCAGAAGCAACATATGTCTTTCATGATTCATCATCTTCCAATCTACGGGACGCAGAAAGAACAATGGGAAAAGTCAAATCTGCATCCCTGTCTCTCAAGTACTTTTGTAGTCTTCTAAGTTTTGCTCATCATGATGCAATTCAAGAGGTTGCCTTCTACGAATCGCTAACACCCATGAATCCTTCTCTTCTTCAGCTGACTGTGAAGGGACTGGAAGTTCTGAGGTTACTTCGGTGCATGAACAAGTGATAGATTTCTACAAGCATCAATCAGCAGCATCCCAGTAGGAGCAGAAGAACTCATCTTACAGGTAACAACTGACTGTGTATACTTCACTTCAATTCCTCTATGTTCATGCATGTTCCTGATTTGATCAACGTTCAAACACGCATTCTGTCTGAAAACGACCGGTAAGTAACGTATGTATCTCCAACGCCGTCAAAGCGTGTTGGAAGCTTCTTTCCTCATTCCTTTGGATTCCAGCCACGTTTCGTTGATGCTTTCCCTCATGTGTGGGAATATATACATATGTATGTCCTTCCCTGCTTGATGACGAGTCGTCAACCGCATTGTTTCCGCATGCCCTCATCCGTAAATTTCCATATTTAGTCATACCAGTACATCAAATATCCTATCCTTATCTTCTATCATCTCTATCATGCCTGTTGACATAGCCGCAAGAAGGTTGAGTATAGATCCTATAGTTGTCGGTCTTCCGGAAAGACTCGATGAAGGAGGTTATATTCATTCCCGACGTGTGAGTTTGTGGAGAGATGAAGAATAGAGGTGATATGAGTAGGTACAGGTTTTCTTGGTTCGGAATTTGAAGAGAATCAATAAGTTGGAAAAGGATTTGAACTATCATCGTGAGTTCAATCATGAGACTTTCTCGCTGGAATTCGTTTGTAGCTGCTAGTTGCTAGCTGGTAGCAACTTTTGATGGTGGGGTGGGTGGGAAACGAGGGAGTAAAGGTGTATTCCATCGCATGTCACAGTGATGAGACTTCGAGCAAAGAGCAAGGAGAAAAGCTTCAGGAGAAGTAAGACGATAGAACAAGTCACAGAGAAAGGGCAAGAGAGGATAGACAGATCCATGACAAAGATAGGAGTGGACGTGGGAAAGACAGACCGAGGAGAGAGTGCCAGAACTGATAAACTCACAGTTGGCTCCCCGCCCGCAGCACTCTACACAGCTGCCGTCGATACTCAATATCGACGAGATCACTTATTGACGATCGGTCGTGGAGGTAGTTGGTCGTTTAAACAATGGTGCGATCTAGAAGGTGTTTTGAGGGCGCTCCGACCTGAAGCTACATGTGAGTAAACGATCACTTTTCCTTTTGCTCAACCTAAAGTTTTGTACGTTGTAAGTCATGTTGGTCGAGGAGACAACTCGTTTTTGTCCTGATGTGAAAGATGGACGATGTCTTGATTCACGATAGAGAGATGAGAGATGAGAATGACAACCCGAGTCTGTTAGGTTACTCAGGACAATGGGAGGTTCGACCGAAGGACGAGGAATGAGAAGTAGGAAGAGTGAGACAGTTGTGTTACGGGGTGTGAAGGGTGAGAAAAAAAGGATGAAGAACCGAAGAGCTGAGAATGAAGTCGTCGCTATCGTCGATTATCGAGTCATGGTCAGACCTCCTAATGGGGTAGGAGAACTAATACCCTTGATCATCTCCATCGAAGATTGGTCCATCGCTCGAGATAGAGAAAGAGAGTTTTATCTTGATCTCTTAGATCGTATGGAGAGAGAATATAGACGTCCACCGGGTCAACCACGCAGGAGGTTTACTCTTTGTGGATAAGTTCTGTCGATCAGGGAGTAGTGCAGAGTGTTTCAAATCAATATTCGGAATGTTGTATAGTTCGAAACATCAGTTATAGTTTATCATTGTCAATTTGATGTACCTTGTACCTTGCGAAGATCAGTACTTAGCTACATTCGTTTCTATGTCATTGTATCATGATATGATCTATGCTTTTTCACCCGATGTTCCCGATGTCCCTGATATCCAGTCAGACTAGACGTTTTCGTATCCTTCCTCCTACTCCATTCACCGCCGTACTATCTCCATTCTCTCGACTTCCAACTTTGTTGTTCATCGTCGTTGTATTGTCATTATCTTGTAAATCCCCGTCATTGTGTAATCCATCATTCTTTTTATCATGTTCCTCAGCCACAGGCATAGACGTATGACATGAAGAAATCGTCTCCAACTCCCTTTCAGGTGTATCTTCAATACCATCATCACTCCTAGAATCTTCTGCTCCAAGACCTCTGGCCACACGTACGGCCACGAGACAAGCAGCGTAGAACCAGACTGTTTGTAGGATGAGAAGTATACATTCCATGGTGATGAACGCGCGATAGGTGGACGGTTTGAAGTAATGACCTTGTTCAGGAGACCATTTGTATGCGATGTAATTGGGAGCGTCAAAGAATGAGGTTTTGATGACTAATAACAGACCAATCTCTCGTGAGACGAGCCATGAAACGAGGAAGACGACAAAGGTGAGGTCGCATAAAAGGGTCAGGGAGAGATAGCGGAAGATTTTCGCAAGCTGAGGTAAGCATCGATGGCCAATCTCGCAAACTCCTCACATCCCAGAACCCGTGTTCGTCTATCCTGCGTATCGCAGGACGACCCCCGGAGAAACGGAGTCAGTTAGATACAAGACAGATCCACCTCATCACCGCCGCCTCGGAAGTGGGTATAACGGAGGGGAAATATGTGTGGGGAAAGACTAGAAGAGACAGTCGGCAAGTCACTCACAGGGAAGATGATATCACAAAAGTCCATCAGAACATGTATGAGGGTTCCTACCCTGGTAAAATGCGCCGCATAACTTCCCACTATCAGACAGATGGTAAGAATATGATGTGAGAACATTTGCCAATGATCCGTTCGTCTCTGCTCCGTGTTGAGGACGTAAATTTGGTGGAACCACCAACCCAGTTGACCGAGATAATACATCTTGGTCAGACCGGGCAGGTAGCGGACAGGGTAAGTACCCCAGAGCTGTTCGGGGGAGAGGCGATTGGGAATACGGCGAAGGATGGTCTGAAGTGAGCCGTTGTCCCCACGTCTCTGGCAAAACCATTCTGCACATCCTCCAGCCGGGTATTCATCGGGACTGTGAGTGAAAGTTATGTTTGCATTTGCTCGACGACAGCGTGGAAGGTGTCAAAGAGGATGAAACAAAGATATAGAAGAGTACAGGTATGATTAACTCACCATTCCAGTCGACCAAACAATGGCACAATAACAAAAAGACCAAGCCTGTTCTGAAAACCTCGAAACGATATGTTCTCTTCTCCTTCTTGTCAATCTTTCTTCCCTCTCGTTTGAATGCAACCCATTACCATGTCCGTTCCCATGATTTCTCTGCTCCACTTCACTGTTCATTTCCTTTTTGATTGAATGACGCCCCGGATCAAGCCACCACCGAGGGAAAGCACTAAAGACATAACGTATCAATACCGCCCTAAGCAGTGTGAATCCCACTGCACAGGTTATAACGATACAGGCGTCTTTATAACCTTTCGAGTATAATGTCGTATAGGGTATAGTTGGATCATCATTCGACAGATTTTGGGGCGGTAAGGGCGGGATGGGGTATGATAATGAGAAAAATGGTTGGAGTGGGGGAGGAAGTTTATGAACGAAGGTGATGGAATGTGAGGAGAAAAGTGAGGTGGGAAAGGAAGATAATGAGAGGATAGAAGAGGAAGTCGTGCTCATATTGAGGTTCATTGGGAGAGTAGAAAGATGAAAAGGATACAGTAGATGGGAAGATGATTTTTGGAAAATCTGATCTGTTAATGACACGAGGCTGAGGTTGATGGGGAAGATGAAAACGCACGGGTGGAAAATTCGTTGTCAATACCGGTCTCTAGTCACTCGTTCTTCTTTTTGCAAACGTTTAGATATGTACGGGAGGTTGCTTAGGTCTTACTAGACATGAGTGAGGGAAAACTTTAATCGTAAGTAGTAGTACACTGGGTAAAGTCTGGGAATGTAACGATTTTGGACTTTCCCTGGAGTGGGGGAAGGATCGATTCTTTAAATGTTCCCCAACTAATGTCTCAACCCAAGTTTCAACCTCCTTCACCATCTTGCACCATGGCAACAACTCGACTTTTCAAGGATCAAGGAGTATTATCAAAACAGGACATAATGGCCGTCCCACTTCCCTCACCGACACTATTCATAACCAACTTAGAAACAAAGACAAAGAAAATAGAACTTCGATCACAACTATATGCCTTGTTCACTCCTTTTGGTAAAGTGTCAGTCATTTCATTCTCCCCTCTCCCCTCTCCTCTGTAAATAATCTCATACCACACCCTTTCTCACACTGAGCCGAACTTCTTGTATATTCTCGGACAACACATCTTACTGATGGTGATCTTCTTTTGGTATCTGCAAACCGACTGACCCCGAAAGGATAGACGTCGTTGCGAAGAAACACGGTGGGGGTAGAGGACAAGCATTTGTGGTGTTTGAAGAACAAGCTGCTGCTACTGCTGCTCTACGTGGATTGCATGGGGAACCTTTTTACAGCAAAGAATTAGTAAGTCTTCTTCATTTCACCTCTGTATTTTCTCTCTTCTTTATAGGACTGCTTCGCCGTCTTATCTACGACTTTCTATTCATCTTTTCACACCCTCATCCCTGAAGTAGGTATAAGACGGTACCCGACCCCCAGGCGTTGAGGAGAGAGGAGAGGGGGGGAAGGGGGAAAAGAGTTACATACAAATAATCGTGCCATGCTCATTGACAGCGAATATCATACGCCAAAAAACCTTCTCATGCCACATTATCCCGAACAGATCCTTCCGCTTCTAAAGAAGCAGCCGCTTTGGCAGCAGCTAGATTAGTAGTTTCTAACGCTCAAGGCGAATATGAACAACTAGAGAAAGAACGTTTGGTAGCGGAAGAAGATGCTATCAAAGGAGGAAAAAGGGATTTAGAAGAAAAGAACGGGGATGGTGATGGACCGGCGAGTAAGAAGTTGAAAATGGGTGAAGACGAGGATGATATGGAAGTTGAGATGGAGATGGAAGATGGTGAGTATTCGTTGTCGTTCTCTCTTCCCTTCATTCTATCGCGTTGTCTTGTCTTTATTCATTGGATCTGTGTGGGACCACACATATGAAGCTTAGGTGGTAAGGGGGCTAGGGGGCTACTTGGGGGAGAGGGGGGATGTCAGGAGGTTGAGGATTGAGATGTGAGGGAACGGTTGAGAAGTGGTTGATGATTTATGACTAACATGTAGATGAAGAAAGTTCTGGAACACAGTTAATTTGCTCAAACCTTCCTCCTGAATGTACATCAGAGATTATATCTGCACTTTTCTCACAGTGAGTTTTTTCTCCTATCAATCCCTCCCCTCATACCTTTTCCCTTTTTTCCTATTCACCCAACATTTGTCTTCATTCATGTGTAGTGTCTCGTCTCTTTCCCCCACTCTGAATACCTCATCAGCCTTTTTTTTTGGCAATTCGGAACTCAATCATCCCCTTGGTCACTTCGTCTCCTCCCTGTCGACTCAACAGGTCGACCGTCAATTCCAAAACAATCCCAATATATATTGTATAATGCAACAGACATAACTTTCACTCCGTTGTGTAATGTACTTACTTTAGATATCCCGGATTCCAATCCTCCAAATCTGCATCTTCTTCCCAAATCCCTACATCACATCCGAAATCGAATCCTGGGGCCAAAACATTCGTCGCCATCTTTGATTCCTCCTCTCACGCCCAAACGGCGGTAGATGCTACGAAAGGATTTCTGATGCAGCCGGGATGGGAAATGTCAGTGAGCGTTTTATAGTCATGTTGGTATTTACATGCATACGTGATTTCATCTCGATTCTGAGTGACATGATTTGAGTATTTCGCACACGTTCCTACCTATCATATCGATCGTAGCCATTATTTACACGAGATGGGATGTTGATTGGGGTATTATGAACAGAGATGATCCTCGTTATGACTTGAATATTGATCTACTTGTATTGGTATCTACGCATAAGCTCGGAAGTCGTCATGATTAAACAACGACTTACTGTACGAGTACAAATAGACATGAATACTTTAGTTCACCGAGGTAAACCATCCCCGAAACCCCTCAACACACCGGCCACACGACGCAACTCATTCGAAAAGTCAGTAATGGTCTTCTTCGCTTCCTCTAACTGTCAGCGACTCTGATCTTGAGGGGAAATCAGCAGAAACGAACTCACCATGTTTGCGGACTTCTACTTCGATGGAGGTGACACCAGCTTCTAATTCACTCCTACTCGCTTCGTTCATCTTGTGGAAAACGTGGAGAACGGTAAAGATTGCTTCGAAGCTGTTGATCAGTCTCTTCCTTCATTTTCACCACCTCTAGATTTCATCTTCTTGAAAGATGTTCATCCACATGACTGATTGTATCGAAGCAGGCGGATCAGAGACAGCCGAGTGATCAGGGGGATAGAATATCACAAAATGAAGCAGTGGGATAAGAGAGATTAAATATAATACTGACTTTAAAGACAAAGCATCCCGAGCAAACTCTTGTAAAGCCGGCACCATCCCTCTCTGTAGCGTTTCCCACTTTTGCACCAATTCGACATTAGTATCGAAGTACATGATCTGACTGTCAGCTTTCCTTACATCCATCCGATTGTCCTCCTTCTATCAGAATTGATGATGACACTCACTGGACCCATAGGGTCGAATGGTTCTCCTTCCGGCTCGGTGTCCACAACAGTGTGATCTTCTCCGTGCACATCCTCCGTACCCATCTCCTGAGCTTGTTCTTCGGAAGAAGTACGCAGGGTTACCCTCCTCGATCTCTCTTGGCTGACATGCTTCATCTCTCTATCTTGAGCTTCTTCAGTGAAGTTTTGTTGCTGGTCCCGGCGATACATACTAGACTGAGGGATACGTTGTTGTCGCTCTATTGTCTGGTCGATTTGATCGTAGTTGTAATGCTGGACAAACTCGGATCGCTTCTGCTGAATCACTGGTGTGGGATGGAACGAGCGTTGATCCTCACGAGATTGAGCTTGAGTAGACGTGCGAGACCGAGGATACGGCATGTCTCTAGACGATTGCGCTAGCTTACTAGTGGGAGGCTCTTTCGTTATCTTTTGACGTTCATTGCTACGGTACAGCGGTTGGGGTATGACAATTTGTCGAGGTCGTTCTTTTCCGCCCTGTTGGATATTTGACGGTTGAGCCACTTGCCGATCGACAGAGATGATTGGAGTTGGCGCAGAGGGAAGAGGGTTTGAAGCCCAATGTTGAGCAGCTTGCAACTGAGCTTGAGTCCTCTCGGCCAGCTTGACCCTTTTAGGGAGAGTCAGGTGGTTTTCTACCTTTTTGAAAGGAGGACACTGAGCGTCGGTCGTCTTCTCCACCTCTCGGGGATGTTTGTGTGATGGTAAGATACCGGTTATCGGGCCAGTGGAATGAGTAGTATTGACATGACGTCCTTCCTCGGAAGGGCGGTCGTCCATCGTCTTCCATTTTGGCGTCTGGACGGGTTTCTGGACCGTGGGAGGTTTGAAAGGCTGTGCCGCTTTTGTGGTCCGGATCTGCGGCGAGTCGTTGTTCGATCCGTGCCCCATTGCTGGATCATTTTCAGTAGACGGGTGTTTTTCACTTCCTCGATCCTGCTTGGGCATAGGTGTTTCAAGCCCATACGGATCACCTGCGTTCTCCAATCTACCACTGGACCCACCTACTCGCCTCACGAGCCTTTTCGCACCACCCACAGTAGTCCTCACTACCCCACCCCCGTCTTCTTCATCTGTATCTGATGGATAATCGATGAATGCCAGTAACTCGGCCGAAGTCTGCACTTTGGGACCAGAAGTGGTCGAAGATGTACGAGTATCATCCGGACGAGACGGAGGGGATGTAGAGTGGCGTTGTCCTTGTTGTGGAGAAGGAGGAGTGTGCTGAGTTGGGAGGGGAGCTTGAGTAGCGTCAATGTCAAACACGGGAGGTGAAGAGTTATTATCTTGCTGATCAGCTGACTCTTGCGGGGGACGCTGGGTCATGTCGATACCGAAATCAGGAGGTGAAGAATGGTTGTATTGTCCCTGCTGGTCAGGAGGATGGGTGGCAAATGCGGAATCAGGTTCATTAGGAGGAGAGGGGGGAGCTTGGGGGTTAGTGTCAATATCCATGTTGTGAGTCTCGTCAGGAGATGCGAGTGAGGTATTGTCGGGCGTGTTTCGTATACGAAGCAGCTGGATATGGATGAGGAGTGAGAAGTGAGAAGAGGAGGGAAGAGAAGGAAAGACGATAGGAAAACCATTGGGGGGTTGTGGATATCAGCGCACGGGCCCTCGGGTTGAGTCACCTTGCCCCACTGGCCACCGTCATGCTGTCACCTTCACTACCTACGTGACGGTGCAGATTGACAATATGCATTCAGACCAATGCAATATGCAAACCTCAATCGATGAGGTACTTTCGTTTGAAAAATGATCTCAGATGGATGATCTATCGTCAGCTTGAGGCGCGAGTCGACTTGGAGAACTCACCTGCCAGGCTCCCATAGCAATGATACCTATCATGATGAGGATTGAGAATGTTTTCACCCGATCGTTTGTGCTCTCTGCGACGTGAGTAGACTGGTAGTTATGCCTCCCATATCATTCCGCAACACCGTTTCGATGACGAAGCAAGAAAGTCACGGTCCAAGTTGAGAGAAGGTTTTGATACGAAGCAACACTCACCATTCGTATCTCTCATTTTGGTTTCTCGTCGATGCAAATACCCCAATTCATCAACTACCTCCCTGACAACGGCCTCCAATTTCCTCATTTCCACTTCTAGAATTGACAGACTTTCCTGATTGGCAATCGCACTTGGTTGTCAGTTACATTCCATTCGATCTTATCCTGCTTACTTGTAATCCAGCGCATCAGCGCCAATATCAACATCTAAATCGACCGTTCGGGACAGCTTTCCTTCTCCACCTATGATATCAGCAGAGTATTCTTTTCCTATATCATCTCAGAGCCAAGCGTGAATGATGTCAAAACAAGAAGATACCTTACTCACTCTCCAGATGATTTGTCAGACAAACGCCAACATCAGCTGATTCATGTGTTGTCACTGCCAGTCGTGTTTCGCCCTTGATATCCTAACAGTCAGTCCTGGTCGACAGTGTATGAAGTTGATCGCTTGTCTGAAAACTCATGGGAAGTGAATGAAGATGAGACGACCAACCCTCTTGCTCAAGTACACATTTCCCTGTTCCGATCCGTCGAGTATTTCGATATCCACCCTTTGTCCAGGTGATGAAGGTACATTGGCAGTGACTATGACAAGAGAGTGAGCACCGGCAAAATTCCATACACTACACCATCAACGCTGGCAAGTCACTCGAAGGGCACATACCATCCTATCCGTCAGCTTACATTCCGCCAATGATGCTCAAGTCCTTGTTGAGAGACGTGGAATGAAGCAAAGAAGAGATAATGGATGTACGTATGGAGAAGGCTGGAAGTAGGAGAGTCTTGCTCACTCGGTCTTGGATGCTTTTCAGCCGCCAAGTCGAATCGCAGAGCTTGAGCTAGTTGAGGATGAAACCAAAGTGATAGTATCAAGAAGATTGTCAACGCCCAGGAGTTTCGTGAAGACATGACGAGGTCGTTACTGTCGTTATACCAATCGAACCTTTCCCCACTGCTCCCAGGATCCCAGGGTTGCTCTGTCCGACTTTCCGACGCCTAAGGGATTTCTTGACGCTGAATGAACACAAATAGAAAGACTGACCGTACGCTTGCTCTCGTGCTGTCTTGCTGGAGAGCAGCATTTGATCGAAGATAGGCACGTGCTGGACTGGTATGGCGCACGCCTAACTCGTCCGTTGAGTCGAAGCTTCAGCTCAACATTTTCGTACATCTTCCGCATATGATCCAACTTACAGTCTAAAATCACTGTATGCTCCTCGTCATAACGGGCAGAAAATTCAGCTTGAAGTGTCCCACCTTATCCTTGCTCAATTCAACCCGTAGAGTTCATTCCGTTTCGACTTCCATACGACATTCTGCCTCCTCCTCGGCAACATTCCAAAGGATGACCACCATCGATGTTCCTAAAGCGACATCATTCCCTCAGCCTGAATGGAAACCTCCACAGGTGACTATACAAGAGCCGGTGCTGAGGGTATATAACTCTCTTACGAGAACCAAAGTGCGTCTTCCTTTTTCTTTATCAGTCCAATCAACTCCTATCACCGTGCGCTGGCGCAACACATGGGACATGCTGCTTCACGAACTGACTTGATGGCGTTTTGGGGAGTCATCGTCGTGGCTGGAAAATGGTCAAGCCTCAGAGAGACAGGACTTGATTGATGATTAGGACATCTTCACTCCCACCAAAGGTCGCAGAGTAGATTGGTACAACTGCGGTCCTACGGTATACGACTCATCGCATATGGGTCATGCTCGTAATTACCTCACACAGGATATTATCCGTCGTATTCTCAGAGATTATTTCGGATACGATGTCAACTTTGTTATGAACATCACTGATATCGATGACAAAGTAAGTCTACTTTTTCCGCTTGCGCTTCATTTCTTCCCTTCCTGCGGATAAATGTGGAGGCTGATCATGGTAGATCATCATTCGCGCTAGAGAAACTCACCTTTTGAACCAAACCATCTCCCAGAACCCTTCCCTCACATCTCAACTCATAGCCGACACGCAAGCTTCTTTTGCGGCTTATCTCGATAGTAAACTAATGAAAATCTTACCGACATCTTCGGAGGTAGGACCAAATGCAACACCTTTTGAGACCTTCGAGAACATCGTCAAACGAGATACGAGTGACTTACAATGGGCTGCCGAGATGAGAAGTAAAGAAGAGAAATTCGGAATGTATATGACTAGCTTGACCAAGGCCCAAGCTGCGATACAGAAGGCCGAGGTACGATTAGCGCAGAGCTCAGGAGGGGGTGATGCTGTTAAAGATCTGGTAGAGGGGACTTCTGATGTTTTGGGACCATATCTGGGGACAAAAGTGGGTGTCTTGCTGTCCCCTCATAGACCTCATTTCCCATTATGTTCTTCATATTTGAGCGACCAAAGTGATGAGACTTAATGCATGCACGATTGAAAATAGCTAACGACCAGCTCGCCAGTACGATTCAAGATCCTATCATCATCTGTCGCCAATTAGCTTCATTCTGGGAAGACAAATTCTTCTCCGATATGTCCCGTCTCCATGTCCTTCCGCCAGATACCATCACACGCGTGTCTGAATACATGCCAGAGATCGTCGATTTCGTTCAGGGAATCGTGGACAATGGGTTCGCATATGAAGGCGGAGGGAGTGTATGGTTTGACGTTACTAAATTTGAGGGTGCGGATGGAGATGGGTTCAGACATGAGTATGCAAAATTGCAACCGGGTAGTAAGGGTAATCGGAAGTTGTTGGATGAAGGTGAAGGTGAGATCACTTCATTATTCTGTCTCTACCCTTAGCTCTTCCAACTACCAGCCCAACGAGGTCGACTGATCTTCACATGAACAGACGTGGTCCAGTGTATCTGCTGTTGAGGGATGTTTGACTCATCTCCAGGCGCGTTAACCGGTGTTCAGGGGAAAAGACAAGCAGCAGATTTCGCTCTATGGAAAGCAAAGAGTAAACCTGGGGAACCTGCTTGGCCTTCACCATGGGGGGAAGGACGGCCAGGATGGCATATAGAATGTTCGGTCATGGCTTCTGCGATTCTAGGAGAGGGTATGGACATTCATTCTGGAGGGGTGGATCTCATGTTTCCTCATCATGATAACGAAATGGCTCAATCCGAGGTGAGTAAGGAAATTTCTAGTCCTTGAGAGATAGCTGATCGGTGATAGGCGTATCATGGCTGCAGACAATGGGTCAACTACTTTCTGCATACGGGACATTTACATATTGAGGGATTGAAGATGAGCAAGTCATTGAAGAATTTTATCACTATTGATGTGAGTTTCATTCCTTGCGCCTTTCTTTACCTCATCATGACATCTGTTTTCCACTCCCAACGGCTCTGGCCGTACCTGCAGGGAAGAAAAAATGCACGACCATTGCTATTTTGCCGAAGAGAAAATCATGAATGTCGCACCGGAGTCATTTCACTTTGAGTGTCGTCATTGACCAACAGGAAGCTCTTCGAGATTACTCAGCCCGCCAACTCCGTTTAGCTTTCATGCTCCAAACATGGAACGCCCGACTTGATTTCCGGAAAGACCTGATCGCGGACGTACGAGTCAAAGAGGAGACCTTTAATAACTTCTTCATCAATGTGAAAGCACGTATAGCGGAAGCGGCCGCGAGGAGAGTTGTCTTTGACGGAAAACATCACTTCGACCAATTAGAGAAAGGACTTATGTCGGAGTGGGTCTTGCCTTTCCCTGCTAATCTTCCTCATGTCTATCTTTCTACCAAATCCTTACGCAAATTGAGAAAACGTTTGATTGGAGAGCTTTGAATGAACACTCAGCTGACTGACAGCTTCCACTCTGCCCAACATGACTTTCGTATTGCCCTCTGTGACTCTTTCAACACCCCCTCTGCCATCCTCGTCTTGTTAGATCTCGTGGCTAAAGTCAATGTGTACTTTGTCAGTAGAGGTAGAGAATACAATATTGAGCCTGTAAGGGTGATAGCCGAATGGGTGACGAAGATGTTGAGAATGTTTGGATTGGGTGAAGGGTTGGCTGGGGATGGACAGATTGGGTGGGGTAAAGAGGGTGAAGAGGGGTCAGCTGGGGATGTGAGTTATTATTTCCTACTTGTTTCTTTTGTTTCTTCTCTCTCTCCTCCTATACATCCACCTTCCTTGCAGTATATCCTTCTTCACAGATCTCTCAATACACAAATCGATTGACCAAGTACACTTCGCACCCCAATCACTCGTGTTCACCCCTGTATCGTCCCCCCCCCTCCGCTTCCTCTCTTTTTCTTACTATGTATCTAATCTCCATCATCAGGATCAAGAATTTCACATGCTGTGTGATATATGAATGACTCAGCATTGACATGATCAGTTCGAAACTAAACTTGATAAATATCTTCGAGCCATAACTTCCTTCCGTGATGATGTCCGTCGTCTTGCCATCTCCTCCGCTACTCCAAATGAAATCTTAAACCTTTGCGATAAATTCCGTGATACAGACTTGATAAACCTCGGTGTTCAATTAGATGACGGACAATCATCAACAGGAGGAGCTTTATACAAACTTGTAGATCCATCGATTCTCATCAAAGCAAGAGAAGAAAAACAAGCTATCTTAATTGAAAAAGCACGTAAAAAAGCGGAAACTTTAGCTTTGGCAGAAAATAAGAAAATGGTTTTGTTGGAAAAAGGTAAAGTCAAACCGGAAGAAATGTTCAAACCTCCAAATGTACCTCTAGATACATGGAGCGAATGGGATGAACAAGGTTTACCGATAAAAGATGGCAAAGGTGAGATGGTGAGTAAAGGTCAAAGTAAGAAGAATTTGAAGTTGTGGAATGAACAAGTGAAGTTGAATGAGAATTGGAAGAAATGGAAGGTTGAACAAGGGGATTGAGAGTAGTATTTACGTATCATTATGTCATTTCATTGCATGAAAGGGGGTACGAGTGATCATCTATCCAGCTCGAGCCAGCTCAACGATCGCTCAACTCCTTTTCCTAGACTTATGGTTCCTCGTAGAATACGAGTATGGTACTCGACCAAACGTCGTGTGTTTTGACGTGGTGGTACATATGCTGCTGATTTGTGAAAGATGGTCTGAAAACAATGATGTTATTCACATATCAGGTACGGCTCTGGGAACATTTGTCTTACATCTACGGAATCTCCTTCTGCCAGAGTCAAATACGAACTGGATCTCTCAATATTGGCCAGTAGAACCATAGTTTGGTTGTTGACCAGGTGCCGCGGCAGCTATATCATCAGTCAAATTCTTCTCTCCGACTCCACTCTAGCCAAGCGATGATAGCCCGTGTACCCTCAAATTTCCAAATAAAAAACACAAAACCTTTTTACAACTTTCAATTTACGAATTGGAATATACTCGCTGCGTGCGATACAGAGTGGTATACGAATAGGAGAAGAGTCGACCTCATGCATCTGGATGGAAGGAAGAGATGACTCACCTCCGACAGGAGCACCAGCACCTGGTCCACCCCCGACGAAATTCCCATTACCCAAGTAACGATATCCGGAAACACCGTACATTTCCTCAGCTTTGATACGTTTGTAAATGAGCCAGAAAGCGTGAATGTGACCTCTGGAGATTAGCACATACAATTTTCCTTCTGATGATCACACGTGTTCATATCGACAATCTTCCACACAAGTTCATTTTTGGGGATGGGCGGTTTAGGTTGCTGAGCGTTGAAGGAGATGCAGGATAGGTGATTCGTTGATATAGGGTATGATCACGAGGGTGTGAGTGGGATGTTGAATGAGGGAATGAGCGGGATGTTGAATGAGGGAATGAGCGGAAGAGGTGGGAGATGAGGAGAGGCCCAGATTGCGAGGCGACACAGGACCAGGACCAGCAAAATGCCTTGAATGGGATTTTGTGTTGTAGTCGAAAGAGTGAAAAGGTGGACTGACGGTAGATAACCCTTCAAGTTAGCTTATGATCACAACGCGTTGAATCCAGTACACAAATTGGTCCTAAACAAACCACGAGAGACGTACATTCGTCTAATGCAACGATGATGGAATCGAGTCAACTATACCTTTCTTACTCTCTCAAAACCAGACCCAAGATTACGAGGGTAGTCAGATCAAGTATACAGAAATATGGGGCCACGGGGAGTTGTGAAGATTGAGGGTGGAAATGATAGTTTCAAGTGAGTGTGAAGGTGACTCACAAGGATAGTCAACAAAACGTTGATCCAGAAATCTGCAGAACAACAACCAGCAATGAAAGCAGCAGCTGCAGGAGGGAAGATGATAGCTACTATGATGAGTAAAACGTCTGAACCTTTGACCATCGTGTTGGAATTGTTCTGATAGTACGTGATATGTATTCAAGTGGACAGCTGGATACTTGTTAGATTGGATGATTGGGTGAGTTGGATGATGGAGAGAGAAGAGGTTGGATGTGAACGAGTTTTGGAGGATAAAGGGAAAGGCAAGTTGGGTGGAATGCGGTGTCGGTGACGGATGATGACGTCATTGTATGAACCTCACCCACGAGCTCAGCAACAACATCTCAACGTTCAATCTTTACCTCTTCATTCTCAACAATTTGAAGAATCGTACAGTACAGTACGGTTTCCTTTTGACTCTCGAATGTAGGTCATGAAGCTTCTAGACCCTATCGACGTGTTCAATTACCCAACCACCTGGCACCCAACGCCAGAATTGGACTCGGACAATCCTCATGGCTCATGGACGGCTCAAAAACAACTTCGATCAAAGAAACGTTCTCCCCTCCTTTCACTCTGGTTCATACATCATCCCTCACTTCCCCACCTTCTCAACTTGCGAAAAATCAGAGGAACATCCGATAATACAACCTATCACTCTCTCTCTCTACTCATACACTGATATGTCCGAAGAACCATCCCACCCGACCGCACCTGAGATCAAGACCAAGATGATCTTTTCACAATGGATGAAAACCCTGTGACCCCGTGAGGATCAGAGACGAACCATGGAATAAAGGAGCATATCGGGGTTACAACATGTTCGTTTGAGTGGTCAATCCCCTTTGGTCTAAACGCCCCTTATTGACATGTGTTCTTCTATCGTTCTTACTCACTCATCTCACTCATTTCAATCACTGACATTTCACGATTCATTCCACTTCATCACTTTGGCCTGTACACCTTGTCACTTTGACAACTCTTGATCTTCCTGCCCTTACCTCGACCAAATCGTACTCTCCTTTATCAGCTCCACGAACGAAACCTCCACTCATAAAAACGCCACCCGACTCGTCAGCGATAATAACACTCGTACTGTCGAATCATTGAAAAAAGTCAAGACTCCAAGACTTCGCATTGAGTCACTTGAGTCGTATGAAACTGGGAAGAAAGTGGAAGATGACGAAGAAAAGTCCTGTGCTTCCTTCAACAATGACAAAGCCTTCACCATCTACCCTTCGTTCCCATCCGACAGCAGAACCGCCCTCGCCCTCTAGAGAAAGAGGAAAATGCAAATGTTGTAAACAAAAGCCTTACGGAAGTTATGGGACTGTACCTTATGGAGGAAGGGTTGGTCTGGTATTAGGAGCATTATGGGAGATATCAGATGTGAGTCAGACTTTCTCTTCTCACTTCCATCCCATCGTTACTCATCTCTTATGTTTTCCACAAATTCACATCGAATTATTCTTCACGCTTGTTTCATCATCGAATACTTGTCCCTACATCCTTATCGGCGTATCAATTCGGGTTCCCAAATCCTGCTTCCATAACTACCAAACGATGAGAGAGAGAAATCTGGAATGCTTTCTTGATCGGACAATAACTTTCTTATTGGTCATATCAGGTGTGGCGAAGAGGCATTGACAAATAGTCACGAGAACAAACCTCCCCTCCTGACTCTCCTTCCAAGACCACTCCAAAAGTCGAATATCCCACTTCTCCCGATCCTCGACGGAATCGAATGGAGGTTACTCAACCTCCCATGGAAATGACTAATCTGACTTCACCACAAAGAGCTAAAGTGGCCGTACATCCAACCAACGGGTACGCTTGTCGATGAAGCTCTCCACGTCCATATCATCCGTCATCAAAGGCTATACTTCCAGGAAGAGGAATTCGATATGCAATTGTCCTATAGAAGAAATCAATGAAGTTGCTCAGCTGAGAAGACCTTGATCTGTCATTCCAGGAATACATATGTAATGTCGGAAAGATTGTTAGATGTTAAGGAGTGATTCATGATATCAGTCATTTACAGTCAAAAGACGATGTCAAGTCATCACGTAGATATTGACATGAAGTAATATCATGAATTCATTTAGTCCAACAAGTCATTTATAACTCCTCTAATAACCCCTTCAACTCATCTAATCCATTTCCCTCACTTTCATTCTCATCAATAACCCCAGATCCAGATCTTACTACACCTAACCCACTAGCAGCCCATATAATCTCAACACCTTCCACATCTTCCCACTTAAACATCCCTCTCCCACCCCAAACCAACCCCTCATCCTCCTCACCTTCCCCTTCACCTTCAACCTCCACCGTCCCACCAAACAATCTGGACCAAAATGATGTACCCACTCCTGAGACTTTAGACATACCTTCGATCTTCCCACTTGCCGAAGCACGAGAAGATTTTAGTCTGTCCATTTCTCGAGTGAGAATGAAACGAAGACGTTCTCGTGCGATATCAAGTGTTTGAGAAGGGATATTTGGAGGAGAGGGGGATGGTGGAGGTGAGGGTCGAATGAGGAGATCGGTTTTGTTTGCTAGGAGGATGAGTTTGATAGGTTTTGAAGAATGGCGTGAAAGGTTTGAGAGTGTTGTGAGAATAGGTGGGAGTTGTCTAAATTGTCAGAGAACCCATATATGTCTATCGGCTGCCTGAATTGGTCCATCTGCAATTCTTCTGGAAGGGCAAAATGGCTACTCCCACATTTCTTGAGCCATGCAACAACAAACCACAATAATCACTGATTCCCCCCGCATCTGGATAAATATCATTCTCTCGCTTATCCCACAGAATGAATTGTCGTTATATCTCCATTATACCATCAAATGAATCACTCATCATGTAAAGAAGAGAGAAGAGGGTAAAGAGGTACAGTAAAGACTCACTCAGCTACCATACCTGCATTCCTCACTAATCCAACTATATCAACAACGAACACAACTCCATCAGCCTCTCTTAAATTTTTCGTCACACCATCACGTAATCTAGGATGTCCAGGTAAATCCACCAATCTAATCTTTTTACCAGTTTGAAGAGTGAAAGTGGTCGTACTGCTCTTTATGGAAGTATGTGTATTAGGATAAGTCCCATATGCGAGCTGACTATCAGTTCATGAGTGAGCCAGGAGAGGAGAAAGTACTTGGGAGAACAAGGAAGTTTTGCCACTATCTGATGGACCGACGAGAAGGATAGTGGAGGGATTCAATTGAGGTTTACGTGAGGTGGATCGGAAAACTAAAGAGTTAGATTCGTGTTTGGTGATTTCTCTATGCAATACATAGCATCATTGAGGGGGGTGGTTATTCTGAAATCGAGGTGTGGAACATTTCTGGGATGAACGTGTGGTAGGAGAGTATTGAGTAATAAGAAAATGAAAGTGTGTATGAAGAAGAATGAAAGTTAGATCAGATAGGGAGAGAAAAGGAGACGTACATGTGAAGAACAGGACTAAGATGAAGATTCCCACGATGGCAGCGACGAACTTGGGATCTTGCAATATAGTCTGCAAGGGTATCTCCCGTATCTTGTCCAATTCCTGTATGAGTCCCAGAATTATAGATCTCATCTTGTTCGTTCCTTTTCTTCACTTGAAGATGAATGGTAAGACATATGAGAAATAGTTATCCATTAGTTACTACTTAACTTAACGGGTCCTTACCCAGTTGGGATAGCGGCGATCGCCGCTCTCGTGCACCTGCATGGTGCAGCGCGTAGGGATAATCCCGACGGAACTCGAATTAATCCCGACGAAATTTTGCCACTTTCTCCCAAAATACGTCACTCAACCCGAGGATCCCTCCACTACTGACCCAAATACCTACGGAATGTCCCCAAATCCCCCCTGTATTGAATATGCATCCTACCGTGGCTTCTTGCATATATATGGGTTGCCACACGTATTCTGAAGCCATTCATGCAGGCAGAACCTCCGAATTCGGAGTCCTTGGTTCTCTACAGCCATTTGGAGTTCAAATTCGGAAACGCCCCCGAAAGGATGTGTCCTTCAACCCTAGGCACTGTTTGGCGGTCATTGGGCAATCATTTTTCTCCTCTTCTTATTTCAATCATCTTCTTTCCATTGATTTAAACATAATAGTAACTTACTGAATTAAGCTCACAAGCTTTATGTCTCAGAATAATCAAGCTGATCAACTCATTCTCAACGCTTTAAAGAGAAAGTCGCCTTTTCGTGGTCGACCTCCGAAAGTGTATGCTCCTAGTGCACAATCACCATCAACATGTCAGTGTCTCCTCTGAAGATTATCTCACCCCTTACTAACTATGTAGCCGGTCCTTCTCACCCTATTGAGCCTTCTTCTATCAACAGGACAGCTTCGGAGATCCAGTCAGTTTCGGTTTCGGTGCCCTGTGAGACATTCTCTTTTCCTCTTGGTTCATTGAAGCTTATGCTCAGTGAACAAACCACCGCCCTTTCCTGAACCACCCCAGCTGAGCTCAAGAGGGGCTTCTTCTCCATCTCCTTGTCATAAAGTAGCTCAGCCCGATCTCCTTCCAACCCCCTCTGCCTCCCTGCCTGCTTCCGAAACGCGACTGGAATCGCATTTGGATTCGGTGGCCTGTGAGGCAGTTTCTTTTCCTCTGGGTTCATTGAAGCTTATGCTCAGTAAATCATTCACAGCAGTTTCCCAAATCGTCTCCTGGTCACAAGATACCCCTGTCCACGGCTGATTCCAGTGAGTACTTTTGGATCCCCTTTATGTATCAACTGACAGGAGAGTTGCATCAGGAGATACTCCTGCATCGTCCAACGGTATTGGTATTGTGACACCAGATTCGGTACCCTGGACAGAGCTGGTCATGGCCTCCCCCTCCGCTTCATTGTCTTCGGCCGTGCAAGCTTCAGCACCCAACTTATCCGCTGCCGTTCCGAAATGGTCTCCCTCTCAACCTCCGAATCCCATTTCGGTAGAAGATGAGATCATCACTGCTAGGCAAGAGGCGGCCGGGCGCTTCCGAATTGTCAATATCTCTTCCGAATCATACTCCGTACCACGTCCTGAGGCTCCACTCTTGGCACTCAAAGCTCCTCGCACCGACGCTAGTCTTGGGGTCAACATACGTGCTTTGGAAACCTTCTGTCGTTTACCGAATCCTGACCTGGTGGATGATGATCGCTATGAACAATTCGAGGTGGCTTTTCATCATATCCCGAAAGCGTTTGACTCTTTGGTCAGTGTTCTGTTTTGGAGAGTTACAACCGTTGATATATCAGCGTCAGGACTACCTCATTGAGACCCAGCATATATCCAAATGTGTTCAAGTGGAATGGTTGGATCCCCCTGGTTTATTACCCGCCGACATCAGGGGAAGACATGGCCTCTTCTTTGTCTCCGACAGTGCTGTCGCCGCATACCCGAATCGGACAGTGTTTCGGTCGATCTTCCGATGCAGTGGCAACTGTACCCAGATCCAGCCAACTTTGAACAGTGTCCACCACCATGTTGAGCCGAAAGCAAAGGATGAAACACAAACAACAGCCGAAGCTCACCCTCCAACTGCTGCCAGTGCACGATATTCCTCAAGAGCACGTTTAAAGTGTGATCTTTTTCTTGAGGTGGGTCATATAAGGATGATTCATCTTCACTAAGCTCATTTTCTTAGATACGAATGACCCCCAGCAATATCCGAAAAGGGGTCTGTTGTCTGATCCGCCCGAAAGCTGCATATCACGGTCAACCGAACCCGTTGACATTACTTCGGATTTCGCCACATCTCCGAAACCTACTCCATGATGCTGCAACTCTGGTGGGAACGACTGAGTCACGTCTTCGGCTTCGGTGGTACAATTCCTTCTGCAAGATTCACCCCTATGTCCTATGGGTCAAGGCAAATTATCCCGAGCGTCTTCCTACCACCACTGACTTCCAAACTGCCATCCGAACGGCTCTGCGGCAGGAAAGGCTGGATCGGCTACCACTGGCGGCGATAAGTATCTTACATGAGGCCAATCCAAGCTCTTTCCTGCAGTATGTAGCCAGCGTTTCCTTGTCCTCATGAGCTGACTGTCAGTTGTGAATATCCTGAAGGCCTGGCACTCGGTGGCACTCAGCCATTCCCAGCGGACTCTTCGTTCATTGCAATCATCAGTCCGAAACATGCATTGCAATCAGCAATTCGGCATGCCACAGATCGGGGCCTCTTTCTTGATTCGTCTTGGAGAAATAAGAATGCAATACGCTGTCCCGTCACCTTGCTAGCCACAGTAAATGAATATGGTCATATGGTCCCTGGTGAGTCCTGTGGTTTGAAGGGTTTCGGGTTTCGGAGCTGACAATGCTCCAGTAGCTGTCATGGTCTCGAATCACGCCAACACCGATTCCTATACCGAATTCTTGAGCGTTATCCGAAAGGCTATCAAGAAAGAAGCGAAAGCATTACTCAAGGGCAAATCATCAGTGGTCTCCGAATATGAGAATGAAGAGCAAATCCTCATCAACGCCGAATACATTCACGAGGAGGATTTCCTTCCACTACATTTCATGATTGATTGTGATGACGCCGAACGAAAGGCCATTGAGGAGGTCTTCCCGGGAACTCCAATTCGGTTATGCCAATTCCATTTCATGCACGCCGCCCGATCTCGAGCACTTCGGCTATTTGGGAGTGATCTGGTGGGTACCGAAAAGGCCTTTGCCTTCCTTGTGGCACTTCGGAGGTGCCAACGATGTTCCGAAGAGGAGTCTTGGTCAGAAGCTTTTGCTCGACTAGAAGCCGATGTTGCGGCAATCAGCAATAACGATCCCGAAATTTGGGACAAAATCAGAACCTGGCTCCTGTCTGAATGGTTCAGCGACAGATGGAGGGGATACCTTGTCGACTATGGTCTGCCACCTCATCACACCCGAGATGGTACTCTCTCAACAAACAACTTTGTCGAAGCGGCATTTCGGACCTTTGACAGAGTATTCCTTGAATCTCGAGCCAACAAACGTATAGACAAACTCCTCACAATCATCATCGACGTTTACTTTCCCATGTATCTCCATTCACCACCAACATCTGCCCGCTGTGACCCCACAGTTCTGTCACACATACTTCAAGGACTGGAGCTTTGGGAGCAAGGGGCGGTTAGGGAATGTTTCGGAGACGAGATGCCTATGTCATTGAGAGGTCAACTAGATCATACATATTGTGTGACATCCTCCGAATCGAGCAAAACAACACCGGACTTACATTACTGTGGGATCAAAGACAAAACTCGTGAACGATGCTCCTGCAGATACTTTACCAAAACAGGCAAAAGGTGCTCGGGTCTCTGGGCATTGTACTGCTTTCACACTTGTGGCTCCTCCGAAACGTATTCTAATGGTGTCACGGCAAACGAACTGCGACTGCAGACTCGAGCTATACAACTACAAAGACGGTTGGGAGAGATATCTTATCCATTGGATCAAGAAGACCTTGTTGCCTATTGGGGACATGACCCTTCGGAGCCTGTGTGGCATGATTGGTCCTCCGAGCAGCCTCCGAAACAGGGCAAGCTCATCAGCATTGATAGTGCCAACCTTGATTTTGTCGAGCCCGATTCGCCCATTACCCGCCGAAACCGATTCCTCAACCATGCTGACGACCATCCCTCAACCACTGCCACGTTACCGGTTTCAAGACCAGAGGCTGATAAGGGTGGCCGTCCAGCAGCTCACCGCCCTCTGCATCCTTATCGCCAAAAGACAGCCCCCACAAAAGCTGGCATTCCTCGGGACGCACTACCACCACGAGATCGACCTGTTGGAGCAAAGAATTATCTTCAATCCTGTTTTGCTCTGTCGTTGTTCCATATTGTCTTCCGAATTCCAGCCTTCGTGTCCGCATTCAACGAAGCTAATGACGCTCTCAGGCCTCACGCACCTTCTTTGATTGTCTTACTAGGTGACTTTCTTAAAGCCATTTCGGTAACTAGACGGCTGGTGGATCTGAAGGACATTGTACCGATCCTCCGAAGTGAGTTCCCTTCCTCCATCATTGCTGCCAATCAGCATGTTCATTTGCTGATATGCAGGTGAGAACTTGATAGATGAAGAATCTCAGCATGATCCGTGTGAACTGTTTCTCAGAATGACAAGCAAATTCAATCAGATCATTGAACAGAACCCGATTCGGAACACATTCCAATTCGGAGTAACCTGGGAATATGTCTTTCAGCCCTGTTCCCACGCAGTCCCTGTCAGGCAAGAGACATCCTCACTGGAGAAGCAAATGACCGTTCTCCAAATCTATCCACATGGCTCATCACTTAACCTCATCCAGCTCATCAACCTTTCATTGTGGCGTTCATGCAGTCCCCAACATTGCTTTTCGGTACCATGTAATGGACGAATGGCCGTCACTCGAGCACGAGCCAAGATGTCCTTGGAATCCAACAACCTGCCCCGCATGTTACTCCTCAACATTGTCTGGGATCTCCGAAACCCCTCTGCACACCAAGTGATCCACCCTTTTGACATTCCCGAAACTATCAACCCAGCGCAGGTTTCGGCCGTACCTCCTCCTATACTCCCCAGCAATCTTCCAATGTACAGATTGAAGGGAATGCTCTGCCGAAAGGGGGACACCGTGCAGGTGACCAGTGGACACTATGTGGCTTTGATAAAGCATGATGATGTGCTGTGGGAGATTGACGACGAAAAAACCTCTCGTATGTTTCTGAACCGGGACGCTTTCGGTGGTACACGATTCCCGGTCTTGCTGTTCTATACACTGGAAGATGAAGTCAAGCCATCAGCAAGTCAACCCATTGCCAAAAAGAGACGACTGAATAAGCCAAGTGGGAAAGCAATGTCAAAATCGGCTTCGAATCCTGAAATACCAAAAGCTGAAGGCCCAACACTGGAAGCACCAAACCCCCAACCTCCCGTTTCGGACGCCATACCAGCTAATTCTTCAAATTCGGAGCTGCCAACTTCGGCCCCGCCAACGCTTGAACCTCCGAATTCGGGAGATCCGAAAGTTCCTCCTCCAAACCCAACGGAACAAGAACCTGCCCCAGTTGATGTCCAGTCCACAAGCTTGGCGCCCACCAGTACCCCTACAGACCCCACCGCTTCTCAGCCCAATGTTCTTCCCACAGTTTCTCAGGGTACCATCCCTCCGATGTCTCACCCAACCAGGAGGGCGCAGACGTCGAAAGGGGTGTAACTACGGCGTACTTCGGCGTAGTTACTCTAACTAGGGTTTTGTTCTACTGATGGCGATGTATCTTGATTTATAGCTATCTCTATCTGTCTTTCACTACTGACAACAATCAAGGATCGCTGAAGAACTTCAGCGATCTTCTCAGCTAATATTATCTACTCCTCCTAGACGTTCATCCAACCCTCTCGCGCTTTGACGTACTTCAACGCACTTCGTCCAACTTCCCCGAGCCCTCGGCCATCCTCTTCCTCCTTCGACTAACTCCGCCTAACATCGCCGCACTTCTGCTCCCATTGTCCCTACTTAGCCTAACTCCGTCTAACTTCGCCGTACTTCTGCTCCCATTGTCCCTACTTAGACTAACTCCGCCTAACATCGCCGCACTTCTGCTCCCATTGTCCCTACTTAGCCTAACTCCGTCTAACTTCGCCGTACTTCTGCTCCCATTGTTCCTACTTAGCCTAACTCCGTCTAACTTCGCCGTACTTGGTGTCAGAAGTCCTGAGTTACGTGTAGAGTAAAAAAAGGTTAAGGCGTGATGGGGTTTTGATGGCCAAAGGAGGGTCATTGTTGGTGGAGTAATCGAGGTGTCGCGACGTAGTTCGTGACACACCAGTACCCCTACAGACCCCACCGCTTCTCAGCCCAATGTTCTTCCCACAGTTTCTCAGGGTACCATCCCTCCGAAGCCTACACATATTTCTCCACCTGGTGATGAACCTCCCGAAAGCGGGCCTTCCTCGAGCAACATGCTGTGCCAAACCAACACACCCCAGGGTGAATCGGCTCCCCCCGATCAAGCTATCAGTCTCAATCCCACTGTAGCTTCTCAAGACATTACAGCAGAACCAGATTCCCCATCATCATCCATGGACATTGATCCTCCAAGTGTCGTTCCCACTGTTGAACGCTCTCCCTCACCCGAGGTTCCGCAGTACTGTCAACTAGAAAAGGCTCAGTCAGTCATTGCCGAAAGACTAGCACAAGTTCAGTGGCGTTCGGGGGAATCCTTTCAACCTCTCATCTCCGTCAGCACATTTCAAGATGTTGATAGCCTTTCGGACGATCTCCTTGAGGACCTGTGCGACCAGATGGAAGCTATGTTTCATGACATGGCCGAAGATGAGCATAAGGGCTTGAAGCTGCAGGGTGTAGACTCCACATTCGGGTCAAAAACGTTGCGTAAGTTCTACGGAAGGAATGAGTGGTACACCAATTTCGGAATCGATGATATCTTGCTTTCGGTGTCAGCTTTCATCCGAAATTGTGTGAATCTGGGGATTGGAATGTCTGACCCCATACCAAACTCGTTTGTTTACCGAACCCTAGCTGCTGGTGACAACTGGAACCCATACATACCTGGAGGTACGCCATGGCCTTCTCTGGGCAAGGACGGGCAATGGAGGAAAGAGAACACAGTTGGGGTTCTGATGTCGAGCTCCCATTTTGAGACACTGGTAATCTTTGGGCCACAGAAGCTGGTGTTGATGTATGATGGGGCAGGGGGGACTTATGATTCGGGAGAACAGAAGAAGGTAAGTTGGTCATTCAAAATTACTTCAATGAGGTGCAGCGTCACTGATCAATAGCAATGGTCACGCCTGCTAGAACGCCGTTTGTCCTGGGAAGTCAGAAAAGGCATAGCAACAGAGGCTGAAGCTATGGGTTGGTTGATTGCTCCAAATTCTCAGGTGAGTACAGTACTACTCCCAAGCTCAATAATGACGTTCAGGCTACCAGGGATAACCTGGACTGGGTTACACAAGTGGACTCACACAGCTGTGGTCCTCTAGCATGTGCCGCTGCATGTCTTCTTCTCCAGGGAATCAGACCGACTGCTTCTGTGCTTGGGGTGAAATCATCAACTCTGGCTAGAGGTGAGAGTAGAAAACTACGAACAAGTGTGCTTCAACTGGTGCTTGCAATGGCTGCACGGGATCCAGCAAATGAGTCTATATTCAGTCCGAAAGTGAAAAAATTGATGGACAAGTCTGTACCTTCCATGACTTACTACATAGATCGCCTGTAGAGAGGTATCACAGCTGGTTGTGCATGAATATAATGACTAATATACCTCTGGATGTAAAAATACACTTGGTTTGATGCAGATTGGGGCTTGATTATCTTTCCCAAGTGAGTCCGAAGGCACTCCCGAAACACCGAAAACCCCTCCGAAAGCACATCTGACCATCTCATGTATTCCAATATTGTACTGCTTAGGGTCACTAGTCATTGTGTCTACCCAGTGCTTATTTGGATAGTCATAAGCTCTCTTGCAGTGATATATGCAGCCATGACTGTCCGAAATTGGTCAAGGCTGTCCGAAGTCGGTCCGAATTTTGGGGACAATTAATCCTACTACAAGGATCTCTCGCTCACTGACACAAGAAACAGTGAAGTATCTCTTGCAGGGATGTATGCAACATGAGCCAGGCTGGAAGAGTTCAGACATGGAATGCATTACACAGGCTAGTTCACACACAGATGAGACATTTGGACCCCAAACATAGAAAGACCGAAACATGAAATGAAAACACCGAAACGGAAACTCGGCAAAATGAACAAGTGACAGTACATACAAGGGAACTGTAACACGGATTTGATTGGCTACATTTAATCTTGAGAAGAATGGAGATCTGCATTTGTGGGGATTGTGGGAATGGCATCATGAGGTGTTGGTCCTGAAGAAAGTACATTTTCGGAGTTGGAAGGGTCATTTTCGGGATTCGGTGCGGTATTTTCGGAGTTTCGAGCGGTGATCTTGGTGGAAGGGAGATCAAGACTGTGAGCTCTTCTTCGGTCAGAGTACTCGTTCGGCTTCGCAGGGGAGGTCCTAAGGTCAAAGCGGAATTGTTGCCGAGCCTTTTCTTGTTTGGCCTCTTGGAGTTCTGACTCAAGTTGCCTGATGGTGTAGTTGGCCGATTCCCACTCCTCTTGATCCACTTGAAGGTCCGCCCGTAACTTCTCATTTGCTCCCTCCAACTGCGCTTTGAGTTCCTTCAACCCTACATTCTCCATCTCAGTCTCATTTTGCAGGGCAGCGGTAATTTGCACAAACTGCAATGCCTCGTCGATTTGCTGTTGCATTACTCCCTTAGCTGCTTCAGCCTCCGAAAGACGAGCTAGGAGAGTTTCCAATTCGGTGTTTTCCTTCTCAGCCATCTGTCTGGCCAGATCTGAACACCGCTGTTCAGCAAACTGACGAGCCTGAGCCTCCTTTTCCTTATCCCCCATTGCACTAGCGAACCTCTGGCTCATAGTCTTGAGCCCTTCCTGAGTCTCCTCCAACTGCTTTCGGATTGAAGCAATTTCGGCGTCCTTTTCGGCGGTGACTCGGGCAACAGCATGATCTCTCTCCTCATTCTTATCAATCTGCTCTTTGTACAGCCGGTCCAGTGTCTTTACCTCTCCTTGAGCCACATCTCTTTCAGAAACCACCGAGTCATACCGCGCTTTGAATTCACTCCATGTCCCATTGATAGCTCTCACACCCGAAAGTGATTGTGTGACACTTTCGGAGAAGGCTTGATGACGTCCTCGGTTGATTTCTCGGTAATAGTCTATCATTTCGGAAACTTGAGCAACCATTCGGGAAGAGAATTGCTCCTCAAACTGAGCCTGAGTCTCTTGAAACTCACTCATACGATGCAGACACTGTTCAACTTCGGGCATGGTAGACGGTGGAGCCGGGATGTAAGGGACAACCTTTTCGGGTGCAGGCTGGTCCAAGGAAGGGACAGTGGGCCTTTCGGTCCGAAATTCGGGCTGGAGTGGTGGGTTCATTTGAGGGAGTTTACTGACCACATTGACCGAAGTGACAGGAATGGAGGGTATCTGACCTGGCAAAGCTGTGGGACCAGAGCCAACGAATTCTGAATGAGAACGAATGAGAGAAGTGGGAGGTGGAGTCTGAGGGGGAGCCGATTGGGAAGCAAAGAGTGGAGGAACTATGGGCTTCGGAGCCATCGTGGGTTTCGGAACATTGGTTGATGGGTTTGGACCAGGAAGACTCTGCACACCTGATCGACCCAGGCGCTTCTGCTGTAGCCACTGCTTTACCTCTGCAAACGTATGCAGTGAGGTAGGTAGTGGGGAGATTTGGGGAGGGCCAGAGACGAGAGAAGAAGACCCAGGTTGAAGGTTTGGAGGAGGGCCTGCTTTCGGAGCAGGGGAGGGGCTGGGGAAGGGGGCCGGTGTGACACTTTTAGCTTGGTGAGGCGAAGGGATTGTTGGTGATTCTTGCAATGTAACACCCAAAACCGATTGTGTTTGTGCTATAAATGGGTCTAGAGCAGAGGGAACGGCCTGTTGTCGAACAGATATGGCAGGAGAAGGAACAGGACCAACAGGGGACATTGTGGGCACCTTTTCGGAGGTAAGATCCATTTCGGGCTGGGGAGGACCTTGTTCAATGGAGAACGGACGAGCCCGTTTCGGTTCGGCCTGGGACTCTTCTACATCCTCCAGGGCACGCTTGTTCACAGGAGGATGAACAGGACTACTTCGGACAAGTATCGGAGAAACCCCAGCTGGCAAACCTGCAGAGAAAACGGGGGGGGCGGTTTCGGAGGGTTCCTTTTCGGGAACAACATCGGCAAATTTTGGAGGGCGGGGAGGGAATCGTGGCCTCTCATTTCGGGCTGTAGATTGTTCCGGTTGAGGTGTTTCTTCCCCATCATCTTGACCCAAGCTGGAATCTTGAACAAGAGTAGGACCAGCTGGAGAAGAAAGCTCCGTTTCTCCCTAAAAGTCAGCTGCTGAGACTTGCTTTCGGTTCGGAACTTAGAAAACTCACCTCCGAACGAGGTTGCTCTCTAGCAGACGTACGCGCTTCGGTGAGGGGTTTCGGAGAAGGTTTGACAACCCATTTCGGATGGGATTTTGCAGCATCCCCAGCTGCGACAGTGCCTCCCCTAGCAGTCCTACGCTTGTCCTTCGGTCCTACCGGTTGCTGCAGTGGCGCATTTGAGAACCCAATCGCCGTGGAAGCTGCAGGGGGAGCTTTTTCTTTTCCCTTTCCTTTTCCTTTTTCGGGAGGGGGGGGAGAAACCGATTTCTTGGGAGCCGAAGCTCTTGTGGAGCGTGTTGTGGTGGCTGGCCGGCGAGGTTTCGGAGGGGAGGGATGTGGTGAATGTTCAGAGTCCGATGAGTCCGAATCAGAATCCGAGCTGTCCTCAGGCTTGTCCTGACCTTGTGATGACTTTTTCGGTCGTTTTTCACTTTCGGAGGACTCTTCGACAAGGAAATTGGTCGGCTTGCCCTTGAGGGAGCAGGTGAGAGGGGGCTTTGTGGAGTTATAACAGTGCACACAGACACGAAACTTTCCTTCGTCCCAACGGTTGAGAAACACTGGTCGACCATCAGGTACATTGACACATTTCACTTCGGGATGTCTGAGATCAGCATTGAGTTTCGTTAATTTCTCCCGAATTCGGGAGCCATATTTGATAAACCAATACTCACGTGTAATTGAAAGCCGAAACACAAAACTGGACATGACAGTTTGGCTTTGTGGCCGACTCATCCGCCGAATAACATCGTGACCCTCTAGTAATCGCCCGAATACCCTCTTCCTTCATTTGTTTCGGGGTAGCTTCCCGAAGTCCTAGCTTTTCAGCAAGCTGAGGAAGATACTTCGGCTCTGCATGCCACCAGGGCTGGAGGTAGAACCCTATCTCAGCTTGAAAAGAACGAAGTGATTTCTCATTCTTCCAAATGGGGTGTTGTGGCTGAAGATACTTTTGGAAGTGAACATGGTCGGGGTGTAATTTGTAACCCTTCGGAGGGTTTACACTGGATTTATCTGTTTTTGGGTCGAAGGGGTTCGGCATTTTGAGAAAGAGGTCAAAGAGGTCAGAGAGATTGGGAGGAAGGGGGAGTGGGAAGACTCTAATTTTGATGATAAGATAATTCGGACGAGCCAAGGCGGAAGGTGAGATGAAGCACACAGATGCAGAATGAGCAGTGAGATCAGTTGAGAGTGAGCAGTGGAGAGCAGATGAAAAACGCTGGCTAATGTATGCTGGAAAAAGATATGAAGATGCTGAAGTGAAGTGAAGTGAAGAGAAGAAGTGAAGTGAAGAGAAGAAGTGAATTGAAGGAATGAAAAAGGGGGAAAATCGCGTCAGCCCGTGTTAGTACTTAGTAGAAGTTCAATCAACACATCACCATCAGACACGTCAACATGATGGATCCTTAAGAGAGTTTTGTGCATTCAGAGGATGTATTACCATGAACATGAACATACATACATACTTACATACATGAAAGAAGCTATTCACTTGGGTAGATTGGTAGTCAGTAGTGAGTATGTGACTATCACCGAAAGCTCCCGAATTCGGCCGAAAGGGGACCGAAAAGGAAGTAGGATTTCGGGCTGGGGACATTGCCCATGCCCCTGTGGTCAATACTCCGAAAGCTGTGCCGAAAATGGTATGAATAGACTCAGAAAGCGTCAGGCATTCCAATGATATCAGAAAAGCCACGGAAAGATGATTTTTTAATAGTGAAGGTATTTGGGTCAGTAGTGACGGGATATGGGAGTTGAACGTCGTATTTTGGGAGAAAGTGGCAAAATTTCGTCGGGATTAATTCGAGTTCCGTCGGGATTATCCACTTTTGCCATGGTGCATAGCGCTCTACCTACGAGTAGATACCTTAAGGTTATACCAACGACTTTTGACGACCGACGAGTACTTTGTAAAGTATCACACGACGTAAAATACTCTGTGTACACTTCAAGAAGAAAGATCAAATAATGGCAGACGTGAAAGATCCCAAGATCGCGGAAGGTGAGCTCATAGTATTGAATTCATGTGGGTCGAGCTGACAAACAGCTTATGAGAAAGTCAGAGGTGACGACGAGATCACTTGGCTTATACTTGATTATGAAGTGTGTACAAACGTTCATTCCTCCTCGTATCTTCTTACCTCTTCTTCATGCTTGTAACAATGTCCTAAATACATACTCCTAAACGACACAACAATCTCCCCTCTTTTTAGACGAGCCGGACTACGAGTTTCATCGTGGAAGACGACCAACCCTCCCACCTTTCCCTCTTAAGTTTGTGGTTGCGGTTGACAACTTCCCTGCTTCGTCCCATCAACAAGAGTTTTGCACATCTGAAGTGGATAGTTGGGGGAGATAAGAGAAAACTAATGAATAGAACGATAAATCCAACACTTTAACACTCACCGAAACTGGTACAGGAGATTTAACAGAACTTTCTTCAAAATTACAACCTTCCAGAGCTAGTTTCGCTTATTCTAAAGTCAAATATAACAATGATGAACATAGTTTCAGAGAAAAGTTTATTTTGGTAGTCTGGATAGGACCTGAAGTCAAAGTTATGCGAAGGGCCAAGGTGAGTAATGACCTCTCTTCTTAACTTTTCTCAAACTCTTTTCTAGATGACTCACCTTACCATCACTATCGAGTATACCTTCACGTTTCAGTTTGAGATACGTATGTTTGAGAAGGAAATAAGGGAAATGAAAAAGATTGGAATAGGGATGGTGATTGATACATCCAGGTTTCGGTACATTTGGCAGATATCAAACATGTTCTTCGGGCGTATTCTATAGAAGTTTCAGCTTCCACTCCTGCGGATCTCAAACAGGTGAGAATCTTTTCCCTGTCCCGGTAAATTAGTCCTACTTGTAACGGGGACCGATGATGCGTATACAGGAGGCCAGGAGGTCTGTGAGAAGACTGACGACCAGGACGAAATCATTCAACGGCTGAGAAGGGCAGGAGGGGCGAATTATGATCGATCCAAGTTCGACTAGACATTTGTCGTATCATGTATGGTAATTCACATGGTAGAAGTTGGTCATGTCGTACATTTATGCATGCAATTCATGAGCTCACGAGACTTTATGTTGGAGCATTCTCGATTGGGAAATAGGTGGAAGCCCTCCACTTTTGACTTTCATCCACCAGTACACCACCTCGAATCTCCTTTGTCTTGTACTTTAAACATTTCGATATTCATCATGACCCTTTAACATTCCTCTTCTTCAGCACCTCATCATACCCTTTCTATCATGTCTATCAGTGCAGCTTCTAGGTCAAATCTATCTTCGTCTCGTCCCATATCATCCCTCCGACCTTCACCACCGGACCCAAACTCACAAGAACGTTCAACGGCCTTCCGTCTAGTCTGTCTTTCCCCTCTTTCCACCTTCTGCTATCACTGACGAATAGGTAAAACCAACATGTGTTCAACTCATGTCTCTAGCTTCTATCCCTCCTACACTCACCTCTCCCCATTCCAGATTATTAGACCAGCTCAATTCACTCCTTCCTTCTCTCCCCCCTACCGCCTTTACACAGAGTATGATTAATTACCTCATCTTCCCTATCACTCAAATCCTTCGTTCTTCCAACCCCACTCAACTACCTGAAAACGTACTCGAATCGATATTCCGCTTACTCTCTTTTCTCGTCCGTCGTTGGAGGGATTTAGAAGGAGGTATAGAAATAAAAGCTTGGGAACAATTATGGAGGTTTACCAATGCTGCCGTCGGACCATTATCCTCCAATGGAAAAAATAAAAATAAGGAAATGAATCAAGAAATTAGATTACAAGCTATAAACCTTCTTTCTTCATTACTCGAACCAAAAGATAATCATCCGAATGATTCAATGAAAAAATTATGTGGGGATTCAAAAGCGGTTTTAATGCCTACTTTATTTCAAACGATAACATTCCTATTAGATTCTTCAACTCCAACTCCACCATATCTCCAACTTCAATTATCAGCTCTACGATTATCTCGTCAGATCATAAGAACGTATCTTAAAGGACAACATGCTGTACTTGCTGCTATTTTACCAGGAACCATTTCCACCATGGTTCGATTAGTCCAACAAGAAGGGAAATTATTAAAAGGTGATGTGGCTGAATTAGTCATGGGACTCGTAGGAGATATCATAGTGTTCACTCTGAACGACGAAGATTTACGAACTTTAGGTGTACTTCGACCTAAAGTACATGACCTTTCTCAACTTGCGGAAGAATGGGAAATCTCTCAAGATCATTCACCTCCAGATAATGAAGTTCCATCTTCTCCTACTCCTAGTCAATCATCCACCACAAGTCAAAATCCCTTTCCACCATTGTCATCTTCCTATTTATCATTTACATCTGCACAATTACAAGCTGCCATTCCACCCTTACTCTCTTTACTATCAGCCCATACTTCTCATCAAGCTCGAATATCATCGGCAAAACTTGCTTCTGAATTAGTCGAACGATGTCACGACTCCTTACCGGATCTTATACTCTCAAACATATCATGCTTACTTCGTCTCTCACAAGATACCTTCGAACTGGTCTCTCAGAGTGCTCGGGATAGTTTTACAAGACTACTGGCGAACTCACAGTTCGACGTCAACTCTCACCTCATCGATCTTTTGAGCAATACCATCAACTCCCTTCCTCGACTGATAACGTCAAAACAAGACGAAAAAGTCCACGACGCAGCAAAACTCATCACTGCAATAGCTGAGATCACTCAACAAATGTCTGTCACTGGGAACCAAATCAATGCCATTGCGGATCTCCTCGGACCCGGAGGGAACGTTGAAAGATGGAGTTGGGGCTTTTTAACCTGCCTCGAACTCAGTCGACCTCTGGGATGGTCTTCCAACGTCAACTCTGCCGCTAAATCCGCGGAAAAGGGTTGGCAAAAGGGTATGCTCACCTGTACCACTCTCCTCTTAGAAGATGGGCATCAAGACGACGTCACTGCGTTCTCAATTCTGCAATTCAAACACGTCGAATCGCAAGCCACGCAGAAAGCTTTGGTCAAGATGTTGATCAGTCTCGGTGCTGCGGGAGGTGAAACGGCACTTCATTCAGTGGACTTTTTACTCCGTTTTGCCAAAGCTAATTCTGTCATTGAAGTGTCTCGGGCTGTATCAGCTATATTCGTGTCGAATCATTTATTGGATGGGATTGCCTCTGTTCAGTTATCCGGCGCAGAAGGAAAAGTGGGTCGTGCGACAAGAAAAATGGCCAGAGAAATGGTAAAGATCTTAATGTCGCTTGACGAGGAAGATGGAGAAGATTTCGAAACATATATCTCCCAAGATAATTCTTCTCAATCTGATCCCACATCCGACGCACTTTTACCTGTGGAAAGGATACAAGGTGTGAACGCAATCACCACACTATTGGATCGACCTTCCCTAGAAAACACACATACCAATGCAAAAACTCGTCATCTTCATTATCGTTCCCAACGTACATTATTGACATGTATCTCTCTTCAATCACTTTCCACAATCTCACATTTCCTCTCATCATCATTTCGTCCTTTACTCCTGACAACCTTATACACTCTCCTTTCTCATCTTTCATCATCAAACGATCAAATAATACAATTCGCTTCCATATCACTTTCACACGTAGCGTATAATACAGGTTATGCAACACCTCGAAATCTCGTCTTGGATAATGTGGATTATGTCATCAACATTGTTTCACGTCGACTCACCCGGACTTCTCTTTCCGCTCAAGCACCATTAGTGCTGATAGCTATGATTCGATTGGTAGGTGGGGAAATAGTGGGTTTGGTACAGGATGTAGTGGACGAGGTTTTCGATGCTCTGGATGATTATCACGGTTACGAAACTTTATGTTCAGGATTGTTAGCTGTTTTGGTAGCTTTAATAGAAAGTATGTCGCAGGATGTTTTGTCACAAGGTTTGTCAGAAAAGAGGAAGGAGAAAAAGAAGGAGATGAATAGGATAGATCAAGCTCCTGATCCTGAGAAAGATTTCAAGAATTTATTCAAATGGTATGAAGAAAGACGAGGGAATAATCAAAAAGAGATTGATTCGATATTGAAACGAGCACCACAACATGCTTGGGGTAAAGAAGATGTTCTTTCTGATCATTCGAATGAAACCTCCCGAGACTCGTCAACAAACCCTGATTCACGTAACAAGCGTACACGCAACAAGCATAATGAAACTTCTAGTCTTGACGGGAAGGATAGGATGGGTAGTGAAAATAATAATCCTCCAAACGAAGATTCCCAACAAGATGAAAGACGAACTGAAAACGAAGAACAAGAAGAAGAAGAAATGGGAGAAGATGGTGAACCTAAACTCACCAGATCACAATCAGTTTCAATTGAGATAATTTCAAAATCAATTCCCTTCTTATCACATCAATCACCTTTTTTACGTACAAAAGTACTTTCTCTTTTAACTCAAGCCGCACCCATATTAGCAAATTCAAACCTTGAATCTAAACTATTACCTTTGATAGATATAGCTTGGCCATTGATATTAGCTAGGATGGACGAAGATAAAGAACCTTATGTAATAACGGCCGCTACGGAAACAATCGCCAGTTTGTGTGAACATGTTGGGGATTTCATGAGTAAAAGGATATTAGATAATGTTTGGCCAAGGTTTGCTAGGTTATTAAAAAGACAAAATGGGAGAGAAAAGTCCAACACTGTGCATCGATCAGGATTTTCAATGGTGAATTCTCGAACACTAGGAAAATCAGGTGGATTAGGTAGTTCAAGAGGATCAGGTGGAGTTAAGGGGTTAGGTGGATTAGGAATAGGTGGTATAAATGGTTTAGGTGAAAAAGGTCAAACGAAATATTCCGTGAATCATCGATTATACATTTCTATTTTACTCACCACCACTTGGATAATTAAAGAAGTACCTGTTGATGAAGGTGTAATGTGGGAAATGATGTTACTCCTTCGACCGTTTTTAAGTTCGAAAATCGATCAAGAATTACAAGATCTAGCCAAGGATTTGTATTTCGAATTAGGGAAGAGAGATGGGGATGCGGTATGGATTTGTCTGGAATCTAGTTTAGGTAAAGTAAGAGGGGTTTGGGAGTATTTAAAAGATGAAACTTTGAGTATTGAGAGAAATGCGGAATGGGTGTTGGGTAGAATATGATATGAGGTAATGCATTTGAAATTGTTGTATTTGATCATGTTTATGCATGGGAGTCTACGGAACGGGAAACCCTCTCTGCACCATTCATAGTACGTGTAACGGAGTTTGAATGGACACCAAGCCGTGACAGGCGAGGGATTGAACTCTCGATCAACCCTGCGGAGTATTTTTAACGGTAAATACGGACCGAGCCAGTTTACCCACTTAGCATGACTGTATAATAACTCAATTGATTCTACATATGATCTCCAACATCTGACTTTAAGAACAAAAAAGTCTAGATTGAATAGATGATGTACTGAGTGACATGTAAAGTTGTACACAGTACTCTCTACGTTATATCATTCCACTGAAACGGTAGGAAATGGGAGAGTGAATAGATTTAACGTGATTAACATGATAATGTCCAAATCATACTTTTGGTAAAATACAAAGTCCATCTCACAAGGGCATATGCCATTGACGTAATAATACCCCTCCTTCTTGTAAGACCATAGCGGAAGCTTCGTCCATTGAATACGATTGGTTATAAACTACTTCTCGAACTCCACATTGAACGATTTTGACTGAACATCTTAAACATGGACAACTGGGTGTTAGCGTCACTTCCACATCACAACATTGGTCATATGAATTCGAATATTTCTAATATGTCCTTTACCGACTGTCGCTTTCAATCTAGTCAGAAAGATTTAAGCTGTATCGACGAATGAGGCAGGGGGTGAGAAGAGGAGTTGTGAAGTGTGAACCACGAGACAGAACACATGAAGAGGAGGCGGGGGGGAGAAAGGAAGGAGATAAGAAATCAACCACCCACGTATTGCAATATAAAACAGCATCGGATCCTATTCGATCACGACCAGCTTCTAAAAGTGCATTCTCCTCGGCGTGTAAACAAAGACATTCGTCGACTGGAATTATCAGCTTATCTCTTAACGTTGTATTCTACAATCACAGGAGAAATCCATCTGACCGCCGTCCACAAAGTTCTGCTGGGAACGTGATACATGTCGCAATGTACGATAATGGATCATTTTCGACTGTATCTCTGACAAGAAGTTCACACAGAGAATGTGAAAATACAAGGAGAGGAATTGAAACGGCAACTCACGCGCTTCACCACCTCTGGCAGACCCATTACATCTCCTACATCCACCTTGATTACAATTTTTTGTCCCTCTTGGAGTCCCATTATAACCGGTGGAGAGTATTCTTTTACTTCGTACTAATAAAGCTCCCACTCGACGTTTCATGCAATTACTTCTGTGCGAGGCGAGAGATGCTAGGGTCTGTTATCAGTGTCATTTTCTCGCCATGATATTCTTTCACATAAATTGTGAACAATCACATAGGCCAGAAAGAAATCTCAGGGGAGTAAATGCTGATGAGGCATGTGACTTGCCTGTCTTCATAGAAACGGAAGTGATCGAATTGATGTACGAAACATCAGCAAAGCAGAGAAAGGAGATACGAAGATCAGTCAAGAGGTTGAGTGGAGGAAGAGGAGAAGAAGTATTTGAGACCAACCATGAAATAAGTATCCCAACCAGGTCGTAATCTCTCTTGATCCAATAAATCCAATTGATCCAAATATGTCCAGAAAGCATCGACAGTAGGGAAATTGTTATACACATGTACTTGGGCTAAACGTGTGACACGTTGAAAATCTGTTTGTAGATGGGATAAAACCTTGGCAGGTAGATGAGAAGGGAGTGAAGGACCATTAAGAAGATCATGAGTGTCGATAAATGAGTCTAGAGTGAGTGTGGAAGATGAAGAGAGACTGGTTTTGTGAGTGATAATCTCCAAGCGACTTGATTAAAATTCCTTCAAAACATTCTTTTCTTGAAGATTTGGAGCTTCTCTCACAATCCTATGACATGTTCCTGGATCTCACATGGTCCAACTCATGAGTCATAGGAATGTCTTAAAGTAAATATCGTTCCGAAAAAAAAGAATATGATGTCAGAGACAGGACGAGATAAAATGGTATGAGATGATTTCAATCAGAGTCATGAAATGGGAACGGTTAGAATGTTGGAAGTCTAGATGGCTGAACTTACTTTTCCCTTCCCCTCTCCCTCTCTCTTTCGAACCTAATCCTCAAGGGTCCATCCACGAAAACTAACAAAAACCAAGGTCGTTTCACAAAAGGTTCAATCTCTTCATATGTCCTTAGATCCAGAGTGACGTGGTGTTCCAGCCAATTTCGAGTGGTATAATCGAGCATCGTATTGATGTTTTCAAAAACTGGAGGGATAGGGGCAGTCTGATAATTAGTGTCGATGGTTATCAAAACACTCTGAATACCAGGTCTAAGTCTGTGAGACCAACACCAGTTGTTGAAATACGAGAAGCTCCATGGGGCATTTAAATCTTCAGAATTGACTACTGTGAAAGTCTTGCCAGTGTAAGAGCTCTTTCGGTAGTTAGACTGGGAGACGATGAATCATGACGTAGAGGTGTCAAGGGATAAGAAAGTCGGTTGTGATGAAGGAAAAAACTTACGTTCATCAAGGAAGTAGAAGAAATGGTCAGGTTGGGAAGGTTTTGAACACCAGTATCGAGCTCTGTCTGAATATCAACGTTATTCCGCAGGTATTGATGAATTCCTTGAGCACACCATACGGGGAGAGTAATCGTACAGAGATGCCATGCAGCAACCAATGGGCTATCATCAAGCGAGGGAAGGGATTTACTTGAGAGATTGGCCTGGGGGTCGTCAAGAGGTCTCGAGGAAAAGGTAGGGAGCGAGCACAGGGAGCAGATGAAGGGTAGACGAAAAGTAGAGGACGAGCAGAGGGTAATCAAAGGTAGAGTAGAGAGATTTGAATAGACAGGAGAGTCATGAGAAGTTGGACAAAAGTGAAATAAAAAGACATACCAACACACTTCCCTTGAACTCACTAGGTACTTTCAACCCAATATGTTTGAAACCATGTCGCTGGACCAAATAATCGACAACTGTATGTTTCCCCGCTGAAGGTGTCCCGATGATAGCTATCAACATTGGACCTGACAGATCACTTTCCCGACCGCTTCGCTTCTGGAATGCCGTTTTTGTTGTTGTGGATAGTTGCGATGTGTGGAATGAAATCGAAATTTCAGATGTCGGATTTTACTCGAGTAGTACTTACGCGTCGGATCACGTCGACCACGTGGCATGTCACTTCTACTTACTATAGAGTACTCGTACAGCTGGGAGAATTGCAGACCAAAACGTCCTTGTAGAGATCGAGGATCGGATGGACAGACAACGATGAGTAATGAGCCATGAGGGGAAAGGACAAATAAAAGTAATGCAGATATAACATCTTCCATGCACAGTCGGATATTAATAATAATGCTCTAGATACAAAACCCAAATATCAAGATCAAACCCTACTCTACGATCCCACTTTATCATCTATGAAAAACCCATCAAATAATCAGGTGGAGGACCCGAAATCTGTACTCTACCTTTTTGGTTCAACACGCTACCCTTACAAGTACTCTCCACTCCTGCCGCTGCATTCGCTTCAATCTCCGCTTCGCATAATCCCAGTTCGTCCCTCGGTAACCACAAGACCGGTTGAGGTTCTTTGGTCGCAGGATGGAAAAACGCATAAACGTCATTAGGATCTTGTTCTGTTGTCCTCACTACTCCTGGTCCACCTGGGACAGCAAAGTATGCTTCGTCCTCATCTTCAGGCTCAAAGGCAGTATGTGCTCGAGCCGAGGGATCTTGTAGGGTATTCGGCAAAGAGCCAAGTTCAACATCACCATTTGAGAAGAGAGGTTGTGGTGGGCCTGGGGTGGTAGAAGCTGCTGGAGTTGGAAGGGATTGGTTGGACTTTTCGGTGGCTTGAGCTTGAAGTATGGCGGATTTGCCAGGTGCTCGTTTGGTTTCGGGAGAGGCGGTGTAAAGGTTGGGTTTGGTCAGACGTTCTTGTGAGGAATTATCAGAGCTGAAACGTTGATCCGGAGAAGGGTCGCTAAACATCTCTTTGACGGCTTTGACGGCTTCAGAGGTGGGGTCTGCGGATTGTCCGATTTGGGCCAGCGTCATAGGTAAGGGATTTATGAGGGGACTGAAAGATTGACTGATGACTAGGTGCATCCCGGCCTAATGATTAACGAAGGGTCTTGGGCATCTTCTACCACGGCTCTTCCGCGATTTGGGCGGGATGGCTGACACGGAAAAGAAGATAAGCTTTTGGAGGAGTGGATGGGGCGAGCATGAACGAGATGCCATGGACGAGCGGGAGTGAGCTACGCGGTTCAAGGTCTTCACAAGCACTGGAGAACCTAAGGAATGTGACAAGGAAAAAAGGCTCAACCACTCACAGTAAGCACAATCAATACAACCATGATGATCCCCTGCGGCAACGCCTTGGCCAAGAAGAACAAAGCACACAAGCAAACCTGTTGCACATAGATTCCCACAAACGTATGTGTCACAGCTTTTGGGAAAAACAATCCACCCGTGTCGGAATCAGGTGACTGGTCTTTAACCCATAGGAAGAGATATTTGTATACCAGGGCGGAGAGGAGAAAGAAGAGTGCTCCGAAACCGTTGATGATTGGTGAAATGACACAATATGCAATCACTAATTTTCAGCTTGAACTACCAGGGGGCACCAGTGGAGTGACTGACCGATGACGGAGTAGACAGTCACGCCTGGAAAGGTAGTACCCCATGTGGTAGTGTGAAGCGTGTAACGGGTTTTGTAGACTGAGCGACTGGCTGTCAGTACTCTTGCAACAGCCTCTTGATCGGGACCTGCCGTTGATCGCTCCGATCGAGCATGAGCATGAACACTCTATCCAGGATACGGAATGAAGTGACGTAGAGAAACTCACGGAGATCCACCAAGAAGCACAATCTTCACATAGTATATCGCTAATGTGACCGCTTGTAGCAAAGTACCTATCGTTCCCGTGAACTGGGTCAGGACCAAAGTGATGAAGAATGTCGAAGCTGTAGGCATCTGCATAGCCAAGGTATTTGCCACTGAAGACGGATTATCGGCAATCTTTTTGACCGCACTGACCAGACCTGACGCGAGAGTTACCACAAAGAATGTATGCTGAGTATGTCAGCCGACGCCCTGATCTTTTGGGAAAAGTACTGACGACGACAAGAAAGATGAAATATCGATGCATGAGATCGAGCTCGACCGCCTTCTTACTCGGAATACCTTCCAGTGTCGCGAGTTCTTTTGGATTAGCAAAGAGCACAAGAACCTTCAAGGCACGGACTCACGACGCAAGATGGTAGGAAGGATTGCCATGAGTAGAAAAAGTAACACGGGAGGTAGTACACCGGATATGAGACCACGGAACAGTTTCTTGCCAAAACTATCACCGCCGATCCAGTGCAGCCATTTGTAACTCTGCAACGTCGAGACGCTGGAGAGAGCACCGATGAAGGTCACTAAGCAGTATCAGCAACATGCGAAATTACTGATATCTCATCGGACTCACCAGGGAAACCCCAGAGGAGGATTAATCCTGCGGTTGCAGCGTAAGACAATGCCTGTCGTACATTTTGCTCGTACGGATTCAGAGCCATGTTGCGCCATATCACGTTCGAAGGTGACATTTCGATATAGTGTCGGTGCATGCTATATCTGATACCTGTCAGCTTCTCCTCTAGTTTTCTCTGGATGAAGAACCATATTTGTGGACGTTTTGACGTGTTGACTCACGGTTTATGATGTGTCTGACATTGCATAGCCATGTGAGCCGCTATTTGCCGGTTGAAATGAATGAAGGCCGAGTTGAGAGGAGCAAACTTGTCCTCCTCGGCTCCAGGACTCAAGATATCCGCTTTGAGATGTTCCCTCCCTTCTGCCAGCCCAGCGGTACAGTCGGCGATCTCTTTTCTGGCCCATTCGACGGTATCCAATTTTTGACCTATACCGAGGAAACCGAGACCAAAAGGGGCCCATTTAGGTTTCAATCGAATGGTAGGACGCTTGGATCGGGGAACGAGTTGGTCAACCAGAGCTAACTTGGAAGGGTCCATATCTCCACCATTCTCGAAATCATCTTCTTTCGGCTTTAGCAAGTCCGGATTGACGGGACCGGTGAGTGTGTCAGGAATCGGTTTGCCTTTCGCCTCGAGCTTCGCAATGGCTCGTTGGGTGTCTGAGCGGTGTTTTCGAGCAATCTTGATCAGATCCACTTGTGCGGATTCAAGCTTTTTGCAAGCGGCTAACCTTCGAGACCATAAATCGGGCATGTCTTGAAGGTTTCTATTTGTCAGAGACAAAAGTGAAGACAGCAACATAAGCCTCACCTCGCCAGCCAGATACGTTTTACTCCTCCTGGTAGGAGCGAAAAGAGCTCTTCCAGTTTCACCTCATCCATGTACTCCGGCGGTATACTTTGTATGAGTACAGTAGTAGCTTGAGGCAATTTGGAATGAGCAGGGTTGACTAGCCATTTCTGACGTATTAATAACCAATGTTTCATCTCCGTGAACAATAACCAGATGATCCAGACTGTTAGGTCAGCTCTGTTCATGCTTTGTCTCCATTGCTGTCTCAATATTTGACGTGTACGGACAGCTTCCACGACATTGAGGCAGAAGAGCAGATAAGAAATGACGAAACCCTCACAATCAAAGATGCACACCAAAATGAGATGCGCCCAATACCGTTTATGTTGACTGTCTGCAACATTTCCAAACGTGAATTTGTCCAACCCTTTCTGGCTATCGACATGTGTTTTCACAGCATTGGCGGGAAGGAGGATAGCCCATGATATGAGCCAGATGGGGATCATCGCTTTGGCCTATGTGTCAACGAGGTCGGGTAGGGAACGTGGGTACTGACCATGAGGAACAGGTATCGGACGAAGAAATATGGGTCGACACCGGTTTTGTCCAATATAGTAGAGGAATCCGCTAGAAATTAGCAAAGCTCGACATGGTTTTTTCACAGCGACGCGGAGGGGGTACTGGAGTAAATGTCAGGGAAAGTTATCGGTATGTTTGACCAGGATGATCACGTTTCTCTCTGAGAAGAGAGGTCGGAGGAGGTGGAACAACATAAATGGGAAGGTGTTTCGCATAGTCCGAGTGAAGACGTACAAGTGATGATAGTCCATAATGGCCAAAATAAGTTTTTACCCAAGACCGGGGCTTGCTTTTCTCTCAGGGGAACATATGTTCTCGGTTCATATCTATTCATCAGCTCCTCTAGTACCTTCCGGGAGCCAATTCCATTGTCTGTCTGTCTGTTTGTTTATTTATTTATGTGTCTTCCCCATCCACCCATTATAGTGCGCTGGTGTGCTGCTCACCTTTATGAGAGCTAGCCCAGGGAGGTGAGCCGCAGGGGGAGGATTTGACTAGAGGGGACAGACAGCACGACCACCCGGAAGAGTGCTGCGAGGAGAGGGGGGTTACTGCAAAGAAGGGTTATCAAACACATGGCGAAGGTGACACTCACATAGCTTTGATATACCCTCTGACCAAAATGAAAGCGGCCAATTCTCCACCAGCTATAGCCCCGTTGACAGCTAAAGAAGTAAGGAAACTAGAAGTAGATGCTGATGTAGCATCTTGTGCAGTGTTACTATTGATCAACAACCTTCCATTCTGTACACCTAGACCTCCCCAGATATTGAAAACTTGTGACATTCCACCTTCGCTGATACTCGTTACTCGAGTCAATATAGATTTGACCTCGAAACCAGTCGTGGCTCATGTCTAATCTCCTGACAATCTCGGCACTTCTTTATAGATTCACTTGTAGAGACACTAAGACCGGGAATGAGTAGGTGGCGAAGGTTGAGAGGATATCATCAAGTGGAGAGATGAGATGGGGGAGGTCCGAGCGCCTCAGTGGAGAAGAAGAAGCAACTCACGACATGTCTCATGTGTACCAGTGGTGTAAGATACAAGATACGTCGACTCGCCTCGTTCTTCTAGAAGTGAAACCCAAAGCCCAGAAGAGAAGTATAAACACAAGAAAGAGATGGAAAGTTGCTGGGGATGAATTACATGCAGGTGCACGCACCGCAGAGGGGCAAAGTGAAAAAGGGATTAAAGGGAGGTGACAGGTGGGGATTGCATCCGTCGGAGTAATCGAATTGATTGACGTCATGCCTCCTGCTTCGGGTCATTCCACCACTTCCAATCGAACCCAACTTCCCGCACAACACAAAATCTCTTCCCGCACAACAAAATCACGTGATTATTGAATAGGCATGCGGTTCTTCGGTGTTAGGCGTGCATGCCACGTGGTTTGCACGGACCTCAGTTTCAACTCTTCTCATACTTTCAACCAACATCATCCAACATCAATAAACATCGTCACTCTCTCCAGCCCACACCAGACAAGTTACAGTCTCAAACTCTTTTCTATCGCTCTCAGAGCACTTGAATACCCCTTTTCACTACTTTGAACCTCGCCAGTACCGGCCAGAACAATACGATTCAACCGGTGGACAAGGGGGTGGACAGGGGGGTGGACAGGGGGGTGGACAGGGGGGTGGAAGGTAGATCAATGTATCTCGGTGAGTTTTTCATATCTCAGTGTGAAATCTTTACTGAGAGATAGAGGAGGAAGTGCCTTACATGTTTATTATAAACCGAGTTGATTATATGTAGAGATCATGGACTTTTTGACATGGTTTACTCACTTTGACCAGAGGGCAGAGAGGTTGAAGGGAGGCCCGTGCAGGTCACGTGGTATGCACGCCTAACCCTAGATATGCATGCCTATCAAACAGTCACGTGACTTTGTTGTGCGGGAAGAGATTTTGTGTTGTGCGGGAAGTTGGGTTCCTTCCAATCACCAGACCCGGGATGTTGAGCTGCGTGCTGTGTAGATCTTCACAATCTTGTAAGTTACCGTTGTAGCATGCATGTAGCATGCTGGCATGTAATGTTTAGTACGGTATCAGACAAGAGATAGTAGTCAGTCAATGTGAACAAACACTGCATTTCAATTGATGATAATGTCATGCCAAGGTCTAAACAGGGGAAGGGAGCAACATTCTCCGAGGGTCTTCGATATATTCTTTGATCCGTACTGATATGTCAGCTTGCAGCCAGAAAAACGAAGCTGAAAACTTACCCAAGAAAGTGACTGCTTCTCTTCCATCAAGCAAACGGTGGTCATATGTCAAAGCCACGACCATTATTGGTCGAATGACGATTTGGCCATTGACGACCACAGGTTTCTCCTTGATGGAATGCATGCCGAGTACGGCGGCCTGGGGAAGGTTGATGCTATTTGATGAGCCTGACATCTAACATGACCAAAGGAGCTTACATAGGAGTGCCATACAGAGATCCAAAGACACCACCATTGGAGATGGTGAACGTCCCACCGGACATGTCTTCAATACCAAGTTTATTGTCGCGAGCCTGTGAGTTAGTACAAGTCGAAAACTGCTTTCCGACCATCAAACACCATCAAACAGTATGTGCGTCCCCAGACAATTGCAATGAAGCAGAGCGGTAGGAGTTGCCACAACTATTGACTCACCTTCTTCCCTAACTCCGCAATAGCCTTTTCAATCTCAACCAGTCCCATACCCTCCGCATTTCGTACCACAGGAGTCACCAAACCTTTAGGCGTAGCGACCGCCACACTAAGATCGACGTAGTCACGATAGACAATGACATCACCTTCAATACTGGCGTTGGCCGCTTGTATCTCTTTTAAAGCCAAACATGATGCACGAGCGAAAGCAGACATGAAACCGAGTTTGACGCCCTCATTCTTCAAAACTCCCTCCTTGTACAGAGTGCGGAAATCCATGAGTGAAGACATGTCGATTTCATTGAAAGTGGTCAGGGAGGCAGCGGCGTTTTGAGATGCTTTAAGACGTTGCGCGATGGTTTGTCTCATTCGGGACATTTTCACCTGGATATTAACGACATGTTTATGGCCCATTGGTCTGAAGTGTGGTCTTTGAAAACTTACCCTGGTCTCATGACGACTGCCAACGGATTTGATAGGCACGGGTTTCTCCTCTTTATCCTTTGGTACCTTTTCGTCTTTCTTGGAAGCAGGTTTTGGTTCTTCTTTCCTCGGTGCAGGCTTCTCCTCGGATGATTTCTCTAATTTGGGTGCTTTCTCCTCTTGTTTTTTATGTGTGTCCTCCGGCGCATCTTTCTCTTTCTTTGACTCAGGAGCAGCTTCTTCCTTATTTCCCTCTTCGGTAGATTTGGATTCGGAACGAGCGGCTCCAGATGGTTGTGATTCGGAAGCATCACCTTCTCCAGGTTCGATCTTGAACAGATCCTGGCCGACCGTGACGGTAGAATCTTCCTCAGCGAGCAGTTCGGTGATTTTACCTGACATGGGGGCGTTGACCGAGACGTCGATCTTACCCTTTAGCTGTTTGCCTGATGTAACATTGATATATCACTCACCTTGTCAGTCTCTATGGTAGCTACTTCTTCATCGGCTTTGACGAAATCCCCAACGGCTTTACTCCATTGTTTCAAAGTACCTTCTGTAATACTCTCCGCCTGGGTGTTAGTCCAGAAGATTTTCACTCATTTATGTACATACCATTTGTGGTACTTTGACAGTTTCCGCTATCTCTGTCAGCGCGCCGTCGAAGAAAGTCTTGCAAAAAGGTCATGTGAGGATACGTCACTCACCCCGTAGTAAAGAAGAGGAATGGAATTTTGATCGAAGGAGTAAAGGGGTGTCAAGTCGAGATTCCAATGGCAAGACATTTCGTGGTCTATAAAATCATCAGCCACTTGTTGATACAATGGTGAAGTGGATGACTCACAATCGTAGAGAAGACCGGATGACGAGGTTGAAATTCCTGTGCACGGCTGAAGGACGTCTCAAAGCTGCCCTCGAGCTCGAAGCAGCCGCTCTCAACGGTGTTCTCAACATCATTACCTCTTTACCTCACTGTTCAGTGTCCTACAAAAGAAGGATAGATCTGATGCGAGTAGACAGTGATGGGATCAGAGTAAAGTAGCGATGCAAGGATCGTCAGTGGACGAAGCAAGTGCAAGTAGTGGGGTGGCGGCCGGTTTAGAGTGAGAAAGCGGACATTCAAAACGGCCCGCCTATACGGAATTCCGACCGCTCAAAGCCGATGACATCAATGTGGCACCGTGGCACTGTGACTGTGTGGCAAAAACGTTACACGTCAGCAATGCATCATTCCAACATTCATCTGTGGTTATCGTGCCGTCACGACGAGCTAGAGCTGCAATGAGCCCCCTTTGTCGCCTGGCGTCGGGGATGGAGCTCGGGACGGAGGCAGAGATAACCCAAATCGGCCGTCCCGTTCGTCAAGACTGAACGTCTGACGATCATCCACCGGAAGTTTGTTCAATGACCCTATTTGACTGCTGGGGACTGCTAATTGGCCTACAGACGGTCCTTTCTGCTGAATTTTCTGTTCTGTATGTGATGGAAGGGGGTTTTTCTGGCCGGTTGATGCTGAGCTCCGCGTGTCACTAGAGTGGTGAGCAGCGATACTCTCAGATAAATATAATCAACGAGTTATTGTGATTACTCCCGACCGAGTCGACAATTACCAAGGTCGAATTCTGCTTTTCTGTCTGCTTCATATGACCATCGCCTGACTGGATGGAGACGTTCAAAACGGTCGAGACGGTTGGAGTCTCGGAGCTCATAATACTTGAAAATCTTCTATTGTCGTCTTATCGTTCAAGCAAACCCTAGGCGCCATTGTAGTGTCCTCCGAGATCTTAAGCCTCTCCGGCAGTGCTAGCCTTCCCACTTGATGACGAGATCTACAAAAGAGGATCTTTGAGGCAGTGTATCGAGCAGTTTCCATTTCTCACACTCCCACGGCACAGACAGGTTCGTGGAGGTTGATGAGGTCATGCGATGCGCTATGAGAAGACGGGTGGGTGGGAAGATTTGGAGATTTGACATCGTCATCGGCGGAGTGAGTTGAGTCATCGATTTCACATCTTCACACCTGCCTTGACATATTTGGGGTGGGATGTGGTAGTCGATCAGAAGAATGGGAAAAAATGGTTCGAAGAAAGTCGTAAAGGCAGAAGATGAGAGAGAACAGTTATTAGGAGGAAGAGGTCGGTTGTTGAAGTCATCGGTGGGATGTCGCATGGTCGAACGAGATGGTGATATTTTGGCCGGAGGTGGAACATTTGAGACAAGGGTGACTGTAGGTTCATAGAACACTTGTTAGACAAGAGCTAGAGAGATTGATCAACTGGTCAGCTTGAGGAAGATGATGAAACTCGAAACGCCGATGCGAGACTGTCGCATACCATTGCCCTCTGAAGTGAGGAGACGTCACATGTCTTGTCAGAGAAGATACGGTGTGAAAAATCAGGAAAACAACCTGATTCGATCACGTCTAGTGGTGTCAGCCGGTAGAGTCATTACCGTGACGATAGGCTCGATCCGCAACGGCCGAACCGCCGTTGACATTATCCACCCTTCGGTCACTTTTCCCCTTCGTCTTATTGTTCGCCGACTTGATTCGATCGTCTCTGGTTCGCTGCGTATGAGTGGGTATGATAGATATACAGACATGTATATTTGATGCATGCTCCTTCCCCCTCTGTATGATCATCTAATTATAAGTTCACAAGTGGGTCAGAAAGTTGGGGCGAGACTAGCATCTCAATACATGTGAATTATGAGCAGTATAGTTTCTATGAGCCGTGCAGTACTCGACGGTGAGTAACAATGAGAAGTTTTCAGCTTGCCGACTTCTTATTATCAGCTTCTAGGGGATGAGAACTGTTGTACTCCCCTGTAACCATTTGGCTGATGCTAGAATCTGCTACATCATCCGGGATGCGTGGACTATGATCAGAGGTCTCTACAGGTGAGGGGAGAGCCGCCGGATTCATCCGTGGGGCTGTGGGCTGAGGGCGCTCTTCCGATATGTCTGTCAAGACGTTGGCAAGGTTCAGCGATGATGTACGTGTGATCTTATGTGGACTTGGGGGTATGGTCACTTGCCCCCATGGAAATCTTGGGGGGAAAACGCCCAGTATTTCAAACTCTGTGCCGAAAGTATGCTGACGCCATCAGTTTACTCGTCTCAGCTTTCCGGGTTGAGACGGTCATAAGTCAAAGTCATAACTCACCAGTGGGGAGAGCGAGTTTGGAGTGGGAGTGCTGGGAGCTCCGTCCATCAGAAGCCCAGGGCACGGCATTCGAACTCTCAGAGTCAATGCTGTGGACATAATGGTACTGACGGTCAGCCTTTATTCAGGAGGGAAACCAGACCTCACTTGGCTTGACTATCAGGTTCTGCGGTGCCGGGCTCTTGAGGGTGTGAAGAAATTTCCTCATCAGAAGCGGGCACCAACGTGGAGCTTGGAGCGACCCTAGAGTCAGTCAAACGAGTGGTGGTTGAAGTGGGTGTTAGCCGATAGAATCGGGCCAGGACGGCCGAACCGCCGTTAGATAATTACCCCTTCCGTCAAATATTTCTCCGTTCAACTTATCCTCTGAACTTTATTCGATCGTCTCTGGTTTTATGCGTGTGAGTGGAATGTGATAAGTATAGAGACATGTAGAATTGATGCATGCTCTTTTTCCCTCTGTATTACCATCTAATTATCAGCAAACAGATTAACAGTCGGAAGTCCACTTACCTCTGTGTATAATAAAGGCAAGTTCCACTTCTACTCTCCTCTCATAATGTCCTCAGTGTCGACTAAGATTTCGTTTGAAAATCTACCCAAGTTATCCTACGATCCATCGACGTATGCTTCGTGGAGGAAGGCGATCGAGGTGTATCTACAGATAGGCGATGTATGGAATGTCGTCTCAGGTAATGATACCGAACCTGGTCGCGAAGGGGTTAGGCCGGCAGCTGAGAGGGCGGGATCAGTACCTCCTACCACGCCCGTCGAAGGGCAAGCGGTTGGTAGAAGGATTACTGGAGAAGAGTTGAAAGAGTGGGAAAAGTGGCAAGCGAGGGAGAATAAAGCGCAAGGGATGATCAAGGGAACAGTGACGGAAGCTGTAATGCTTGATTTATCTGAGAAGATGTCAGCTAAAGAGATGTGGGATTACTGCTTGAAAATGCACGTAACAGCCACGAACGAGAATCAGAGGAACGTCCGTCAAGCATTGTTTAGCTATGACTTGAGGGAAGATGCGACGGCCGAAGAAATGGCTAAGCATGTAGAGGATTTCTCGAAGACAATGGCTGAAGCGAAGTTGGTGGGATTGATCTTTGACTCACAGGCTCGAGCAGGTTTATTCCTCAATACCATCCTAGCACCAGCATACAGGATCATCCACGTAGAACTAATGTCGGTACCTGAAAAGGAAAGGACATGGGACAAGGTATTGTCGATCTTTAACGCAGAAACGGCGAGACGTAAGGCGCGCCCTGTTGGTAGGACCAATAGAAAGGGATTCGCGATGTTCGCCGAAAGGGATAAAGGAATGAGGGTGAACCGAGATAATATCTCTGATGGTCAGCCCAGGAAAGAAACTAGAAAGTGTTATAACTGTGACACTGTAGGACATCTAGCGAAGTACTGTCGTAAACCTAAAAGAGAGGATACGAACAGGAAAGAAAACGCAGATGTAAAGGATGGAGGTAAAAAGAAATGGAGGAATAATAAGAATAATAAGAAAGGACATACGGTCTCGAAGGATGAGAACCAGTCCAAGGATAACTCCAAAACCTCCTTGATGTATTCGTCATTGGATGGTGAACACGAGGCATGGGCCGGGATGGTGTAACGGTACTGGAAACACGACGACTAGGTCGCAGGTTGGGTCGAACTCGATGGAGGTCTCGTGGAAATCTAGGGGCTCTGGTGCTAATGGATCGTGTCTCCTCTGCAATCGATGTAGCCAAAGAATGATATTGAAGAATCAGCAAAGTTGGTACTTTGCTGATTGTACTATATACTGTCTACAGGTATCCGTCTCCTCTTCTCAGTCCTACTGCAAGCGTCCATGTACATACTCGGACAGGTGAAAAACCGCTTTGAGCAAACCCAGTGGGGAAAATCTCGAAAGGGGAAAACCCGTCCCTACCTACTGCAGCACTGCCTCCAACTCCCGCTTTCCTCTGTCCTAATCCGTCGAACTCGATAGAGTTCCCTCGATTCGTTGTTACCCCGTAACAAGTTTCCCCCCCTGTCTCAAGGATCCTCGCCGAGGATCCTGAACCCTGTAACCAGGTGATGCACATGGATTGTTCTTAGACACCTTTGGTGCGCCCTGACATCATACCCACGCTAGTGTGATGGTTGCCATGAAAACGCGTCACCCGCACGGACCTCCAATGTGATCGAGAAATTACTGACCAAGTTACCTCCCCGTCTTTTTTCTCTTCTTTCCTCCTCATTCTCTCTTTACCTCTTGTTTGTCATTCTTTTTACTTATCTATCATTATCCATCCATATCTTACTCATATCTTAGAGCATCCTTCCAACTCTGACCTGTCTGTGAGCATGTCTAAGCGTACTGTAAGCAATTCTCTTCGAATTCGATGCACTTCCTCCTGTTTATCACTGGCTGACGAGATTAGTTGTCCTCGTCTATCTCTTCTCGTCAAACTCGGGCCTCTACTGTGGCCATTCTCCCCGACGTCGATCCCGAACTTCTCATGCGTCAAACGAAAAGAATGAGAATTACTTCCCAAGCGCCAGTTCCCTCTCAACCTCCATTGGTTGACGCTTCTCGAAGGGCTCTCGACACCATTAAGGATCGATATCAATCCGGCCCTTCTCGCGACCAACAATCGTCTCTTCTCGATGACGAGGTCATCGAGCAATATATCGACTTCGAAGCGGGGGCAGGGCCATCTACCACTGGTGAGAACCCATCTCCTGCGAAATCTGTCGAGTCCGAACACGGTACCATCGTTGAAAATCAAAATTCTCCTGGTAATAAGTCCCCTGTGCCACCTTCTGATTCCGAAGGGCTTGTCGAGGTTCCCCATGAACTCGAAACCATTTTTCACGCCCCTCGCAAGGTTCCGGTCAATGATGAACTTGCTAAGGCTCTGGATGCTCGAAAAGACTCGGAAATTGGTGAGATTTCTACAGAATTCTGTGCGTTTCTGACTCGTCAGCTACCCTCTGGGCCCGCCTTTCTTTCTCCTCTGTTCGTCACGCTCTGAAGGATGAAGCCCTCGATCGCTTTCGCGAGACTGGGGCCATCAAGCCCACTGTCAAGTGGTTTGGTAACGCCGTGAGCTTTTTCTCCTTCGTATTCCACCGAATTCTAACTGTTAGCTTGATCGCTTGGCCCAAGGTTGGCGACTTCGTAACAAGAATGGCGCTGTTGTCCGTCTCGAGGGTGAGCTTTGCTCCGATTGCCAGCGTCGTCTCGATGGTGGAGAAGATTTTCGTGTCGGTTGTATCGGTCCTCGTGAGCCTTCCTACTCTTCCTGTTCGATATTGATGCAACTTAGTTGGTGGTGTTTGTGGAGAGTGCTCCGCGAAGGGAACTTCAAAGTGTTCGGTGAAAACCAACAATCCCGAGTCCAAATTTCGCGAGGTATCTATCTTCTTCCTTCGAACTTGGTCGATGTTGATGTAAAGGGTATTACTGTCGGAGCCCAGACTGTTACTTCCAAGGTTACCTTCGTCCTGGAGCACGAACTCTGTGCTGTCTCGGCCCGATATCGATCCCTTTCCTCCCAGGATCAATCCTCTTCTCTCACCCAACTCTCCGCTTACATCCACCTCTTTTCCTCTCTCCTTCTTCCTCTTCCCCCAGTACATCTGGGCCTCTACAAATCTCTTCATCTCATTCCTTCCAACTACGCCCCTCCCTCTCCTTCTGAAACCTTGGATCATCTCACCTCTGCTGCTGATCCAACCGGATTGACTTCTTCTCAACCAGTCGCCGGTCCCTCCTCTTCTCCCCATACTCCTCTCCCCCGCAATGTCATTCGTATTCCCGCCTCGGTCCGTCGTCCCCGAGCCAATTCTACCACCTCCAACTTCTAGTGTATTTTATATCTCTCTATACGTAGCAATATCTCCTGTGTATGTATTTATTTCCCAATAAATTCCGTTGATTTTGATCGAATTCTCACTTTCTTCTGGGGTCTTTTTTTCTCTTTTCCAGAAATTCACCAAAAACGGCCAACTCTTCTACATTTTCTCGTGGTTCCCAGTCATAGGCCGCATTCCCTGTGTATCCTAACCATTTTACCTTGAATTCCTCCTTTCCTCGTCGAATTCTACTGTCCACAATTGCTTCCACATGGAATTCCTCCTGGCCGTTTATTACTACAGGTGGTGGGGGTTGTATCTGTCGACCTGGTATCATGTCTCTAGGATATGGTTCCAACAACGTGACATTGAAGACATTGTGCACTCTCATTGATGGAGGTAGATCTAATTCGAAAGCATTTTTCCCCACTCTCCTTATGATCTTGAAGGGGCCAACGTATTTTGCTTCTAATTTTCGACTGGGTCTTTCCGTCGTAAGATACTTCGTACTCAGTAGTACCTGTTCTCCCTCTCTGAATTCTTCTGGTACACTCTTGTGTCTCCTGTTGTAGTATTCGGCACTAATCTCATTAGCCATCCTGACCTGTTCTTGAACAGCCGCATGTAACTCTCCCATATCCCTCCATTTCCTCTCCAACTTGTTTGACTTTGATCGAATATCGTGCGAATGGATGTCGTAATGTGGCACATAGCCGTAACAGGCTTCAAAGGGACACAGACCGTGGCTACTATGTGGCGAACAGTTATAAGCGAACTCAGCAATTGGTAGAAGTTGATCCCAATTGTCCATGTTGTAGTTTACATACATTCCGAGCAGGATTTCCATCTGTTGATTTACTCGCTCAGTTTGTCCATCTGTTTGAGGGTGATACGCAGTCGAGTATAAGTTCTTTATTCCCAAGAACTGACATATTTCCTTCCAAATTTCCGCCGTAAACTGAGTTCCCCTATCTGACACAATTGTTCGAGGTACTCCATGTTTTGAAAAGATCTCCTTGATGTAGATGTCGGCCACTTTGTTCGCTGTTAGTCCAGTTGTACATGGAATAAATCTAGCCATCTTGGTTAGTCGATCGACTATCACCAGTATCGCGTCGAACTCGGTCGATTTTGGTAGGGGTCCCACCATATCCATAGAGATATCTGTCCAGGGCAGTGTGGGTACTGGTAAAGAGACCAGATGTCCATACGGCTGATGTCGATGAGTCTTATGTCGGTTACAGATCTCACATCCTTTTACGTATTTTGCAATATACTCGTCCAAATGTGGCCAGTAATAGTCCTCTTTGACCATGGTGATAGTTTTGTCTCTTCCTGGATGACCCACTAGTATCGAATCGTGTCTTGCTTTCATTACTTCTAATCTTGCCTGTCCCTCTGGTATGACTACTCTGTCTCTGTACAAGAGTAATCCGCTCTGTGTCCATGATACTATTGGTGTCTCGTTGCTAGCCTGTGTCTTCTGTGTGTCCTGTGTGTCCTGTGTGTTCTGGGTGCTCTGTGTGCTCTGTGTGCTATGTGTCTGTGTCATCTGTAGTCCTAGTTGTCGTATGTTTGCTATGTCTTCTGAGTCTTTCAGTCCGTTCTTGATGAGTCCGAATAATGAGTCTTCCCGGATTGCTCCTCTTACTATGTGTCTTGGTCCTTTGTGTTCTGAGTCCATTGAATTCGATCCAATTTGTTCGTGTGTCGGTAGCAATTGTAGCCAGTTGCCTTTGTTAAGATTCGGGTCCTTGCTACTCCCTTTTCCCGGATGATAATCTCCTCGTCTCGTCAGAGCATCTGCTCCCCCATTTTTGCTCCCTGGTCGATAAGTGATCTCTATGTTGAAGTCTCCCAATATTTCCAACCATCTCATCTGCCTTCGATTTAGTTGTCGTTTGCTTTGGAAGTATTCTAGGTTCTTGTGATCGGTAATGACCTTTATAACATCACTACTGTTAGCCAAGTAGGGTCTCCAGGCGACCAAGCAATCCACGATGGCTAATAATTCTTTCTCTCCCACCGTGTAGTTTAGCTCACAGGGCGTCATTGCTCGAGACCAGTACGCTACTGGGTGAAGTTCGGTGGTTCCTTTTATTGATGGGTGAGGAAATCTCTGAGACGCTATCGCACCTATCGCGCAATCGGATCCATCGGTTTCAATCCAAGTCGGTCGGGTTCTATCAAAATGTCGAAGTACTGGTGCTGTGGTGAATGTTTTCTTTAGATCGTCAAAAGCCTTTTGGCATTCTTGTGTCCAGTTCCAAGCTTGATCCTTCCTAGTCAATCGTGTGAGAGGTCCCACAATATGCGAAAACCCCTTGATAAACCTCCGATAGAAATTCGCAAAACCCAAGAACACTTGAGTATCCCGGACTGTCATGGGTTCTCCCCATTCTAGAATAGCTTTCACCTTTTCTTGATCCATTTCGATCCGTTCGTGTCCTATTACGTACCCCAGGAACTTCACTTCATTTGAACTCCATTCGCATTTTCTCGGACTGACGACCAAATCGTTTTCCAGTAGTCGATCTAATACCTTTTGGACAATTATCTGATGGTTTTCGATCGTGTCGGAGTATACCGTGATATCGTCGATATAAACTACTACCCCTTCGTCAAGTAGATCGTGAAACATGTCTTGTAGAAAGTTCTGAAAGGTGGCTGGTGCATTACACAACCCATCCCTTAGGACTGTGCTCTCGAAACTGCCGTATCTTGTTCGCAAGGCAGCCTTATGTTCATCTCCTTCTTTTATTCTGACTAACTGGTAAGCCCCTTTCAAATCGAGCTTAGTGAAGATCCTTCCTAATTGAAGTCGATCGAGTAGTGTCGAGATGAGTGGCATTGGGTATGAATCCTTAATGGTTACCTTGTTAAGCGCACGATAATCCGTTACCACTCGATAGGGAATCACTCCCTTTTTTGGAACCAGGAATACAGGAGACCCATAAGGTGATTTACTTCTTCGTAGATGGCCGCTGGCCAGACCATCGTTGATCCACTGCTTTAGGAATGCATCCCCATGTTCATCCAGTTGGTAGATTGGTCCTGGTTTTAGTTCTGCTCCGGGGGTCAATTCGATCTCGTGGTCACATTCTCTTCTTGGTGGTAGTTTTCTGGCTCGTTCCACTTTGAATAGCTCCAGGTATTGGTGCCATTGTGTCGGTATGACCTGTCGTAACTCTTCTTCGCTCATCTCATCTTCTCCTTTTTCCAATGCTGTTCCTCTTATCAATCCTTCCTCCAACCTCGGATATTTCCAACCGTTATCCTGTCCGATTCCGTCGAACTCGATCAATCCCTTTCCACAATCGATCCTTGCCCTAAACTGTTTCAAGAAATCCAATCCCACCAGTACCTCGGGGCCTTCGTATGCCATCACATCCAATCGAGTCGCAATCTTGAGTCCTGCTCCTAAATCCAACTCAGCTTCTACATACTCGGTCACTAACGTCGCGGTTGTTCCATCGAGGAATCTGATCTTCCGTGGTTCCTGATACTGTCTCTTTGGGAATAAATGGTATAATGGACAGGCCGGCTGTACGTATCTTCCGGTAGCTCCGGTATCAATTAACATTCCAAATCGTAGGGTATCTTCTTCTGTCTGTATCTGTATGTATATTATAGCCGAGTCATTACTGAGATCTATTGGTAGTTGAATTTTGTGCGATTCTGTTAGATCCTGGCCGCAAGTGGTCGCATCACTTAGGCCAGGTATTCGTTTCCCTCTTCTTCAAAGGTTACCGCCATTCCTCGAACTAATGGCCCTTTGGATCCGGTTGGGATCGAGTTCGATCCACTAGGAATTGGTGAGCTATGCGGGTTTGGGGATCCCCTAATGTTGTTTCTCGTATTTCCTCCATTTGGACAGTTGTTGGCGTAATGTTCTGGACTTCTACATTTGAGACAACGTCGGTTCTCCCTCCTCCAAGTCATTTCGTTCTCGCTGAGACGTCCTCCGTCCTCTGTCCAAGTGACCGGAGGGTCATTTGGTAGACCATAATTCATCATCCCTGGTTTTCCACCGGGCAAGGGTCCTCTACCAGTCGGTTGTGAGTGGCGTTCTACCGGGTTGGGCAAACTAGTATCCAATCGCATCGAATTCGATCGAGGGGGAAGCCAGGTCGTCTCATGTTTGCGTCTAGCAGCCCATCGATTCGCTGCAATCATCGTTTCAGCCATCCGTTGGTTCTCCTCAGTCCCTATCACATGCTGTTTGAAATAGATCCAGTCCGATTTGGTTCGAGGGTCGGTGTTATTTACCACTACCACCTTCAGTAGCTCTTCCTTCAGGCCCTGTATGGCTGAGGCGATTTTCATTGCATCTGGTACCTTTCCAAGGTGTGTGGACCAAAGTTCAAAGTTGGCAAAATACTCGGCGGCCGTATCCGTCTGTCTTAACTCCTGCAATTTCCTCATAGCCGTACCTGCCATGTTACTGTCTCCAAATTGAGTTCGTAAATGCTGGATGAATTTGTCGTAGCTCTCTAGCCATTCGGTCGAATTCCATATACTTGGATTGGTTATGGCCGGGGTTATAAGCATTTGAGGGGTGCCTCGAAGATACCCGTACATGAACAGGATCTTTCTGCGATCGGTGGCGTACTCTGCCCCCTTGAATTCGAAGTTCATGTGACATGCTGCAAGGAAGTTGTCCAATTCTCCTCGTTCTCCACTGAAGGTAGGTGGATCCGCACACCTGGTTCTTCCTGTTCGTTCGTTGTTGGTAAGTTTTGGCTCCAAACACGGCTTGTTTTCTTCGACTTCGATCAAACTTGCCCCTTTCGATGTGAGTATCTGTTGGTTCTGTCGGTCAGCTTTCATCGTAGCCAGTTCTTCCCTTAATGCATTTTGTTCCTTTTGTTGCATCGTCATAATGGCTAACAATTGTGACAACTGCTGCGATAATTCATTTAGCGGATCTGGGGTAGTGGTAGTAGAAGTGAGATCATGTGAAATGGTACTTCTCGAAGAACTTGTTGGTATTTCTTCCTCTGGGACCAGCC